TGGGGAGTTTCTCCCATTCTTCTCTGCAGATCCTCTCAAGCTCTGTCAGGTTGGAAGGGGAGTGTCTCTGCACAGCTATTTTCAGGTCTCTCCGGAGATGTTAGATCGGGTTCAAGTCCGGGCTCTGGCTGGGCCACTCAAGGACATTCAGAGACTTGTCCCGAAGCCACTCCTGTGTTGTCTTGGCTGTGAACCTTCGCCCCAGTCGGAGGTCCTGAGCGCCCTGGAACAGGTTATCAAGGATCTTTGTACATTACGCCGTTCATCTTTCCCTCGATCCTGACTGGTCTCCCAGTACCGTCATTGTAAATAAGAATTTGTTCTTAACTGACTTGCCTAGTTTTTTGGTACCCTTCCCCAGATCTGTGCCTCGACACAATACTGTCTCTGAGTTCTACGGACAATTCCTTCGACCTCATGGCTTGGTTTTTGCTCTGACATGCACTGTCAACTGTGGGACCTTATATAGACAGGTGTGTGCCTTTCCAAATCATGTCCAATCAATTGAATTTACCACAGGTGGACTCCAATCAAGTTGTATAAACATCTCAAGGATGATCAATGGAAACAGGATGCACCTGAGCTCAATTTAAAGTCTCATAGCAAAGGGTCTGAATACTTATGTAAATAAGGTATCTGTTTTTTTTGCATTCATAAATTTACTAACATTTCTAAAAACCTGTTTTTGCTTCGTCATTATGAGGTATTGTGTGTAGATTGATGAGGAAAACATTTCATTTAATCCATTTTAGAATAAGGTTGTAACGTAACAACAACCATCAGACTATTCTCAATTTAATCTTGACTTTACTAATATGTCAAATTAGTGTCGATTTAGAATGGCCCATTATGAAATGGGCAAGACAAAAAAGACATGTCATCCGTATGCACTGGAATAGCGAATGGAGGCCACTTTCCCGCCGTTAGTTTTTCACTCATGTCAGGTGGCTACTCCGGTAATTTCGCTGCGCGACAGGTGATATTCCGCCCAAACTCTATATGCCATGGGCTCTCCAACCCTGTTCATGCAGCTACCCAGTGCTTAATTTGGGAAACCAAGTGAAATCTGTTCGGGAACATTGATAGTAACATGTTCACAAAGAAACACATTTCATTAAACTGTTGACCGCCCCTCTCTCTGCACGCTGGAGAAAGTAATGAAGGAGAGAGGGGAGGAGATGGAAACTCTGTATCTAAAGGTAATGAATCAGCCTATTAATTATGAAAATATAAAACATTTACTATTACTAGGCTATTCAAAACCAAATACAAATTCACTATAATTGTAGGCTAAATCTGAATGTTTAATTTAGGCTAGACCAATTATGTACCAAAGATATCTTAAATCAGCATGTTTTCTACCTTGTGTAATATGTGGTAGGCTATGTATTGTATAACAGCATAATCATTTTAATTCAGGTTTTGAAACATCCACAATGATCATGTTTTCTATTTAGTTTCAACCTGTTGTTGAACTTATTTTATTCAAATTGATCAATCACAGTGAGGTGAGTTTTAAGAGCACATACTATTTTGATGATAAGTGTTTAATGTGATTTGCAGTGATCTCTGAGTGGTTAGAGGGACAATAGAGCCCTGAGTACCAGCCCATTAGCGACCAGATGATCGTTAGCGAGTTGGGTACTACTAATGCCTGTCCAGAGTGCATAAAAGGAGATTACCATGACTCAACGGTCACATAGAATTTTACTGCAGTTATGACTCATGACTGCCGGTGTGGTGGTGATACGGTCACCGCAACAGCCCTAGTCCTGGTAATCTGTCTGTTAACCTTTATAAAAAAGGTCTTACTCACATCGGCTACAGAGAGAAAGGTATGGATTGCGTCCTACCTGACAGGTCGCTCCTACCAGGTGGCATGGCGAGAATCTTTCTCCGCACCACGTGCTCTCACCACTGGTGTCCCCCAGGGCTCAGTTCTAGGCCCTCTCCTATTCTCTCTATACACCGTCACTTGGCTCTGTCATATCCTCACATGGTCTCTCCTATCATTGCTACGCAGACGACACACAATTAATTTTCTCCTTTCCCCCCTTCTGATAACCAGGTGGCGATTCGCATCTCTGCATGTCTGGCAGACATATCAGTGTGGATGTCGGATCACCACCTCAAGCTGAACCTCGGCAAGACGGAGCTGCTCTTGCTCCCGGGGAAGGACTGCCCGCCCGCTCCATGATCTCGCCATCACGGTTGACAACTCCATTGTGTCCTCCTCCCAGAGTACAAAGAACCTTGGCGTGACCCTGGACAACACCCTGTCGTTCTCCGCTAACATCAAAGCGGTGACCCGATCCTGCAGGTTCATGCTCTACAACATTCGCAGAGAACGACCCTACCTTACACAGAAAGCGGCACAGGTCCTAATCCAGGCACTTGTCATCTCCCGTCTGGATTACTGCAACTCGCTTTTGGCTGGGATCCCTGCCTGTGCCATTAAACCCCTACAACTTATCCAGAACGATGCAGCCCGTCTGGTGTTCAACCTTCCCAAGTTCTCTCATGTCACCCCGCTCCTGTGCACACTCCACTGGCTTCCAGTTGAGGCTTGCATCTACAACAAGAACATGGTGCTTGCCTATGGAGCTGTGAGGGGAACGGCACCTCCTTACCTTCAGGCTCTGATCAGACCCTACACCCAAACGAGGGCACTACGTTCATCCACCTCTGGCCTGCTAGCTCCCCTACGTCTACGGAAGCACAGTTCCCGCTCAGCCCAGTCAAAGCTATTCGCTGCTCTGGCATCCCCATGGTGGAACACGCTCCCCCACGACGCCATGACAGCGGAGTCACTGACCACCTTCCGGAGACACTTGAAACCCTACCTCTTTAAGGAATACCTGGAATAGTATAAAGTAATCCTTCTTCCCCCACCGGCTATCATAAGTTGAATGCACCAATTTGTAAGTCGCTCTGGATAAGAGCGTCTGCTAAATGATGCAAATGTAAAATTTATGGAAATTCTGGTGCTCTTATGCATGGTTCAGTGTTGCTTGCCTCAAAGCGAGCATAGAAAGCATTTAGCTCATCTGGTAGGCTTGTGTCACTGGGCAGCTCGCGGTTGGGTTTCCCTTTGTAGTCAGTGATAGTTTGCAAGACCTGACACATTCGACGATCGTCAGAGTAGGATTCGATCTTAGTCCTGTATTGACGCTTTGCCTGTTTGATGGCTCGTTGGATGTCTTAGCGGGATTTCTTATAAGCGTCCAGATTAGTATCCCGCTCCTTGAAAGAGGCAGCGCTGGCCTTTAGCTCAGTGCACCGGTTGCATCTAATCCATGGCTTCTGGTTGGGATATGTACGTATGGTCACTGTGGGGATGGGGGGGGGGGGAAGTAGCTCTTCTGATGTCCAGAAGCTGTATTTGTTCATAGGAAATGATGGCAGAGACATTATGTACAAAAAAAGCTACAATCAGCGTAAAAAAAAACACAAAATAGTAAAATTGGTCAGGAGCACGTAAAACGGCTTCTATCCACTGCAGCGCCATCTTATAACATACAAAAACACCAGAGGTGCTGAGAGATATACTGCCCCAACGTTGAGTGATTCTGTCCAGTGCCTGACAGCCTACCTAACTGGAGGTAAAGACTGAGGAACCTTGCAAGATAATACAATACTGTGAAATCAACGAACCACTTAACCAGACATCTACAATATTGCCTCCATAGGTTCCCTCACGTGAAGTAGAAGGAAGAGATCACACACACAAATCCCAAACAGTTTAGGCACCACACACAGTCTGTAAACTGGGAGGACTGTTTGTGTGTGGATTTGAGTTGGCCACTGGAAATCAATGTTGTTTAGTCATTGTAATTTGGGAAGTCATTATTTTTTTAGAAGGTAGGGTGTCAATTTATTTTAGGAACTACTCTCTTCAAAGCATCTGGTAGAAATAGTCTCCGTATGAGCCACAGCATTAGCATAGCAACGTTTAGCATGTAGCAACGTTAGCATATTAGCATTGCGTTAGCATAACAATGCCACATTACAAGCTACTCTAAACCTCTGCTGGAGTCATTGAGATATGAATAGGGGGAACAGTAATTTCTCTGTAAGGGGCTAAAAGACTGGCGGCAAGAACCTTACCATTGTTATTTAGCAGACAGCCAGTGTTAGCCTAGCCGACGGATAGTAGGCCTACAGTGCGGTACAGTCTAGAAAGCAGTGCTGAGCCTCGCTGCTTTGACTAAAGTGTAAAGTCGCTCTGGATAAGAGCGTCTGCTAAATGACTAAAATGTAAAATGTAAATGAAAGTATCCAAAAAGTGAACCACTGGGACAGATTAGATCTTTATCTGTCATATCTGGGATGCCTGTTGACTAAAGCCAGGCCAGAAAGACTGGAGAGCAGAGATTTAAACAGATGGAAAAAGAGAGACAGGAAGAGGGTAGTGGAGTGACAAATAGTGTGAAAGCACCCACAGGAAGTAGGTGTGTGTGTGTATGTTGTGTGTGTGGCAGTATATAGGACTATACTGTGTGGGGCACTGGCACTAGCAGCATACATCTATGACTCTCTTCAAGGCTGCTCAACCTTGGGTCTCTTTACCCACATTTCCCAGTTTCTATCTGCAAAAATGGCAGTCAGGGCACAATAGGCCTCTTTAGCGCACAGGTTTGTTGAGTAACCCTTGAATAACTAACTTTGTACGTTATCAAAATAACTTCTGGATAACATTCAAAACAAACAACCTTTATCACAAGAAAAAAGACCGCAAACTTCGTTTCGGTTTTATTTAGCATATTATGTCACTGATCTGGCTTTCCACTAATGGCTGAGCTTAACGCATGGGAGCATTCAAACAAAAAATATGGCATATTTACAAAACATAATTTGCCATTGTATGAGACAATAGCTTTCTGCCTTGGGATCTGTGGCAGGGCTAAGTGATTGTGTGGAGGTTCGGGAGCAAACTGTATGGACCTAGGCGATTAGAGGCCCAGTGAATGGGTATTCCCATGGTTTTGCGGCTTTGTACGTCGGGAACAGTGACCCCACTGTAAGCCACGGCTGTTTACATTCCAGAAGATCAGTTCCTACTGGAGCCAGGGGGAAGGAAGGGCAGGGGTTAAAAAGCACTCTCACGCACCCAATCTTCCCAGTCCAAAACAAGCCTTGATGCGGTCTGTAAACAAACTAGCAGAGAACACCACTCGGGTCTAGTCTTACACAGTCTTATAGACGGTCTGACTTGTAATCCACTTCCCAACTCTTCTTTTTCGGTCGCTTTTCCTCCCTTCTATTTCTAAATCCCTCCTTTCTCTCCCACACACACACACACACACACACACACACACCCCCATCCCTCCTTCCATCCCCAAGTACCCAAATCCCTCTCAATCTACTCCCATTCCTACACCATCACCACGTCTTTCAATCCATCCCTCGCCCTTTCCCTCCTCCGCATGTCCCTTCTTTCCCATGGCTGGCTGCAGTGTTTCGAAAGCCTTCTGGGAGCGAGCAGCTCTAATTGAGGGGGGAATGGGCTTCCAGTTATGTCCCACCACAGATCGCCTGGAGGCAACAACACTGCAGCACTCCTTGTCCCTGTATCCACATGACCAGGCAAAAGACAAAAGGCTTTTTGGAGCCAGTTAAAAATAGCTCGCAGTTTAATGTTGGGGTTGGGGGGTGGGGCCTTGCACGTTCCAGTGTGTCACAATCTCGTCTCACATGTGGCAAGCGGACAAATCTTTAGCCAAATCTTTGGCCAAGGCAAACCCAGACTGGGGTCTTACACAAAGCCTGTAGCGGTGCGTTCAAGCAAACAAGCTGTAAAAAGAGGGAAAGAAGGCCAAATGCCAGCAATTAAAAAGTAAGTACAATTCAAGAAGGTACTGTGCGATGCGATAGCGGCTCTAATGCGTGTTCGGTTTGTCCCAGTGAGACTTAACGGCATTTAGTTGTGCCTCCATGGCCTTTGTGTAGAATCAGATCTGCCTCTGCTCTGACCAACCACACAGTCCCTTATCCCTCATCAGCCACGTCAGAAAGAAACGGGTCAAACCAAACTTTGTGTACCACAACACGATAGGTAAGGAGGTTTCACCGGTGGGTGTCAACACACTTACATAATTCACACTAGAAGACTTACATAAGACTACTTGCCTCGGGATGCTAAGGGCTACGTCTCTAAAGAGCTGCCGTGACAGAACCAGTGAGAACAAGGGAAAGGTGAGACGATCATTGATCAAAGTTACTTAGGCTACATGCCAATATAAACACAACATGCCCAACAGACAGCATGTCATATTAACTTAAAGGCACTGCCAAAGCAGAAATAATGATAGCAAATCAACATAAATCAATCCTAGCTCTAATTCATGGTTTTCAATACAGCAGCAGAATCTGGCCTACCCTAACAGGATACAAAAGCTGAAACACTGTCAGGAAAAGGGTAACCTAATATGATAACATTCATAGATGTAATTTGACAGCGTCTGGAAAAAACACCAAAACAGCAGCAAGACAAAACGATGTCCAACCTGATTCAGATTCTCCACCTCATGTCAATGAGTTAGTGGGTGTGTTTAGCATGAATACTAACATGCATACCAAACCTATTTTAATCCACGTCACAGTGGCTGTTGAAGTGTAGGTGTTGAGCTGTGTGTTTAAACCAAGTCACAGAGGGGTCAATAGGAGCTAGGTGTTGCCGTGTCCATTTTAGAGAGTGGGTGTCGAGCTGTACGCTGGTGACGTTGTCCAGAGTCTCCCGCGGAGGTGAAACATTTCCACACCGCACCTGCTTTGTCCGAGGTGTGATAAGGGATTGTGTGTGTGTGTGTGTGTGTGTGTGTGTGTGTGTGTGTGTGTGTGTGTGTGTGATACATGTTTCTCTCATGCAGTCATGTTGTGGTGTGTAAGCATAATACACACCACAACATGTTCCGTGCAAAAGTGAAAGCCATATTCTTTGTGGAAATAAGTTCAGCAAACATGACATTATGTTCCTTTAGAACTGCTTACTCATCTCTTGACTCCCCTTCAGGTGACCGCGTCTACTGTCTGAAGCATGGCGAGACACTTCTGAACCAGCAACACTTATTCCTGACACACTCTCTGCAGTCAAGCACTCTTTGTCCTACACAAGCGCTCACACATGACTCGCACGCGCACTCACACCACATTCTTGAGCCGCTTTAGGATTGCAAAAACAGCTAGTCCTTTTAACAAAAGATAACAAAAGTCAACTCTGGTAGCCTACATGTCACCCACGCCATGGTCAAACATCCATTTAACGCGCTGTTGAACAAAGAAACAAAAAAGGGGTTGCCAAGGCAACACGACTTCACTTCAGCCAGCCCTTGCAAAACGTGTCAATACTGTATGTTCCACGATTGGTGCTTTCATTCATATGTTAAATCGAATTCATATCTTTCATTTGTGACAAGGATGAAATCTTTAACATACAGTGGCAAGTTTACCGATTCCTTTTGTATATGTACTTATAAATGTTAGTTGTTTCGAGACCTATGCTAAGAAAAACCCAGCACTAAAGCTCAAAGCCCATCATGTCATACACTAGCATGGCTGCACATGTTCGATATAGGCAGACACGTTTCACTCCCTCCATCTCTTTCTACCCTCCCTTTCCATCTACTGATACTTTCTTTCTAGTAACTCTTCCTACTCTCCATCCATCCACCCACACACACACACACACTTTCTCTCTCTCTCTGGTATCTCCTCCCACTCTCTCCATCTACCCACACGTTCTCTCTATAGGTATATCTTCCCTCTCTACTTCTACACACACACACACTCTCCCTCTGATAACCTCTCTTCAAAGCCACTCTTCCCCTCCTTGGTCTAAAATGGTGGTGGAGTCTCACTGGGCGTTCACTGTTCACCCCTGGAGCAGTGTAGGGCGACCCCAAAAACGCCCAGTGGGAGTGTGTGATCTCTCCCAGACCCAGCTAACCCCCCCCCCCCAGGGCGATGCCACATCCTGCGGGTTGGGACCGCAGCCCATCTGGGCCTGTTTAGAGCCGTGCAGGGCACCAGAGCCATAAAAACTAGAGGTCCCGGAAAAAATACACACAGGGGCAACCTTCTCATCTCCTAAACCCAACCCTGTGCTCTCTGGTGGGCCTCTGATGTGGCTACAGGCCCTGGGTTTCATGGTTTTCGACGAGACGTCATGCTTTTTATCGTTCCCATTTCTCAAAAGTCTAATGAGAGATTGTGTTTTCCTTGTGTTAAAGTACGTTACTGTATATGTCATTGTCCTACGTATGGCGTGTGTTTATGTTGCATGATATCATTGCCCATGCGTTGTAGTTAGACGTGTATGCCTAGTGTTGAGTGTTGTTGTGCGCAGTGTTGCATGTTCCTCTAATGTAGTGCATGTATGTTGTTGAGTGTTTGTGGAGGCTTGGTGGCGGAGGGTATATTTGATATGTTGAGGAAGAGAAGGAGGAGGAGTGTGGTCTCAGCAGCCCACCGAGGCCTCCATCCATCCCTGCCCTCTCATTATGTCCTGGGGATACATCACTCACCACCAGGGGGAAACAGACACGCGAATACACACACACACCTTATTCTACACAGCGCAATAATTCTTAGGGATGGTACTCAACTCGCCTCTACCACATACGTACATGTGCTTTAGGCCAGTGGTTCTCAACCATTTTTGGTTACTGTACCCCCATTCACATTTTGCTCTGCCTGGAATACCCCTGAAGTACCCCCTCGTGCATTTTACCAGTAGGCCTATGTTCCTATGAGTCTTCCCAAATACCCCCTGTGGATAGGCCTAGCACCCGAGGGTACACACACCCCAAGTTCAGAAGCCCTACCCTAATCCAACAAGAGAGTACAATATAGGATATTTGAGCAATTCGCGCTCTAATTCAACTGCATTGGTTTCACCAAAGGCCTAGCTGCTGGTGCCAGATACAGGAGCTATTTAGCTCAATTAGCAGCCGCTTATTAAAATGGCCCAACAATTATTCAAACATGATGTATTCATCATCACTTGTTCTACATTTCACAGATCTATATTTAGAGCACTCAATCTCTGCAGCTCTCCACCTCCTACTTTGATCCTCCTTTCAGACGGCAGATGAAAGGTGACACTAACCGAGGAGGAAGGGAAAGGGAGGGCGAGTGGGAGACATCCTCCACTTTCTTTCCTCTTCCTCCTCCTCCTCCCTCTCCTCTCTATGTATTCTTTATTTGTCCCCTCGCTCGAATCCCTCCTTCAGACTGTACGCTCATTTGAACGCCACTGCATGTTTGACTCATGAGTCCGAAATATTTTCATTTCACTAACTCTCAGGTACGCTTCACCAGGTAAGAGGATGATCAACGTGACACGTACTGTACTGTTCCTTTCCTACACACGGATAAATGCATGCATTAGCATGTACGTAAGAGGTCTCTATAGATCAGGGATTCTTCTTTTTTTTGATGACCCCTTCGAGTTGAGGGATGCGTTTTCCACCCACATACCAATAGCATCACCGCCAACATGCACGCACACACACACACAGCTGAAATTGCCTCTTCCCACTGCCTCGCTTACATAAGGGCACTCAGCATCTCTCACCAACGAACACCGCAGAGAGAATGAGTCAACAGCATTGAGCCAAGTGCTCTTTCATCCCGATGCGGATTTCACCTCTCGTTCCAAAAAAATAATAAAAGAGCCTATTTTTCCAAGCAGTTGGATAAGAGGAATACGGGCCAATCAATACACTGCCTGCCCACTCTCTCCACTCCTCATATGAATTGCTAAACTGCTGGCACTAAGAGGACAGTGTTAAATATGTGTAGTGTACCTCAACTTTACTCTATTTACTTTAGAGAAACAATTACGACTTTGTGGCAACATTGTCTTAACGTTGCAACGTTGTAATGTCACCATGACCAACCTTCTTACAACCTGTAACGTTGTCAGAACATCATGTGTTGGTAGGGAAGGTAGTAGGTGCGTACAGAGTCTCCAACAGTGACACTGATAACAAACAGAACGGCCTCAAAATGGGCTTTTATGTCTCAGGTGGGAAGTTGCCACGGTCGGTTGCACAGGACTGTTTGCACCTTAAAACAAACACACACAAACACACTGTGCACCTTACTTATCTGTGACATCTGGTGTCACCTCATTCCTTTCAAACCATTGAGCTAGTTCGCTACGAATTAGCATGTTAGCGTGATGCTATGCTAGCCCCAGCGGGACAGTGTGCTCTGTTTACAGAGTTGACAACCCAGCCCTGTGGCACCGGGCCCACCTCAGACACACAGGTATGCCTCAGGCGAGTGCCAGAATCCCAACACTCCGCTTACACATGCCGGAAAACTTGACTGACAACACACACACATGCACACACAACATTTAGACTGTTTTCATGTCTAAACTGGGCGTAAACATCTCCAGTCGTAAAACTGCCATCATGCAGAAGGAACTCGCTAATAAACTACGGACATCATAAAACTTTGTGCGGTCGGTCTTCTCCATGCTTAACGGGGAAGTTCACTCACCATCTCATCCAGGGCGTAGCGGAGTAATCCGTGTTCGTACAGGATGAAGAACCTCCTCTGCCATTTCTGTAGAGAGAGAGGGAAATGGAGAGATGCTAGTTACAGTGACATCTGATAGGGCAACTAAGGCTACATCCTATGCTATGATATGACTAAAACTGTCCCATTGATTTAGGTAAAAGCATTGTAGCTGAATGTTAAGCACAATGTCGTTTATGAAAGTGGTGGTATCCAGGCATGGTTGGTTTTTCAATGACCACAGAACACATACTGTATGTGTAGGGAGTTAGCCTATGACTGTGTGAACCTATAGTGGCTATACTATAAACAGGGATCACTCAGAAGAATCCCCACGCCCAACAACACTGAAAAGTCCTCAGCAGGCATTGCGTTTTCATAGCTCTTTTTTCAGGGACATTGCTGCAGATGATTTAGTGAGTCAGTGTGCCCTAGATCCCAAAGCAAGGACTGAGCCAACACTATTACCCCAACATGCAGACACGAGCCACACACACGGGTAAAGTTTACCATTCGGTATCCACTGTGTTGGCTTCGCAACATTTTAAAATGACAGACTGTTGTACTACATCCTGGACATATATGTGTCACTTAAATACATAGAGAGATGAAGTGAGGGAGATGAAGGAAGAGAGAGACAGATGAGAGAGAAAGGAAATGCCTCCAACTCTGTAACAGCGGGGAGGTTGACTTAAGCAAACCACCTAGACATGATCGCTGAGCGACAAGCAAATATCCCACTTTGTTCACCAGGATACATTTCTGGCGCTAACAGGAACCTCCGCTACCACCTGATGAAAATATGCCCTAGCCAAAACAGAAACATCCAGCATTCTAGCATACACTCTATGCCCTGTAGCTAATCCCTCCAACACCAAAGTGTCCTCCAAGTGTAAACTCTACAACCACGTTGTCCATGTTTGTTTGATGAGGAGACGATTCGTCACAAGACAAAAACACAATCATCTCTTTCCCTCTTTTTCCCCTTGAAGGCACTAGTGGAGTTCCAGGTATTAGAAAGTATGCAAAGATGCCTTAGGGCGAAACTAGCGCAAAATGACTCCTTTTAGTGAATATGACAAATGGTAGGCTATATGTTTTCCCACTTTAACACACTCTATATTAGCCATCTATCACCAACCCCTCCTTTCATAATGCACAGTTTTGCCCAGGTGTTAAGTTTCGGGCCCCTTGTTTTCTGCTGAGAACCATCAATAAAAGATGAGGAAGTGCTTTGTGATCTACGGGGCATCGGGGGCCCCGAATAGGGCTGCTGATAGGCGTCCTCAGCAGAGCCTGAGTTACAGGACTATCATACTCATTCAGAGGCCATTAAAACTGTAATATATAAGGCTCAGAAGGGACCACTGAATGCAGTGTTTGGCTTTCGTCAGACATAACGGGACCCATGTCATCCAAAAAGCCGACTCAAGTTTGCTAAAAAAAGCCCCTGGAAGCACCTGGATGATTGTGAAGCCTCCTGGAAGAATGTTCTATGAACAGATTAGTCAAAAGTGGAACTTTTTGGACAATGGGTCCCGTTACGTCTGGCGAAAACCAAACACTGCATTCCACAGTAAGAACCGCATACCAACGGTCAAGCATGGTGGTGGTAGTGTGATGGTTTGGGGATGCTTTGCTGCCTCAGGACCTGGATGACTTGCCATCATTGAAAGAACCATGAATTCTGCCCTGTTTCAGAGAATGTCAGGCCATCCATCCATGAGCTGAAGCTGAAGCGCAGCTGGGTCATGCAGCAAGACAATGATCCAAAACACACAAGCAACTCTATATCAGAATGGCTCAAAAGCAACACATTTAGAAGTTATGGAATGGCCTAGTCAAAGTGCAGACCTAAACCCGATTGAGATGTTGTGGCAGGTCCTGAAACAATCAGTTCATACTCAAAAACCCACAAATGTAACCAAGTTAAACCAGTTCTGCATGGAAGAGTGGGCCAAAATTCCTTCACAGGGATGTGAGAGACTGATCAACAACTACAAGAAGTGTTTGGATGCAGTCATTGCAGCTAAAGGTGGCACAACCAGTTATTGAGTGTGAGGAGTCAATTACTTTTTCCACACAGGGAAATAACTTTGTTTATTAAATACATTTAAAAAAGTTGAAATATTAGGTTTTGGTTGAAGATCTGACAACATTCAGTGTCCAAAATATGCATAAATAGACAGAACGACACTGTAAAATCGATTTTTCCCCCCATCCCTACCCAATATGAGACTGACCATGCCTACAGTTGAGTGCTCTGCCATCTTCAAATCTAGCAGGGATCCATACATCCATCATCAACCTCTCATATGGGCCAACCATTTCAAACCCCAATTCAGCATGTGTGTTTATTTACACGACTGAAAAAAGTGCCTCGAGTGATATCACGAGGTGGGAACTGTTGACAGGGCTGAGGCCGATGGCTCCAGAGATGCTCCCCCCTCCATATGGAAGCCATCAGGGGATGTGAGAACCGGGACTTTTCCCACTCCCCCTCCATCCTCCTCTTTCAGGATGCTCCAACATCATATCATATCGGAGCTGACACGGAAAGTAGTCTTACAGTAGGAGGCCCCCGCCACACTATCCCAAGGCACCGGCAGCAGAGAGATAGAGTCAATATTATGCTCACTAGCCCCTGAGAAAGAGCTGGACGGGGGATTTTTTAGAAGGCGCACCAAGCCACCCACAGGAAGCTTCCCACTCGCTGTGTTCTTACTCGCACAACCAAGTCAAAGGGTCGCAAAATGTGACTAAATGGTCACATTCTGGCTCCAAACCTCAGTCTAGGGTAGCCTTAAGAGGCTTATAGGCGAGTCAAAACATCCTGATTCAAGATTATTGCAGTTATTTTCGCCTGCTAAGCTAACAAGTGTTAACTTTCTGCGAACCTCAATCCCAGTTTTCTTCATTTCTGTTTGTTAGTGGCAGAACAGAGACAAGACTACAGAGACCGACATCGCAAGAATAGCTTTGTGAACTCGTAACTTTAGAGGGGACATAAAGATTAATTACTGTAGGCCTATGCTTTGACAAAGTGTGACCTTTCTTCTTCTTCTGCATAACAATAGCAAATGATTGAGTGACCGAAATCTAGAAGGCCTTATCTACAATACATTTTGAAATCTCAATTGAATGCAGTTGACAACAACGTTACAACTGGGTTAGAATATCTTCGTCAAAACCAACCAGAGGTTAACTAACTTACCCGAGATCTGTGCAAGGGATTGCCAAAATTGGTTCCTTCTGGAGCCAGGAGCAACCATCCTCCATATATAGGTTTTGCCTGATGGGAAAGAAACAATTAAAGATGGATTAAAGAAAGCATTAACAAAAGGATTAATTGGAGAGATAATGATTTACTAAGACTCCCTAGATAAGAGCACCTGCTTGGTGACTCATGCGTAGCCTCCAGTTAGAGTAACGTCAGACCGCATAACAACACTGAAATAGCCTTGCGTTATAACTGTTTATTACCGATGTACACTACATGACCAAAAGTATGTGGACACCTGCTCGTCGAACATCTCATTCCAAAATCATGGCCATTAATATGGAGTTGGTCCCCCCTTTGCTGCTATAACAGCCTCCACTCTTCTGGGAAGGCTTTCCACTAGACGTTGGAACATTGCTGCGGGGACTTGCTTCCATTCAGCCACAAGAGCATTAGTGAGGTTGGGCACTGATGTTGGGCGATTAGGTCTGGCTCGCAGTCGGCGTTCCAATTCATCCCAAAGGTGTTCGATGGGGTTGAGGTCAGGGCTCTGTGCAGGCCAATCAAGACAAACAGTTGGCACTATGTATTGGGGCAGGTAGAGTTCTCCTTGCATCGGTCAAACCCAGATTCATCCGTCGGACTGCCAGATGGTGAAGCGTGATTTATCACTCCAGAGAACGTGTTTCCACTGCTCCAGAGTCCAATGGTGGCGAGCTTTACACCACTCCAGTCAAAGCTTGGCATTGCGCATGGTGATCTTAGGCTTGTGTGCGGCTGCTCGGCCATGGAAACCCATTTTATGAAGCTCCCGACGAACAGTTCTTGTGCTGACGTTGCTTCCAGAGGCGGCTTGGAACTCGGTAGTGAGTGGTGCAACCAAGGACAGACGATTTTTACGTGCTACGTGCTTCAGCACTCGGCGGTCCCATTCTGTGAGGTTGTGAGGCCTACCACTTTGCGGTTGAGCCGTTGTTGCTCCTAGACGTTTTCACTTCACAATAACAGCACTTACAGTTGACCAGGGCAGCTCTAGCAGGGCAGGCACTGCCAATGTTTGTCTATGGAGATTGCATGGCTGTGTGCTCAATTTTATACACTAATTTGAAGGGGTGTCCACATACTTTTGTATATATAGTGTATATACACTACACATTAGGGCTGGCATAATTACCGTATAACCGACAGTTATGGATGAAGACCACCATGAAAATAAAATAAACGTCATAACCGTAAAAAATATATATATATTTATGTTTTTGTGGAAGGAACAGCTGACTGAAGACGGGACAGTCGGGCATTCGTACGGTTGAGTCTGTTGCTGCTGTAACATGGACTCCACAACGTCATGAAACTGTTGCTCCTTGCTGAAACAAGCAAGACGTTGTAGCAAATGAGTCTTCGGTTGCTTAGCCAACATCCACCTCCCTGCAGCAGCACATGCAATCAGGAGCAGAGGAGAGGAGAAAATGTGCAAAGATGTTGTTTTTGCAATTCTAACGGTTATTACAGTGACCGGGGTCATTTGGCTGACCAATAACCATCATCCAAAATTCCATGACCGTCACAGCCAATGATTTATATATACACTAAATGACTGACGGGGTTTTCAAGCTCCTCCATCTTGGCACTCCCTCACCATTGTAAAAAATGCAATTCTACACATTTTGTAATGACCTATGACATCTTAATATCATGAGTGAGAATGACTAACAAAATCAAATGTGGGCCCCCTGGAGGTCAGGGGCCCGGTCGGTATTCGGCCATGATTACCAGCCCTGGGTGATTACTCAAGTATATCCCAGAATAATCTGACTACACAATGGCTGTCTGCTTCAATAGATTGTGTACAAGTTGCAAGCTTTGGCTGGCTGTTTGGACCAGCTGTGTGAGCAGTGTTCAGGCTGCACACACTTTAACTGGCTGCATTCCAGAGCACCAATGCTGCCCTGTACTGCCTTTTAAAAAGAAGGGGGAAAAAGCTTAAAACACGTGATTTTCCCTGTTATCCCCCTAAGTGGGCGGGCAAGAAAGTGAGGAACGAAGCAGAGGAGGAAGGGAGATGAGGGAAGCGGTGTGACAAAAATCTGTTCTCTTCACAAAAAAGATAGACTCGAGATTCTCATTCACTGCGTAAAAAAAAGCAGTTAACTCGTTCACAGGCAGCAGTTAGCCAAAATCTGTTTTCACTAGGCTATGTACACAACAACACTACTAAAGCCTGTTGAGCTCCAACTTGATCTGAAGGGATTGGTCTCGCTGTGTATATAGCCATTGCTGGAGATTTGTTGAGCATGTTTGAAAGGACTTATACTTACCTACTCCCGTAAAACCTAAACAATCAAATTGGCTTATGGAAAGTGCTCAGTTATAACTCCATAAATCCATCATGTCGCTATGGAAAAGTATAAAAAGGTGACAGCGTTGACAGTGTGACGACGAGAGGTCTAAATGTCCCACTTTCATATACTCAGATCAAGTCAGGTCAAAAGTCAAAAGTTCCCCCCGCTAAGGTTTTTTTATAATCCAATGTAAAGCTACTTTATCTTTGATTACAATGTTAGGTGTTTCTCTGCTTGGAGCGATGGAAGGAAAGATAATGTCGAAACAGTGTTAGCTACAGGTAACTGCCAAATTAAAGGAAACACCAACATAAACTCTCTTAATAGGGCGTTGGGCCACCATGAGCCAGAACAGCTTCAATGCAATTTGGCATAGATTCTACAAGTGTCTGGAATTATATTGGAGGTATGAGGCAACATTCTCCCACGAGAAATTCCATCATTTGGTGTTTTGTTGATGGTGGTGTAAAACGCTGTCTCAGGCGCCGCTCTAGTCTCCCATAAGTGTTCAACTGGGTTGAGATCTGGTGACTGAGATACATGGCCATGGCATATGGTTTACATCGTTTTTAATCTTCGTGGTCAATCTTTGTGTAAAAAAAACAATATTGAAGAAAATCATGGTACCAATAATTGCTTCTAATACACCAGATGTATGTCCTTGAACTAAGGCACTGCATCTCAGTGCTTGAGGCGTCACTACAGACCCGGGTTCGATCCCGGGCTGTGTCGCAGCCGGCCGTGACCGGGAGACCCATGATGCGGCGCACAATTGGCCCGGCATCGTCCGGGTTAGGGGAGGGTTTGGCCGGCCGGGATGTCCTTGTCCCATCGCACTCTTACGACTCCTTGTGGGGGCCGGGCGCATGCACGCTGACACGGTCGCCAGTTGTACAGTGTTTCCTCCGACACATTGTTGCGGCTGGCTTCTAGGGTTAAGTGAGCAGTGTGTCAAGAAGCAGTGCGGCTTGGCAGGGTCGTGTTTCGGAGGACACATGGCTCTCGACCTTCGCCTCTCCCGAGTACTTACGGGAGTTGCAGCGATGGGACAAGACTGTAACTACCAATTGGATATCACGAAAATGGGGTAAAAAAATTAAAAAGGAATGAATGGGGTCACGTGATCAATGGCTTTGTCCATTCATATATACAGTAATTGGTGTGGAAGTGCCAGCTTTCAATATACTTTGTATCCCTCACTTACTCAAGTGTTTCCATTATTTTGGCAGTTACCTGTATAGTACAGGTCAAGCATACAAAAAGGAACTTATGAGTCTCTTTACACTAGCAACATCTTGGTTCAGATAGCCTCTTAAGTTTGTGGTCTATATGCTTAAATATTGATAAAGTCACCATCTTGGGGCAGAGCAGGGAATCCATTCTGGCATAACGTCTGTTCATTGCGATTAAGCCGATATCTGACTGTATTACAGATGGAAGAGGACAGGGAGGATGAAGACAATGTAGAAATGTTACAGAATGTTATCCCCCTGCCTCTAGAAAATGAGAGGAGGTAAAAACAAAAGAGAAAAAGAGAGAGTAGTGCTTTGAGGAAAATAAAGAGCAATCTCTGCTCACATGACCAGACGGGGGGGCCTATGCTGAATCCTCCTGAGAAGGGATGGGCAAGACGGATCTAGGTCAGCTTTACCCTTCAATGGTTAAACGCAGTCATTTGTGTGGTGCGTTCATCTCACAACCCCCCCATCGTAATGACTATGTAATACCGCACTGAGAGAATGTGGGCTAGATGGGATGAGTGGGAGGGGGGAGGGCAAATACTAAAGGAATGACCAAAGCTCTTGCTGAAAATATGTTGGGAATGAGATTCACAGAGACAAAGTATCTCTTATGTAATGTGTGCTTGGCCTTTGGTGTTGATGATGATGAGACGCCTGGCTAACGAGACTAGAGTCTGCCAGTTAGTAGCACAATGAGAACAGTCTTTTGATAGCCTTTTGGGTCAGGAACTCCACTAGGTAAGAGTCAGCCACAAAGCTATTTTCATCCATGCAAGGAGGACAGTCTGTTGTGAATATCGTGGAATAGATGTGTAGTGCTGTGTTCAGTTGAAGATGTATCTCCAGTCAAAAGAGACAAACTACTCCTAAAGTCAAGCAGACCACGACAGAGTGTGTGTATGTGTGTCTCCGTTGATGCAACGTGTGTGTGCATCAATCACATATTTAGTCATAATATGACGTTTCAGTGTCTAAGAGCTTACCAAAAGCTATGGCTATATATGCTGTAAAGTTAATATCTAGATTTGACCCAACGACCTCTCAAACGTCTAAAACTAATGGTTGTACAGCATTGAGAAAATCAGCACTGTCACTGTGCAGCTATTCCTGTAGTCTTCTGATCAAAATTATATATAGTTTAGGGTGTCTCCCCTGTTAAAGACCAGGCACTTCTCACCAACATAACAACTTAATTCTATACCAAGGCCATCCTTAGCCAGTTCTCTTATGACAAGCGAGGGCAACAATGTAAAATGTGCAAGGTAAGCAATGATTTTATTCTTACCATAGGAAAAATCCTAATAAGTTGGGGTTTCAACATCTGCATTGCTTGCTGTTTGGGGTTTTAGGCTGGGTTTCTGTATAGCACTTTATGACATCTGCTGATGTAAAAAGGGCTTTATAAAACACATTTGATTCAATATGCTTTTCATTCAACCACGATGTGTTTGACAAGCCTAACCAAATTGCATGCATCTCCTCGTTGACTTCTTTAAAAACTGTCCGTGCCATTCCAAACATTGTGCTCTTTCATGTCTGGGAGTTAAACTAATCTGTGCACGAATTAAGGATGATAGCCTATACCCTGGGGCTAACAACTAATTACGTCCAATTAACCTAAACCTTTGTACCATGCCTATTTGACATATGGCTAACTCACAGGAAACTGTATTGCACAATGTACACTTTCTGTATTGTGAAAATAGAACTTTGCTGAAATTGCCAATCACAAGTGATAAATACCCACATGACCCCCCCCCCCCCCCCCTCCTAAATGTAGTATACGTTACGAATTAGCTAAACGTATGCTATGTTCCGAATTCTAGCTAGGTGGCTAACGTTAGCTAGGCTAGGGTTTAGGGTTAATTTCAGGAGTTAGGTTAAAGGGTTGAGGTTAGGGTTAAGGGAAGGGTTAGCTAACGTGCTAAGTAGTTGCAAAGTACCAAAAAAGTAGTAAGTAGTTGAAAAGTTGCTAATTAGCTAAAATGCTAATGTTGTCCGTGATGAGATTCGAACTCGCAACCTTTGGTTTGCTAGATGTTTGATAGATGTTTGTCCCGTGTAGCTCAGTTGGTAGAGCATGGCGTTTGCAACGCCAGGGGTGTGGGTTCGTTTCCCACGGGGGACCAGTATGAAAAAAAAATATATATATATGCGCTCACTAACTGTAAGTCGCTCTGGATAAGAGCGTCTGCTAAATGACTAAAATGTTGGCCCACCCATCCACCCTACTTTCGTTTATGCCTAAAATGTTGGCCCACCCATCCACCCTACTTTCGTTTATGCCTTAAGTAACCATACCAAACGTAACATATCATACTAACTAGTTTACCGGGGGCAAACTACCCGCCCTCCAGGACACCTACCGCATGAGATGTCACAGGAAGGTCAAAAAGATCATCAAGGACATCAACCACCCGAGCCACTGCCTGTTCACCCCGCTATCATCCAGAAGGCGAGGTCAGTACAGGTGCATCAAAGCTGGGACCGAGAGACTGAAATACAGCTTCTATCTCAAGGCCATCAGACTGTTAAATAGCCATCTCTAGCACATTAGAGCTGCCTATAGACATAGACTAGAAATCACTGGCCACTTTAAGAAATGGTACACTAGCCACTTTAATAATGTTTACATATCTTGCATTACTCATCTAATTTGTATATACTGTATTCTATACTATTCTACTGTATCTTAGTCCATGCCGCTCTGACATCGCTCGTCCATATGTATATATTTTTAATTCATTCTTTACTTAGATTTGTGTGTATTGAGTATATGTTGTGAAATTGTTAAATATTACTACACTGTCGGAGCTAGAAGCACAAGCATTTCACTACAACCGCAATAACATCTGCTAAACACGTGTATGTGACCAATAAAATTTGATTTGATAATGTGTGTCCCGGATTTACATTTACTGTAGGTAGTCTAGTCTATGAGACCAGGCTGCAATATTAAATCATATTTAAAGTACTTTGAAAATTCCAAAAACAAATATTTTCACTTATAACATTCTAATAAATGTAAATGTTAAGCCCGAATAAAACAAAATATTTGTTTTTCTAGTATAAAAATACAGTTTCCCTGCCGGACAAGGATTGTCCCGAGTTTCAAGAATCCCTGAGCTAATTTCCTGCTATTCTACACATTTTGCCATGAGGCTGAGAGAAAATGTTGCAATTTTAAAGGCAATTTCCTGATATTCTAAATGATTTGTTCATGGCTTATGACGTCTAATGCTATCTGGAGGGGGGCCGACCTCCGGGAGCACCCACAAAGCTCGTGGGCTGCGGGGCGGGGGGGTGCTACGGCAATGAGCATGACCCCATGACTGTGAAACATATGGCAACACTTGCTTACCTGATTTAAATCTTCGTCGCTCAATAAATGAGATTCTCTTGGTTTAAAGCAATTCTGGCATTTACTTTTGTTGAAAATGTTGGCTTGGAATTTCCGACATGGATTGTCTTTCGAGGACATGGTTGAAATACCCAACTGAGCTTAAATTGGTGCCAATTGATACCGTTTCCCTTCTGAAACTGCGCAATTATTTCTCCGTGTACCCTACTATCCCGAGTGGGTTGCAGTAAATAGCGTTGGAGCGCTAGACGCTTGTCCAAGTTGTGTGCGGCAATGATATAAAGTCATTCCAAATTCCACAACACGATGTGAGAGGTCATTCAAAATTCATTAAACTACTTAATGGAAAACTGTGTCTGAATGGCTTAGTAGCCTAGTTAGATAAAGAAGCTAGTCCAGCACATAGTTTAAGGTACATGTAAACAGCGACGTCCACCTATTACTTTGATACGTACAAGCTCATTATCATCGACTAATGCTTACTAAACCGGATAAAGAATTAGGTAATATCAATGATCTTATCATCTTGTTGCTCGCGAGGTACCTCCCACAGCGCAGCTGCTGTCGTGATAACTTTTTTGCTCACATTTGAACAGGCCAATTTATAAATTGACAACGTCGCAGAATATGGGAATCCAGGCGTTTGTACTCCACACTCTCGTCTTGGTAAATACTTTACTACAAGGTGTACAACAACACTACACAGGTGACATTTCGCCGGTCCTCTCGCTCACTGCAATGGTCCCGTGAGCCTCCATAGAAACACCACGACAGGAGTTGCAGTTTCGCCTATTTCTCAAATAAGTAGTCAACGGAATGCATTGCAGCTATATCCAGGTGACTAACGCTTGTTGTTCCCCTCAAATTGATTCTCCATGATCAAAATGATCCAACTTTCGTCAGGAATTGTAGTTTGTAGCCATGTCCAACGCATTTTTGTCTGTGGTCGTGGTAGCAACATAGAAACGTAGCTTGCGCTGAAAACTGTAAACGCACTCTCTAGCAAAGTCACGGGGAGCCAGTCAGCCGAGAGAAGAGGAGGTGCTGAAAACGAATGAGCTGTTGACTGTCAGCAATACAAACCAATGAGAAAAAGAAACACGCCCACTACTAAGACTACAATTGATGTGTGTCCAATAGAAAATATTAGAAACACTTGGCAATTTTATGGAACAACACGGATCAAGTTAGGTGGGCTCCTCAAGGTCTTTGGCTTCAGTTTGAGTATTTTAAGTTTGTAGTATTTTAAGTGTTTTTAACAGTGTTCTGTAGCAGGAAATTGACAATTGAATATTGCACATTACCCTTTACATTTCTTCTAAAAAGTAGTGGACCTACATTTTCTGAGTTGGGAATTAAATGAAAGCAGGCTCTGTATTCCACTTTGAATCAATTAAGACTGAATTGACCTGGCATGTGCAATCATATGTAGCTATATAACGCCCTCCTGTGGTATTAAATGAGTTGAAAATAAAATTATTGTGTATCACAATCAAAAGGAGTTTGAGAATACATGGTATTCATCATTGAGATGTAATAGTATTCTAATTCCTAATTCTATGGAATTCATCTTTATTGAGAAATATATCGTGCATTATTTGAATACGTTTTCATCGTTGTTGGTTGGCAGAGAGGATGTTAGTGGTGTCATCCAGTTGAATTATTAAAAGGAGTCACTTTAACTCTACCCACATGTACATATTACCTCAACTACCTAAACTAGCCGGTGCCCCCGCACATTGACTCTGCACCGGTATCCCCCTGGATATAGCCTCCCTACTGTTATTTTATTTTCCTTCTGCTCTTTTTTTCTCAACACTTTTTTTTTGTTGTTGTTTTATTTTACTTTTTTATTAAAAAATAAATGCATTGTTGGTTAAGGGCTGTAAGTAAGCATTTCACGGTAATGTCTACACCTTTTGTATTCGGCGCATGTGGCAAATCAAATTTGATTTGATTTGATTTGATAAACAGATGACAGCTCAAGGTATGACCTCTGGAAATCACACACTGTGTCGACCTGAGACCTTCTCCCGCCTACATCTGCTTGAGAATTTAGATAATTACTTTTTTTTTAAGTGACTTTAAACCAATGCTCTTTAACATTGTCATAGCTTCAAGTGACAATGGATAGAAAAACATTTTGAGTGACTTTACCATCACTGAAGGCAGCCCATTTTAAGGTTCCCGTCTGTTTGGCTTTGCGGAGACGCTCCACATTCCCAGACAGCGCCTCCATGTGTTTGCTCAGTGCAGTCTTCACGTCTACCAGGTCACTAACATTACCCAACTACAACATAACAATTGAGAAAATACAACCGTGTCAAGTTATTGGTCATGGAACATGAAATCATTGATTGTGATTGGTCAAATGCAATTTGGCTGTCGTTGCACCTGACCTCCTTTTAACTGCTGTATGACTTCTGAGCATCCCCAACAAGAGCTTCAGCAAGTGCTCCATCCAGCTTCTTCTGCAGATGGTCGATGACAGTTATGATGGTCAGTGACAGTGTCATGAGGAACTCATCAGCCTGAACCTAAAATATAAAATATAAACACACTTTACACTCCACAGAACAACTGTGACTCTAACCTGATAGTGACACTGACCCATTGAGTTTGTGTTCACACAACATAGAGATAACCATTCCCAGCCAAACATAAGATCACTGTTATAAAATAGATTTTTATCTCAATGAGACAAACCTGTATAGATATAGGTTAAATAAAATAATAAACAGTATCTTACACTGGTGTCTGTATCTCGCTGCTGCAGGACATCGCTGTATGTCTGCAGCTGCTCTTTCAACTCTGCAATCAGGACTGCAGCATATGTTATCTGCCCACAGAGGGCGCTGTGGTCCTCGGCCAGTCCCACAGAGTAGAGGTCTGCCCAGGGATTTTCACTAGCAGTGGCCTGGCTGGTAGAGCTATCTACATTGCCCTGGGCAACATGTTGGGAACTTTACTTGGATGTGTTGATCTTTGGTCCAGATGCAGGCCTGTGCTCAGACACCACCTTGACTTCCACTCCTTCAGCATATCCATCATGGTTTTGTTCAGCTTCATGTTCCTCTAGCTCCCTAGCCAATGCTTGAGACTGCTCCAGCCTGGTAGGCTATACAGAGAATAACTACTGTACACTGTAAATTAATCATTTACATTCTTAAATGTATATGATTTAAATATATATGTCTGGTGTCAACAACATCTTTAATGACATCATAGGACCCTCAGTTAATCTGCTGTAGGCCTACTAGAATGGTTTTATTGTTCTTCAACTAATCATTATGCCAGATGTGCTAATTTGATGTACAGTACATGATGGAAATTTTGCAACATCTGAATGTTTCTTTCATCAGCCAGTTGTACAAAAAGCCTTTGAAATGTGTGGAAATACAGCTATGACAACGACACCAGTCGTTACAGTAGCAACACCTTTATTTGTGCTGTTTTGTCAGTATAAAACAAATCATTCCCATTCCCTTATAGATGGTTCACACTGGCAAAAAAATTACATTGAACCGCTGCATGCGTTGTCACTATTGACAGATACCTGTAGTAAAAGCAGCTTAACAAACTCACTATTTTCAATGGTGTGTTTGGTGATTAGAAAGGCAGTAATTGCCATTACAAATTGCTGCATGTTAATCAACTTGAGCATTTTGTGCCACTGCAAACATCACAATACTATAACTACAAAAAAAAGAGCTCATCATGTAAACGAAAGCGATTGTTTTGCTATCTGAAATTAAAGATGTCTCCACCAATTGTTAAATCATTATTGGCATCACAGAAACATATGCATAAATCTCACTGAAAAAAATTATAGAAACAATAACAAACAGTTATACAACAACAGGTTATTGTTGAATCCTTATTAATTGCTATTAATAGTGGTTAAATTAGTAGCCAACTTACATGTTTAACCTTATAAAAGAAGGAGAACTTTTGGATCACTGAAGTAAGGACCAAAACATGCATTAGTTAACTCCTGATTGTTTTAGTGTGAAGAAGACATGATTTTGCTGATTTCAATACTGTATGGCATGTTCACTGTTTGTTGCCGTAGCACTCAATAACATGAGCCTTGTACTCGGGGAAAGGCTCTATTGACACAAACCATGATACAAAAAGGCAATGTTTAGTGTCTGTCTGATAAGTGTAGTATTATCTACAAGATTAGTGAACCATGAGGGGAGGGGATCCGACCACCTCCATTTTCAGATTATAGGTAGAGTACTGAGGTGTGTTTTCCCTTGACAAATCCTGTAAAAAAAAAAATCCCACCAAAAAAGCTAAAGAGATATTGAGATATAGATAGAGAAAGAAAACAAAACAATTAAATCTGAATGTGTACACATTTCTGTTCAACTCTCTGAGGCAGACTCTTCTAAGAATAGAGTGAGGTGATTAGGAACTGTTGATGGAGGGAGAGCGAACAGCCCCTTCTTCTTCTTCCTCGTTCTGACCCTCCTCTCCCTCCACGAGAGGTTCTCTATCTGAAGGTCCACTGGGGGGCGGGGCGCCAGATCTCTTGGTTGTCTTATTCAGAATCCCACCCTGAGGATACAAGACAGAAGATTTGCTGAGGTAACAACAAAATAACAAATGTAGAAAATGATACAACTTCATTGTTACATTGACTAAAGGATATCCTAAGAGGTGACACACACACAAACAGTTGATGTTGCTCTAGACATCTAATAAAACAAGTAATTTGACATAAAAGCAAATTAGTTCAGATCAATGAGCTGATTTCAAGTGCTATAATTACTTCGGACAATCTGAACACATTATTTTAGATAGGCGAGTTTTATATGATTGAAAAGACACGTATCGTGGCAGTGAAAGAGGAAATGGAGAAGGAGGGAGACAGGAAGTGAGTCTGGTCTTACCTGGCGGTGGTCTACGATGTTGAGCACCACAGAGGTGACGATGCAGGCGATGGTGTTGGCCAACATGAAGACCATCATCTGCTGCCAGCGCCACAGTGGGATCTTAGCATCACTACCCACACAGGAGACACACAGTTTACATACAGACATGCCATAACACTACGCCAACAAAAATAATACGTAATTTGCTGATATCACATCATCATTGTGCTGCAGTGAGCTCTACCTTGACTTGGTTCCCAAGATCTGGCCCACAACAAGGTTGGATATGCCAATTCCTATCATCTGTACTGAGGTAGCAAGACCCATTGCTGTCCCCAGAGTTGCCTGAGGGACCACCAGGGGAATAGAGGGCCACATGCTTGCCTGAAAAACAACACACATACAACTAACAAAGAGCACTTGTGTCATTGCAAATGTATTTCCACTGTGCTTCAAAGAAAATGTACAGCGAAGTACAAGACAATCCCTTTCCTACACAATGGGGACTGCCAATAGACCAACTTGAGTCACCTACTGTATGTGAATCTTCTCCAATCCGTATACAATATGCAACTCCTTCTCAAATCCAATTGAATGAGAAAGCCAGAGGTCCCTCCCCTCTGACCTCCTCCAATGGGTTTTGAGAAGGAGACGAGGAGAGAGGACGCAAGGAGTATGCAACTGAGATCTTCACAGGGTGTTTACCCTAAATCAGGAGGATACTAGCTGAAGTGTACAAAATAGGTGGGATGTGCAGTGGATTACAGAGCTACTTGGGAGCAGGCTTAGTATAGTCAAAGTATAGGGCTCAGACATGTGCATTTTTACGTTTTAGTAATTTAGCAGACACTCTTATCCAGAGACTTACAGTAGTGAGTGCAAACATTTTCATACTGGTCCCCCGTGGGAATCGAACCCACAATCCTGGCATTGCAAGCGCCATACTCAACCAACTGAGCCACACGGGACAATACAGTGGCTTTGGAAAATATTCAGTCCCCTTGACTTTTTCCACATTTTGTTACGTTACAGCCTTAATCTAAAATTGATTAAATGAACAAAAATCCTCAGCAATCTACACACAATACCCCATAATGGCAAATGTATTAAAAATACAAAACAGAAATACCTTATTTACGTAAGTATTCAGACCCTTTGCTATGAGACTCTTTCCATTGGTCATCCTTGAGATGTTTCTACAAGTTGGTTGGAGTCCACCTGTGGTAAATTGAATTGATTGGACATGATTTGGAAAGACACACACCGGTCTATATAAGGTCCCACAGTTGACAGTGCATGTCAGAGCAAAAACCAAGCCATGAGGTCGAAGGAATTGTCTGTAGAGCTCCGAGACAGGATTGTGTCGAGGCACAGATCTGGGGAAGGGTACCAAAACATTTCTGCAGCATTGAAGGTCCCCAAGAACACAGTGGCCTCCATCATTCTTAAATGGAAGAAGTTTGGAACCACCAAGACTCTTCCTAGAGCTGGCCGCCCGGCCAAACTGAGCAATCGGGGGAGAAGGGCTTTGGTCAGGGAGGTGACCAAGAACCCGATGGTCACTCTGATAGAGCTCCAGAGTTCATCTGTGAAGATGGGAAAACTTTCCAGAAGGACAACCATCTCTGCAGCACTCCACTAATCAAGCCTTTATGGTAGAGTGGCCAGACGGAAGCCACTCCTCAGTAAAAGGCACATGACAGCCCGCTTGGAGTTTGCCAAAAGGCACCTAAAGACTCTCAGACCATGAGAAACAAGATTCTCTGGTCTGATGAAACCAAGATTAAAGTCTTTGGCCTGAATGCCAAGCGTCACATCTGGAGGAAACCTGGCACAATCCCTACGGTGAAACATGGTGGTGGCAGCATCATGCTGTGGGGATGTTTTTCAGCGGCAGGGACTGGGAGACTAGTCAGGCAAAGAGGCAAAGATTAATGGAGCAAAGTACAGAGAGATCCTTGATGAAAACCTGCTCCAGAGCGCTCAGGACCTCAGACTGGGGGCGAAGGTTCACCTTCCAACAGGACAACGACCCTAAGCACACAGCCAAGACAACGCAGGAGTGGCTTCGGGACAAGTCTCTGAATGTCCTTGAGTGGCCCAGCCAGTGCCCGACTTGAACCCGATCGAACATCTCTGGAGAGACCTGAAAACAGCTGTGCAGCAATGCTCCCCATCCAACCTGACAGAGCTTGAGAGGATCTGCAGAGAAGAATGCGAGAAACTCCCCAAATACAAGTGTGCCAAGCTTATAGCGTCATACCCAAGAAGACTCGAGGCTGTAATCGCTGCCAAAGGTGCTTCAACAAAGTACTGAGTAAAAGGTCTGAATACTTATGTAAATGTAATATTCCAGTTCTTTATGTTTAATATAAATTAGCAAACATTTCTAAAAACCTGTTTTTGCTTTGTCATTATGGGGTATTGTGTTTAGATTTATGAGGGGAAAAAACAATTTCATCATTTTTAGAATAAGGCTGTAACGTAACACGTAACAAAATGTGGAAAAAGTCAAGGGGTCTGAATACTTTCCGAAGGCACTGTACATTAGAATATTCAATTTAACTCTTTGATAGGACTACTCACAGCAGCGAAGGAGTAGGTGACCCCCAGCCAGATGGTGGATACCAGAGGGGGGACGAAAGTGAAGGCCAGGAGGCCGAAGACAGGCAGCGTGAGGACAGCACAGGCCACAGCAAAGACCCCACGCAGCCCCACGTTGTCCTGCAACACAGACACACAAATGTCAACAATTACAACAACAACAGAGACACAGACACACCAATGAGAGAGAGAGTCAGAAATATACAGTACATCAAATCTTTGGGTCAAAGGTTAGTTTTTCCTGGCCACTGTGTTGCTTCTACTTCTGTTTGCTGTTTGGGGTTTACGCTAATTACTTTAAAGCACTTTGTCACAACTCTTATGTAAAAAGGACTTTATAAATAAATGTGATTGATTGATTGATTGATATTACCGGTAGTACTTTCAGACAACATTACCACCATGTTTTGTGTTATTAACCACCTTAATATAATGAGAATAAATGCTAAGTAACAATCCAAAGAGTAAACAAATGAAGAGTTTAGGAATTGACGGTTGTTGTGACTACCTCAGATACCACAAAGCAGGATTTATAAATGAGGTTTTCACTGGTTCAGGTAAGGTTGCCGTAATGCAGTTGTTTTATGCAGCATAAGGTATAGTAATGGTGGCTTACGATGAGAATTCCAACAGTGGCAGAGAGGACTAGGGAGCTGTCATATACTGCACCAGCGATGTAGGCTGCCTCTTTCTGGCTGTAGTCACTGTACTTGTCCTGTATGAACTTACTGGAAAGGGAGACAGAGGAATCACATACTGTTTAAACATTCAACTGTGTGTGTCTGAGTTAGGGCTGCAAAATGCTGCTAACTTTCCCAAAAATCCCCGGTTGTCCAGATGTCCCGGTTGAAAGATTCCTGGAATCAGGCAGGAATAAGCTGGAAATCTAGAATTGTCCAACCAGGTTTTCTGGAAAAACCTGGGAATTTTCGGAAAGTTACTGGAATTTTGCAACCCTACTCTCTTGAGTGTAAAGTGTGAAAATGTAGGCTGTGTGCGTGCGTGCATGCCTGTGTGTGTGTGTGCCTGCCTGCTTTCCTGCCTGTGTGTGTGCGTGCGTGCATGCATACGTGCGCATGTCAATCAATACCTGGCGTCAGCTATGAAGGGAAAGATTCCGTTGTAGAAGAACATGATGGTGAGAACCAACAGCCAGTATCTGAGAGAGAGCAGCTTCACGTCCTGAAACCTCTACAGACACACAAACAGACAAATAGACATATCTATCATGTCAACAAGCGCATAGGAAAGTCAACAGGATTGTATTATTCATTAGGGCACACAATAGAAAATGTTTGAAAATGTTTTGCAACCCATTAGCATTTCTTATTGGACAAGTTCAGATAGTCCCTCCCTGTTTCAGTCTGTTTTCTTCCGTTTGGTGCCTTATGAATACCACCCAAGCCCATTCAACTCACCACTTTGCGTGACTCTTCCTGAATGGCCCCATCCAGTCCCAGCTGCTTCATGCCCAGCTTGTCCAGGGCACTGACCGTGATGGCAGACATGAAGCCCAGCACACACAGGAAGGCACCTGCGCACGCACACATATACAGTTGAAGTCGGAAGTTTACATACACCTTAGCCAAATAAATTTAAACTCTGTTTTTCACAATTCCTGACATTTAATCCTAGTAAAAATTCCCTGTCTTAGGTCAGTTAGGATCACCACTTTATTTTAAGAATGTGAAATGTCAGAATAATAGTAGAGAGAATGATTTATTTCAGCTTTTATTTATTTCATCACATTCCCAGTGGGTGAGTAGTTTACATACACTCAATTAGTATTTGGTAGCATTGCCTTTAAATTGTTTAACTTGGGTCAAACGTGTCGGGTAGCGTTCCACAAGCTTCCCACAATGAGTTGGGTGAATTTTGGCCCATTCCTCCTGACAGAGCTGGTGTAACTGAGTCCGGTTTGTAGGCCTCCTTGCTCGCACACGCTTTTTCAGTTCTGCCCACAAATTTTCTATAGGATTGAGGTCAGGGCTTTGTGATGGCCACTCCAATACCTTGACTTTGTTGTCCTTAAGCAATTTTGCCACAACTTTGAAAGTATGCTTGGGGTCATTGTTCATTTGGAAGACCCATTTGCGACCAAGCTTTAACTTCCTGACTGACGTCTTGAGATGTTGCTTCAATATATCCACATAATTTTCCTTCCTCATGATGCCATCTATTTTGTGATGTGCACCAGTCCCTCCTGCAGCAAAGCACCCCCACAGCATGATGCTGCCACCCCTGTGCTTCACGGTTGGGATGGTGTTCTTCGGCTTGCAAGCTTCCCCCTTTTTCCTCCAAACATAACAATGGTCATTATGGCTAAACAGTTCTATTTTTGTTTCATCAGACCAGAGGACATTTCTCCAAAAAGTACGATCTTTGTCCCCATGTGCAGTTGCAAACCGTAGTCTGGCTTTTTTATGGCGGTTTTGGAGCAGTGGCTTCTTCCTTGCTGAGCGGCCTTTCAAGTTATGTCGATATAGGACTTGTTTTACTGTGGATATAGATACTTTTGTACCTGTTTCCTCCAGCATCTTCACAAGGTCCTTTGCTGTTGTTCTGGGATTGATTTGCACTTTTCGCACCAAAGTACGTTCATCTCTAGGAGACAGAATGCGTCTCCTTCCTGAGCGGTATGACGGCTGTGTGGTCCCATGGTGTTTATACTTGTGTACTATTGTTTGTACAGATGAACGTGGTACATTCAGGCGTTTGGAAATTGCTCCCAATGATGAACCAGACTTGTGGAGGCCTACAATTATTTTTCTGAGGTCTTGGCTGATTTCTTTTGATTTTCCTATGATGTCAAGCAAAGAGGCACTGAGTTTGAAGGTAGGCCTTGAAATACATCCACAGGTACACCTCCAATTGACTCAAATGATGTCAATTAGCCTATCAGGAGCTTCTAAATCCATGACATCATTTTCTGGAATTTTCCAAGCTGTTTAAAGGCACAGTCAACTTAGTGTATGTAAACTTCTGACCCACTGGAATTGTTATACAGTGAATTATAAGTAAACAATTGTTGGAAAAATTACTTGTGTCATGCACAAAGTAGATGTCCTAACCGACTTGCCAAAACTATAGTTTGTTAACAAGAAATTTGTGGAGTGGTTGAAAAACAAGTTTTAATGACTCCAACCTAAGTGTATGTAAACTTCCGACTTCAACTGTATATATATATATATATATATATACCTTAGCTGTGATCAATTCAGGATGTATCACAGCCTCATGGCCTTACTGCTTTATTATACAATTTTATTTGAGCACTTTCCGTTTACTGTACTTTTCCCACTAGTATATTTACCTGGTATTCCAGTAGTACTACTGTTTCCACTAGAATTTACTAGGAAATTGTGGTATCAATGCGTACTTTCTCGTACCCATTTCAACACAATTTCCAACTACCTTATACCAAAAAGTGCCTTGTGTTGCCTGTTTGAATGGATCCTTAGGAATCAAACGTCTCATAGGTTATTATTGTGTTATTACCGTTTTACCATGTAATTTCCGACTTAAATACCAGGTCATTTATGTGCCGTAAAATAAAGTGCAGCCGTTGTATGTCCTACCTCCCCATAGGGTCCACTGCATGCCATACTGGGCCTGGAACCTCTGGGTGAGGAAGAAGTTGAGGACGGAGCCCAGGCGGGAGAAGGCCAGGGTCAGGCCAAACGCCAGGGCCAGCTCCTTCCCCCGGAACCAGAACGCTGTAATCCGGTTCTGGACAACTGAGGGGGAGGGATAGGGTGCTTAGGGCTCAAATGCAGGAAGGATGATTTTGAAAGTATTGGAACTCGGCCCGTAGCAGTATATTGCCTCATTCATATAGGGCCGAACAGTACTGTGTTTGGCCTGGGTCGTATATTTTCTTTTCACATTGTCCTTTCCAGCACGGTTCCAGCAACTATGGTGGATGCGTAACCAGGCCAGCCTACCGTGTGAATCAGATATTAAGGTGGCCTTACTGGTGAGTGATCCATTGCCAGAGCCAAACAGCAGACGCCCGGTGAGCATGAGAGGGAGCAGGTAGGCTGTTCCTTTGAAGTGAGAACCCAGAGCAAAGATGGCTGACCCCAGCACACACAGGAAGGAGAAGAGGAAGACACCAACTACAGAGAGAGAGAGAGAGAGAGAGAGAGAGAGAGAGAGAGAGAGAGAGAGAGAGAGAGAGAGAGAGAGAGAGAGCATTAGGAGAACCAACAGCCAATTCAGCACCATACACCAGAGAACAAAGCATTGGTTGTTCCAGTATCTCAATCAATGTGAATTCAATGATTAAAAACGTCACAGAGTTTTGAATCTCTGTTTAATGCAGTAGAGTAGACAATAGCAACTTACAGCGGTTGCCCAGTTTGTCAATAAGGAACCCAGCCATTATAACCACCACTGCATTACTGTTGACAGAGAGAAAATAGTTAGATATAAGGCCTATAGTTATTAATTTCATTAATATATAGGGGTTGTTTACACTTACGTCCATGCATATATGGCATAGAGCAGGTTATACTCCTGAGGGGTCATCCCCAGTCCCTCCACACAGTCCACTGTCCCATTGATAACTGTTGTATTGGCACATGTCAAATTCTTTGTGCAGGGGGAAAATGAACAGTGATTTGTTATCAACCCAATTCTGCCTCGTGCATTAGGCACTGTGTAATTCATGATTCCAACACAAAGTGTGTAATTAATTAGGCTCAGTGTGTAGAAGTGTTGGTTAAGCTCTGTTGTGAAATGAGTGCATTCAGTGTGAGAAGGCTACTTTACTCTCATTATGTAAAGGCCTATATAGGCTACTCCTGCGACTCACCCCTTGAAACTGGTCCTGGAGGACACTAGGGATGTCGAAGCAGAAGTAGGAGCCAAACGTGAGCAGACAGTTGAAGAACAATACCAGAAAGCGGTAGTATGCTGTGAGAAGACAGTGTGATGCATGACATATGACTAACAGCCACGTCACAAAACCTTGCTGCTAAATGCCAGTGGTCACCAACCCTGGTCCTGGAAACCTACAGGGTGTGTAGGCTTTTGTTCCAGCCCAGCACTAACACACTTCAGTCAGTTAATCAGGGTTTTGATGAGCAGTTAATTTGTTGAATCTTTTGAGTTAATGCTGGGATGGAAACAAAAGCTTGCACAACGTGTGAGCTACAGGTCCAACAACTGCACTTTACAGATTTTACCAAAAGAGTGAATACTCGATAACTAATTAATGTTATAAATAACCATAATAAATATAAAACAGAAGACATTTGTGGAGTTTGCAGTGAGCCAAGTTTGCCAACAAAGCAATTACAAAAATAATTTTTGATGTTGCACAATTCAAGAGGGGTTTCTTGGCAATGGATCTCTGAATTTGATTATCCCTCTCTATGGACAGAAAAAAAACTAAACATAATATAATTATTCTGGGCCCCATACCTCTCTCTGCCGGCTGCGCCATAATAAGCTAAAACGAGGACCACAAACTAAAGTAGCCTAAATGTAAATGCCCATTTGTTTTCTGTTTATGTCCGTCAGAAGAACCGAATGGTTATTCAATAAATCGCGGTGTTCGAAGTTGCAACAACGCAGATTGCGCGCTCTTTAAAGTATATGGATAGATTATGAGATACTTTTTGAACACACGGTTGCTTTGCAAGTCGCTGAATGCGCGCAAGGGCTCGAGGTGTAATGGCAAGAACTTCCACTGCCCTCGTGCGCCAACGTCACATCCTTGCTGACACAGCTCCTCGTTTGGATTGGTTCTCCAGCTCCTGTCAAATAAGTAGGGATAGTATCTTATGCCGCGTTCAAAACAACTGTGAATTCGGAAAAATACGAGGTCAAATCATGACGTCAGTGATCTTCAGGTCGAAAAGTCGGAGCTCTAGAAAGAGGCCCGAGTTCCAGAGTTGGAATTTTGAGTTGGATGACTGTTCAAATCGATTTTTCCCAGTCGGAGATCGTTCTTTTCCGAGTTCCCAATTGTTTTGAACGCGGCAGTAGTATGGAAAAGAAAATCGCTTATCTGATATTTAATTCAACACTATTTTGTTTGATATACCGGGTGACCAAGGCAATTTAAACAAAGATTAATTTGAGAACTTCTGAAGAAAAGTTAAATCAAGAGGTTATAGAGTTTTGTGTTATTATAATGTTGTATTTAAGCAATAAGGCCCGTGGAGGTGTGATATATGGCTAATATACCACGACTAAGGTCTGTTCTTCGCACAACCCAACGCAGAGTGCCTGGATACAGCCCTTAGCCATGGTATATTGGCCATATCATTTTTGTCCTCTCTAGTGGACATCAGTTCTTGGTCCGTATCGCTGAGGCCATACAAGCCACTGTATTAAGTCCTGTTGTCCTTCTGAGAGGACATTCTGGGCTTTTCAATGATATCCCGTGTGGGAGTGTGACCTTGACAACTTTATCTTCTTGATTCTAAAAAAAAATGTCTGCTGTTTCTTTTAAAGAAGTGTGTGTAAATATTAATTATAATTATTGTGAGTTTGATATTCAAATTGTTTCTAGTAAGTGAATATCTCAGGAATAGTTAAGTGAGTTGTCAGGACTGTGTAATAATTTGTTCACATTAAATAATAGCCAAAAATAGAGATTATCAAGAAATGTCCTCTGTAGTGGACTCCCGGATGCCACAACTATGTTTTTCACCTATTGTAATGTAAATATTTTCATATTTACTTCCTAATAACCACTACAGAGGACAATTTTGCACTTACAATAACAGATAAATAACAATAATAAAAATTTAAAACATCTTGGTAACATGTTTTCTTTCACCCCAAACACTTATGTTATATAAAGTCTCAGGGGGGTCTCAGGAAGATATACCACAAACACCAGAGTTGCCTTATTGCTATTATAAACTAGTTACCAACGTAATTAGAGCAGTACAAATAAATGTTTTGTCACACCTGTGGTAGACGGTCTGATATACCACGGCTTTCAGCCAGTCAGCATTCAGGACTTGAACCACCCAGTTTATAGCTGACAGCCGTGGTATATCAGACCGTATACCACAGGTATGACAAACCATTTATTTTTTGTGCTCTAATTACGTTGGTAACTAGTTTATAATAGAAATAAGGCACCTCTGGTGATGCGTCATGCATAAGAACAGCCCTTAGCCATGGTATATTGGTCATACACCACACCCCCTCGTGCCTATTGCTTAATTATACAGTGTGTGTGTGAGTGTGTGTGTGTGTGTGTGTGTGTATGAGTGTGTGTGTGTGTGATATAGTGTTTAGCCATCATTCATACAATCCAATCAGTAAATAACTGTGAGAGGCAGTTGGTACAACATGCCTCAAGTGTACTGTTCTGTACAAGCTAAGGCAAGGATCATGACAGTTGACGTGTCCCTGCCATCCTGTCCACCATCTGCTGTTCCAATTAAATAATTCTAATCCAATGAAGGTTCAGGTCGTGCACACCTACACACACAGCACGTGCAGTATAGCTGTAGGATTAACCATTAGAAATAGAATGTTAAATACTGACAGCAGAGGAGGCTGGTGGGAGGAGCTATAGGAGAACGGGTTCATTGGAATGGTTGGGATGGAACGGTATCAACTGTATATAGAAACCACGTTTGACTCCAACCAATCCATATTCCATTCCAGCCATTACAATGAGCCCGTCCTCCTATAGCTCCTCCCACCAGCCTCCTCTGACTGACAGTCAGGTAGCCATGATGATTTGAGATATTATCGCTGACTCCAAATGAGGGCATTGAATTACGGAGCACGATTTGATGTTTGTACCTCGTAGCACTCCGTCCAGAAAGTGTTACATTCTTGCCAGAAGCTGCAACCTGCAAGATAAACCTAACCAGTTTGAAAACAATGAAGTTCAAAATGCGACTGGTGCAATTCTGTGATTGCTAGGTTTCTTCTGCTGTTTTAGATTTGGTTTGTGTAATATTGCATTCCGTTATGAAAAGGCATTCCATTATTTTGTCTTGGGTAGAAATATGTCTGTATTGAAAAGAGCCAAAACATGGGAGATATCAGAATCTGAGGGCGAAAGCGATGCTGAACATAAACCTTCAATCAAATGCATTTCATTTATTGATCAGGATGACGATAACAATGAAACAGCGACGGCCAATAGTCGTACTGACAATCTCGAACAGGACAACAAAGACTACAACACAGATTGCAAGTCAACAGCCAAAACCGAACCAAGTGACACATTGGTGGCTCCACGACCCGCTAGGTCCGGTACCGCAAGTCCGGCGAGAAAACGCCGAACCAAAGAGGAGATAGAGGCTGACAGACAGAGTATTGAGGAGAGGAAGGAGGCCAGAGAGAAACTCAAGAGGGTGAGGGCCAAAGAGAAAGAGGAGAGACGAGAAGATCAACAGAAGAGAAAAGAAGCTGCAGAGCGTCTGAAGAGCCTCAGACCTGAGAACTGTTTGAAGTGCCTGACTGTCTGTATTGATCCAGGTAATTGGTTCTTTGTGAATGTAGATGGAAGGGGTTCAGATGGTGTTAAAGCAGAGGAGGCTGGTGGGTGGGGCTATAGGAGGACAGGCTCATTGTAATGGCTGGAATTGAATGAATGGAATTGAGTCAAACATTACGTTTCCATATGATTGATCTGTTTGATACCGATCCATTTATATAATTCCAGCCATTACAATGAGCCTGTCCTCCTATAGCTCCTCCCACCAGCCTATTCTGTGTTAAAGGCACACTGTAAATAAGACGTGACGAGGGCCACCAACACAACTGTAAAGAATGGCGAAAATTAAATGCATACCATTATGTGCGTATTATCTCGCTGTGTGTGTATTTCCACTCCCCAGCTCTACTGCAGGATGATGGATCGGATGTGTTGCTGGGAACTCTGTCTGCAGTTGAGTGGAGGAGCAGCATTGAGACACAGCAGCTCCCTCACAGCATCACTTGGACCAGAGATCTTCCGCCGGTAACGTCATCATCACAGACAATACCAGCTCCACAACACAGGCTTGGTGTGTTGGTCCCCACTGTATGACCCCCTCGGCCCTCAGATTGACTAGTTAATGTCTTGATGTTGTCAGGAGGAAGACAGCAGTGGACCACTGGAGGAGGAGCAGGTTCTGCTGGTGTTAGGTCTAACTGACTTCATGGGCATGGTGGTCTCAGTCAAACAGGTGAGCGCCCTTTAAACCTCAACAAATTCTCTGGTGTCTCTACCATTTATATTTACATTTTAGTCATTTAGCAGACGCTCTTATCCAGAGCGACTTACAGTTAGTGCATACTATTTTTCATACTGGCCCCCCGTGGGAATCGAACCCACAACCCTGGCGTTGCAAACGCCATGCTCTACCAACTGAGCTACATCCCTGCCGGCCATTCCCTCCCCTACCCTGGACGACGCTGGGCCAATTGTGCGCCGCCCCATGGGTCTCCCGGTCGCGGCCGGCTACGACAGAGCCTGGATACGAACCAGGATCTCTAGTGGCACAGCTAGCACTGCGATGCAGTGCCTTAGACCACTGCGCCACTCGGGAGTAACTACCAGTGTGTGCAAACCAAACATTAATTTTTTCTGTTCACCTAGACACTGCATGGTGATGGGGAGGAATCGGCAGTGGAGTCTTTCTTCAAGCTTCTGTCAGAGTGCCTCAACCGAGATGCCAAGATGGTGGTTACTGTTTTAGTGACGGGATCCAACGCAAATAGCTGGTTAGTATAAGGTCTGTTTTAAGAATGTGTCTCTGAACCTTGGTCCTCAACACCCTGTGTGTGAAGAGACTGGATTGTATGTGTTGGTCTGTCACCAGGACTGGGACATGGGATGTACATGAGTTGAGCCAAAGATCTCAGTTGGGAATGGAGGACTTGGACATTGAGGAGGTAAGATCTCTTTCTGATATACTATACAATCCCTCTCTTCTCTCCTCAATACATATGTCTGTATCAGCTGGTTTTTCCATTTCCAATGTAGTGCAAAAATGAACCATTCAAGCTGCTTTTTGAACTAAGCTCCTCGCTCAGTTCCTACCCATCGTGTCATGGAGCTTGATGGTTTTCCTAACTTGTCTTTATCTGTCCTCAGGTATTGGTTTTCCTGCAGCTGTACCGGAACGTTACTGTGGTCTTCCTGGACAGCTGGCAGGATGTCACAGTCCACGTGTGTGCCGTCACCAAGGCCCTGTCCAAACGGCCCTACAAGTATGAACCCGATGAACTCTTAATATTCCACATCATTAATAACTATTCAACTTATTAATCTTATCAGTTGGAATTAATGTACTGCCTACATTGGTGCCATGCCATGAGGACAGGCTTTGAGTACCACTAACTTACAGTGCCTTGCAAAAGTATTCATCCCCCTTGGCGTTTTTCCTATTTTGTTGCATTACAACCTGTAATATTAAATGGATTTTTATTTGGATTTCATGTAATGGACATACACCAAATTGTCCAAATAACTTGTTAAAAAATATTTTTTTTAAATAACGCAAAAGTGGTGCGTGCATATGTATTCACCCCCTTTGCTATGAAGCCCCTAAATAAGATCTGGTGCAACCAATTACCTTCAGAAGTCTTCAAAATAATTAGTTAAATTGAACACAGGTGGACTTTATTTAAGTGTCACATGATCTGTCACATGATCTCAGTATATATACACCTGTTCTGAATGGCCCCAGAGTCTGTAACACCACTAAGCAAGGGGCACCACCAAGCAAGTGGCACCATGAAGACCAAGGAGCTCTCCAAACAGGTCAGGGACAAAGTTGTGGAGAAGTACAGATCAGGCTTGGGTTATAAAAAAATATCAGAAACTTTGAACATCCCACGGAGCACCATTAAATCCATTATAAATTTTTTAAAATAATATGGCACCACAACAAACCTGCCAAGAGAGGGCCGCCCACCAAAACTCACAGACCAGGAAAGGAGGGCATTAATCAGAGATGCAACAAAGAGACCAAAGATAACCCTGAAGGAGCTGCAAAGCTCCACAGCGGAGATTGGAGTATCTGTCCATAGGACCACTTTAAGCCGTACACTCCACAGAGCTGGGCTTTAAGGAAGAGTGGCCAGAAAAAAGACATTGCTTAATGAAAAAAATAAGCAAACACGTTTGGTGATCACCAAAAGGCATGTGGGAGACTCCCCAAACATATGGAAGAAGGTACTCTGGTCAAATGAGACTAAAATTGAGCTTTTAGGCCATCAAGGAAAACGCAATGTCTGGTGCAAACCCAACACCTCTCATCACCCCGAGAACACCATCCCCACAGTGAAGCATGGTGGTGGCAGCATCATGCTGTGGGGATGTTTTTCATCGGCAGGGACTGGGAAACTGGTCAGAATTGAAGGAATGGTGGATGGAGCTAAATACAGGGAAATTCTTGAGAGAAACCTGTTTCAGTCTTCCAGAGATTTGAGACTGGGATGGAGGTTCACCTTCCAGCAGGACAATGACCCTAAGCATACTGCTAAAGCAACACTCGAGTGGTTTAAGGGGAACATTTAAATGTCTTGGAATGGCCTAGTCAAAGCCCAGACCTCAATCCAATTGAGAATCTGTGGTATGACTTAAAGATTGCTGTACACCAGCGGAACCCATCCAACTTGAAGGAGCTGGAGCAGTTTTGCCTTGAAGAATGGGCAAAAATCCCAGTGGCTAGATGTGCCAAGCTTATAGAGACATACCCCAAGAGACTTGCAGCTGTAATTTCTGTTTTTTTGGTCTTATTTCTTGTTTGTTTCACAAAATAAAATATTTAGCATCTGCAAAGTGGTAGGCATGTTGTGTAAATCAAATGATACAAACCCCCCAAAAATCCATTTAAATTCCAGGTTGTAAGGCAACAAAACAGGAAAAATGCCAAGGGGGGTGAATACTTTCGCAAGCCACTGTACTTTCTTTACTGTGATTCCCACTGGCTATCATAAGGTGAATGCACCAATTTGTAAGTCGCTCTGGATAAGAGCGTCTGCTAAATGACGTAAATGTAAATTAAACTCTATAACTATAAGTCTGGTCACCAACTTTTGTGCTGGAGCCTGTGGGAAACTACAAAGCATGCAGGCTTTTGCTCCTGCCCAGCAGTACCAAACCTGAGATACCAATCGACTTCATGATTAGATTCTAATGTGTGTTTGAGCTAGGCTGAAACTTAATTCTGCAAACCCTGTAACTGTCCAGGGTTGACAAGGCTTGGTGAGCAGTCAATTGCTGTAGAGTACAATCTATAAACTGTGGTCGTGCCTCTCCACTCCACTGCAGACTGCTGACGGAGCGGTGTGAGCTGCCGTTCTGTGTGGATGGCTCATGGGCCAGTGGGGCGCGTGTGGAACAGGACGGGGTTGGGCTGGGCGAGGTGTGGAGCAGGCAGATCACACAGCTCAACAGGGTCAGCCCTGCAGTGGCCTCCACTTTGACCACAGCCTACCCCTCACCACAAATACTACTGCAGGTAGCAATCTATCTACGTATCGTCTGTTTAGTCAGGATCATTATGAGATACAATAAGACATTGTAAGGTCTCAAATGCTTTTCTTTATGTGGTCAGGCGGAAATGTGTTTGACCTATGACATTTCCACATTATAGACTGACATGATTTCAACAAACGGCATTGATTGACATACTTTTATACTGTAGGTACAGTTGAAGTCGGAAGTTTACATACACTTAGGTTGGAGTCATTAAAACTTGTTTTTCAACCACTCCACACATTTCTTGTTAATAAACTTTAGTTTTGGCATGTCGGTTAGGACATCTACTTTGTGCATGACACAAGTAATTTTTCCAACAATTGTTTACAGACAGATTATTTCACCTATATTTCACTGTATCACAATTCCAGTGGGTGAGAAGTTTACATACACTAAGTTGACTGTGCCTTTTAAAAAGCTTGGAAAATTCCAGAAAATGATGTCATGGCTTTAGAAGCTTCTGATAGACTAAATGACATAATTTGAGTCAGTTGGAGGTGTACCTGTGGATGTATTTCAAGGCCTACCTTCAAACTCAGTGCCTCTTTGCTTGACATCATGGAAAAATCTAAAGAAATCAGCCAAGACCTCAGAAAAAAAATTGGGAGCAATTTCCAAACACCCGAAGGTACCACGTTCATCTGTACAAACAATAGTACGCAAGTATAAACATCATGGGACCACGCAGCCGTCATAACGCTCAGGAAGGAGACGCGTTCTGTCTCCTAGAGCAGAGCATACTTTGGTGCGAAAAGTGCAAATCAATCCCAGAACAACAGCAAAGGATCTTGTGAAGATGCTGGAGGAAACAGGTACGAAAGTATCTATATCCACAGTAAAACTAGTCCTATATCGACATAACCTGAAAGGCCGCTCAGCAAGGAAGAAGCCACTGCTCCAAAACCGCCATAAAAAAGCCAGACTACGGTTTGCAACTGCACATGGGGACAAAGATCGTACTTTTTGGAGAAATGTCCTCTGGTCTGATGAAACAAAAATAGAACTGTTTGGCCATAATGACCATCGTTATGTTTGGAGGAAAAAGGGGGAAGCTTGCAAGCCGAAGAACACCATCCCAGCCGTGAAGCACGTGGGTGGCAGCGTCATGCTGTGGGGGTGCTTTGCTGCAGGAGGGACTGGTGCACATCACAAAATAGATGGCATCATGAGGAAGGAAAATTATGTGGATATATTGAAGCAACATCTCAAGACATCAGTCAGGAAGTTAAAGCTTGGTCGCAAATGGGTCTTCCAAATGGACAATGACCCCAAGCATCCTTCCAAAGTTGTGGCAGAATGGCTTAAGGACAACAAAGTCAAGGTATTGAAGTGGCCATCACAAAGCCCTGACCTCAATCCTATAGAAAATTTGTGGGCAGAACTGAAAAAGCATGTGCGAGCAAGGAGGCCTACAAACCTGACTCAGTTACACCAGCTCTGTCAGGAGGAATGGCCCAAATTCACCCAATTTATTGTGGGAAGCTTGTGGAAGGCTACCCAAAATGTTTGACCCAAGTTAAACAATTTAAAGGCAATGCTACCAAATACGAATTGAGTGTATGTAAACTTCTGACCCACTGGGAATGTGATGAAAGAAATAAAAGCTGAAATAAATCATTCTCTCTACTATTATTCTGACATTTCACATTCTGAAAATAAAGTGGTGATCCTAACTGACCTAAGACAGGGAATTCTTACTAGGATGAAATGTCAGGAATTGTGAAAAACTGAGTTTAAATGCATTTGGCTAAGGTGTATGTAAACTTCCGACTTCAACTGTATTTGATCTATATTTGACACAGGTCTGACTTGGATGTGGCTAGTGTTTTACTTGTTTAATGTTTTTCCTTCAGGCCTACAGTAGCTTAGAGTCTGAGGAAGAGAAGAGGGGGCTGCTGGCAGGCCTACTAGTGAAGACTGGAGGGAAGGAGAGACGCATCGGACCTGAAATCTCAGCCAGAGTCTACCGTTCCCTCACAGCTCAAAACCCCCAGCTGGTCCTGGACTAATTGACCATTCTGGTGTCACTGTATGTAACTAATTGATACCTAATTAATTCCTAATTGTCCCTTTGGCACGTTGTGTAGGTCTAGGTATCAGCAGTATTAGTAATATCTCTTGTGCTTTGATTGGCTGGATGGAATATATCAGAACAATAATGGCCCACGGACCAAACCCTGTGGAACTCCATCTGTAACCTTAGAATGTTCAATTCTCTCAGGTCTACCTAAGTGCCTCAGGCCTGGGGTCAGTTTGGGTTTGGGTGTACAACTTTTCCAGGCTCTTGGATATGTGCAGAACTTTTACGTTTAGATAAGTTAAGGTTATGGCATTGGTTGCACATAGGGTGATCATCAAGATGAGTGAAGTATAGTACTGTAGCACTTTGTATATTTAAGAGAGAATGGCAATAGATACAAGTGTACATGAAACATTAATAAATTATGATTAATACACAATGATAAGATGTTTGTTTTACATACATTTTTTACTCTTGATTTGCGTTCAGCAAGGAAGGTTATACAAATTGGCATGACAAGAAAAGAAAAACATCTTATCCCAGGACACATCACATGGTGACTATCCCAGAAAAAGAAATGAAAATCAACCTACTATAAGTAAAGCATGAATCAGATGAAAATTGATTAACTGCAATATATAAGGAAAACATGTTGGAGAGCAAAGCCCTATTAGAGAACACAAGAACATGACCACCATGGCGTATTTTAATGCGCAGTATAAAAACATTTAGAAAATGTTAATTGCACAGTATTAAAAAATAGGTATTTTCAGCATATGCATTGTTCTTTCGAAGGCCAAACCCACCATTGGTGTGCGTGGCCAAATACCTGTTTTCATGTCATCTGACCATAGCACCACCTGGATTTAGCTAAACGGCATTGGCACTTGGATTGGAACCGGTGCTATATGGTCATATGACACAAAAATAGAGGTCTTTGGCCACACACAACAGTGGTGGGTTTGGCCTTCAAGAGCCGACTAGGTGAAAAATCTGTCTGTGCCCTTGAGCAAGGCACTTAACCCTAATTGCTCCTGTAAGTCGCTCTGGATAAGAGCGTCTGCTAAATGACTAAAAATGTAAATGTAAAAAGAACAATGCATATGCACAGAGGTGGATCTTTGTTATGGAGTTATTTTGCGTCCACTGGTCCTGGAGACCTTGTTAAGGTCAACAACATCATGAACTCTACCAAGTACCAGGACATTTTAGCCCAAAACCTGGTTCCCTCAGCCAGGAGGCTGAAACACCAAGCACACATTTTTCAATGGCCATCTCAGTCTCCGGAATTGAACCCCATTGAAAACCTGTGGTTTGAATTGAAGAGGGCAGTCCTAAAGCGCAGACTAAGGATATCAAGGATCTGGAAATATTCTGCATGGAAAACTGGGGATCCAATAAGCTCAGTATTTATTTTTTATTTTTTATACAGTCTTTTTTGCTCATCGTTATCAAGGGATCCAATCATTCTGGACCCCACTGTATGTACAGTATATATTTACATATTTGTATACAAAGATGTATATTGAGCAATGCACCTTTTTCTAAATTCGAGCTTTGTGGCTCTCTGAGCCTTGATATGAAAGTATAGGGAGCGTCTATACAGTAGATGACTTGGTTCTAAGTCTGTTATCTATCTGACTCAAGAGCAGGGTGGTGGATATCAGGGGTGGCTGTCTTACCCTTCCCTTCAGCCAGGCAAGCTGGGGAGAGTTCATCGACAAAGTGCTTTAGAAGGACACTGTTGACAGTCTTTTGGGTGAGAGGGCATTCCACTCAGAACGTCTTAGAAAGTGCTTAGAAATCTGACTAAGATATAACTCTTTCCCTCTTGTGGACTTTTCCACCAGTAGATGGTAATGGCATTTGTAGAAAAGTCCAGAATAGATCAAGTGCCAACTTTATCTAACATTTCTGGGGGGATATTTGAAAAGGAAAGTCATGTCCAGCGGCATCTTTTCCACTGGAAGTCCTCACTGTATGAGTTGCTCCCTGGAAGGGTGGGCAGGCAGGGGCACAGGGAGGGGCAGGGCTGGGCACTGGGCGAGAGGAGGCAGGGGCATTGGCATGGTAGGGGGTTGGGTACAGGGCTAGGGGAGGAGCAGGGACTGAGGGAGGACACCTGGCTGAGACAGGGGCTCGGGCATGGACTAGGCTCCTCAAGCAAGTCATCAGGCAACTCCACTGCAAAGTCATTAACGAAGTCTTCAGTCAAGTCCTCAGACTGCTCGGGGGCGCCGTTGTTGAGGGTGAACACCCAGCCCAACTGGATGTGGAGGAGGTGGCGCAGGCCCGGGGGCAGGGGCAGCAAGTTCAGGATGTCAGGGCAGTCGGGCCGCTGCTGGCGCAAGCGAGAGCAGCAGAGGTACTGCAGGGAGGTGGGTGTGTAGCAGGCCCGGATCACCTTCATACTGCTCTTGGCTGCAGTGGAGCACACCATAGGGTAGAACTTCTTATTCTGAAGCCTGGTGGTGGCCACACCTGAGGAACGGGAAGAAAGGAAGAGACTGAGACATTAGGCACATGGTCATATGTAAATCTAGAACAAATGTTACCATTAACAGTTGAGGTAGAATACGTCAGCACTCTGAACAATCTAAACGGAACAAAAATATACAGTTCATATAAGGAAATCAGTCAATTGAAATAAATAAATTAGGCCCTAATCTATGGATTTCACATGACTGAGAATACAGATATACATCTGTTAGTCACAGACACCTTTAAAAAAAGCTGGGGGCGTGGATCAGAAAACCAGTCAGTATCTGGTGTGACCACCATTTGCCTCATGCAGAATGACACATCTCCTTCGCAGGCTGTTGATTGTGGCCTATGGAATGTTGTCCCACTCCTCTTCAATGGCTGTGTGAAGTTGCTGGATGTTGGCGGAAACTAGAACACGCTGTCGTACACGAAAATTCAGAGCATCCCAAACATGCTCAATGGGTGACATGTCTGGTGAGTATGCAGGCCATGGAAGAACTGGGACATTTTCAGCTTCCAGGAATTGTGTACAGATCCTGAAACATGAGGTGATGGCGGCGGATGAATGGCACGACAATGGGCCTCAAGATTTCGTCACGGTATCTCTGTGCATTCAAATTGCCATCGATAAAATGCAGTTGTGTTCGTTGTCCGTAGCTTATGCCTTCCCTTACCATAACCCCACCGCCACCATGGGGCACTGTTCACAACGTTGACATCAGCAAAACGCTCGCCCACACGACGCCATACACGCTATCTGCCATCTGTCCGCTACAGTTGAAACCGGGGTTCATCCATGAAGAGCACACTTCTCCAGCGTGCCCGTGGCCATCGAAGGTGAGTGTTTACACACTGAAGAAGTCGGTTACGGCACCGAACTGCAGTCAGGTCAAGACCCTGGTGAGGACGACAAGCACGCAGATGAGCTTCCCTGAGACGGTTTCTGACAGTTTGTGCAGAAATTATTTGGTTGTGCAAACCCACAGTTTCATCAGCTGTCCGGGTGGCTGGCCTCAGACCATCCCGCAGGTGAAGAAGCCGGATGTGGCGGTCCTGAGCTGGCGTGGTCTGCGTTTGTGAGGCCGGTTGGAGGTACTGCCAAATTCTCTAAAACGTGGTTGGAGGCAGCTTATGGTAGAGAAATGAACATTACATTCTCTGGCAACAGCTCTGGTGGACATTCCTGCAGTCAGCATTCCAATTACACGCTCCCTCAACTTGAGACATCTGTGGCAATATGTTGTGTGACAAAACTGCACATTTTAGAGTGGCCTTTTATTGTCCCCAGCACAAGGTGCACCTGTGTAATGATCATGCTGTTTAGTCAGCTTCTTGATATGCCACACCTGTCAGGTGGATGGATTATCTTGGCAAAGGAGGAATGCTCACTAACAGGGATGTAAACAAATGTGTGTGTATGGAACATTTCTGGGATCTTTTATTTCAGCTCATGAAACATGGGGCCAACCCTTTACATGTTGTGTTTATATTTTTGTTCAGTATAGTTTGAATCAAGGAAAAAATATAGTTTGTGTCACTCACCTATACAGCGGCGGTTTTTATAGAAGGTAAGGGTTCCATGCCATGTGTCAAAGTGCAGCCCTATGATGGAGCCTTGGCCAAAACGGGATGAAAAATTCACCTTGTCCCCTTTGTGCTGCAGGATACCTTGAATAGGAAATTAATAAAAACACATGAGTGGGGAAATAGGAGGGAAATTAGTGAATTGCTATGTATAAAGGTCAACCTGTAGAAGCTGTTCATATCCATAAGGCATGCATATTCATAACATTTCTGGGTCGCCTCCTCACCTGTGTAGGAAAGTCCCCAGCTGTCCTCGTCCATCCCCAGCATACTGCAAAAACTGTGTTGGAACTTGTCCAGGTTGACCTCAGCGGTCCCGATGCCCACCATCTACATAGGAGACAAAACATACAATAGTAGGTAATAATGTTAAATACTGTCTGGCTGATTGGCTGGCCTTGTTTGTCTGGCTGATTGGCTGGCCTTGTTTGTCTGGCTGATTGGCTGGCCTTGTTTGTCTGGCTGGTTGGCTTGCCTTGTTTGTCTGGCTGGTTGGCTGGTCTTGTTTGTCTGGCTGGTTTCCTGGCCTTGTTTGTCTGGCTGGTTGGCTGGCCTTGTTTGTCTGGCTGGCTGGTTGGCTGGCCTTGTTTGTCTGGCTGGTTGGCTGGCCTTGTTTTTCTGGCTGGTTGCTTGGCCTTGTTTGTTTGGCTGGTTGGCTGGCTGGTTGGCTGGCCTTGTTTGTCTGGCTGGTTGGCTGGCCTTGTTTGTCTGGCTGGTTGGCTGGCCTTGTTTGTCTGGCTGGTTGGCTGGCCTTGTTTGTCTGGCTGGCTGGCTGGCTGGCTGGCTGGTTGGCTGGCCTTGTTTGTCTGGCTGGTTGGCTGGCCTTGTTTGTCTGGCTGGTTGCTTGGCCTTGTTTGGCTGGCTGGCTGGCTGGCTGGTTGGCTGGCCTTGTTTGTCTGGCTGGTTGCTTGGCTTTGTTTGTCTGGCTGGCTGGTTGGCTGGCCTTGTTTGTCTGGCTGGTTGGCTGGCCTTATCTGTCTGTCTATCTTGCCTTGCCTTGATTTGTCTTGTCTGTCTCTGTCTGTTTGTTTATCAAATTATTTATGCCAGGGCTCGATTTGAGGGGGTATGTGGGGGTATGCCATACCCCTTGTGAAAGAAATGCAATAACCCTTGTTAGTTTAAAGGGGCAACATGTATCCTGATTATATACAGCGATCTATAATGACGCTTAAGTCTGCGATGCTTTAGCCTAGAATCAAGCTTTCACAAGAAAGATGTGCTTCTGATGCACATGGGGATATCTTTGGGTCGTCTCTATGATATTCTAATGTCAAAAACAAAAACAAAAAAAAGAACACAAGTCATCTGTGTGACTCTCGCTATCAATTGAGCTAATCACTTTCTGAAAAATAAGATGTTTAACTAAATTGATACTTGATGGTTCAAATAAATTACATTATTATAACATATTTATTAGGGGAATAACATTGGTGAAAAGTCAATACTTTATTTTCCCTATATTTATTACTGTATCATGAAATAGCCTACCTTAAAGATGTAATGAATTTCAGGAAATTAGCTTCAAAACAATAAAACATTCATAGGGCCCTCAAATTAAGACAAAAAAAACAGAACTTGAGCATGCATAACTATTCACCCCCCCAAAGTCAATACTTTTGTAGAGCCACCTTTTGCAGAAATTACAGCTGCAAGTCTCTTGGGGTATGTCTCTATAAGCTTGGCACATCTAGCCACTGGGATTTTTGCCCATTCTTCAAGGCAAAACTGCTCCAGCTCCTTCAAGTTGGATGGGTTCCGCTGGTGTACAGCAATCTTTAAGTCATACCACAGATTCTCAATTGGATTGAGGTCTGGGCATTGACTAGGCCATTCCAAGACATTTAAATGTTTCCCCTTAAACCACTCAAGTGTTGCTTTAGCAGTATGCTTAGGGTCATTGTCCTGCTGGAAGGTGAACCTCCGTCCCAGTCTCAGATCTCTGGAAGACTGAAACAGGTTTCCCTCAAGAATTTCTCTGTATTTAGCGCCATCCATCATTCCTTCAATTCTGACAAATTTCCCCGTTCCTGCTGATGAAAAACATCCCCACAGCATGATGCTGCCACCACCATGCTTCACTGTGGGGATGGTGTTCTCGGGGGGATGAGAGGTGTTGGGTTTGCGCCAGACATAGCGTTTTCCTTGATGGCCAAAAACCTCAATTTTAGTCTCATCTGACCAGAGTACCTTCTTCCATATGTTTGGGGAGTCTCCCACATGCCTTTTGGCGAACACCAAACGTGTTTGCCTATTTTTTTCTTTAAGCAATGGCTTTTTTCTGGCCACTCTTCCTTAAAGCCCAGCTCTGTGGAGTGTACGGCTTAAAGTGGTCCTATGGACAGATACTCCAATCTCCGCTGTGGAGCTTTGCAGCTCCTTCAGGGTTATCTTTGGTCTCTTTGTTGCCTCTCTGATTAATGCCCTCCTTGCCTGGTCCGTGAGTTTTGGTGGGCGGCCCTCTCTTGGCAGGTTTGTTGTGGTGCCATATTCTTTCCATTTGTTAATAATGGATTTAAAGGTGCTCCGTTGGATGTTCAAAGTTTCTGATATTTTTTTATAACCCAACCCTGATTTGTACTTCTCCACAACTTTGTCCCTGACCTGTTTGGAGAGCTCCTTGGTCTTCATGGTCCCGCTTGCTTGGTGGTGCCCCTTGCTTAGTGGTGTTGCAGACTCGGGAACCTTTCAGAACAGGTGTATATATACTGAGATCATGTGACAGATCATGTGACACTTAGATTGCACACAGGTGGACTTTATTTAACTAATTATGTGACTTCTGAAGGTAATTGGTTGCACCAGATCTTATTTAGGGGCTTCATAGCAAAGGGGGTGAATACATATGCACACTCAGTTATTAATTTTTTTGAATTTTATGAAACAAGTTATTTTTTTCATTTCACTTCACCAATTTAGACTATTTTGTGTATGTCCATTACATGAAATCCCAATTAAAATCCATTCAAATTACAGGTTGTTATGCAACAAAATAGGAAAAACGCCAAGGGGGATAAATACTTTTGCAAGGCACTGTATATCTTGATTAGATAAGTATTCAAACCCCTGAGTCAATACATGTTAGAATCACCTTTGTTAGTGATTACAGCTGTGAATCTTTCTGGGTAAGTCTCTAAGAGCTTTGCACACCTGGATTGTACAATATTTACACATTATACTTTCTTTTTATTCTTCAAGCTCTGTCAAGTTGCTTGTTAATCATTGCTAGACCAGCATTTTCAAGTCTTGCCATAGATCTTCAAGCCAATTTAAGTCATAACTTTAACTAGGCCACTCAGGAACATTCAATGTCATCTTGGTAAGCACCTCCAGTGTATATTTGGCCTCCCAGTGTCTGTTGGAAACCAGACTGAACCAGGTTTTCCTCTAGGATTTAGCCTGTGCTTAGCTCTATTCCGTTTCCTTTTATCCATAAAAACTCCCTAGTCCTTGCCGATGACAAGCAGAACCATAACATGATGCAGCCACCACCATGCTTGAAAATATGAAGAGTGGTACTCAGTGATGTGTTGTGTTGAATTTGCCCCAAACATAACGCGTTGTATTCAAGACATAAAGTTCTGTACAGGCTTCCTTCTTTTCACTCTGTCAATTAGGTTAGTATTGTGGAATAACTACAATGTTGTTGATCCATCCTCAGTTTGCTCCTATCACAGCCATTAAACTCTGTTTTAACCCCCTAGAGTCGATATCCGTGCCCCTGCAGAAATCTAGTTAGCATAATTTAAAAATCCCCATCAAAATACGTCAGTTTAAACTAGAGATTATATATTTTTTTTGCATGGGCTGTGTCTCAATCCACCGGATCTGCCGATGTCACCCTTCCGCATTTGCGGTGAAAGGTGGCAGAGCTAGAGCGGTGTTTGTCAGACCATGAGATTTCTGAAGGCACCATTGCCTATCTCAATGAAAATTGATTAAAATGGGCCCAAATGCAGGCTACAGTCAGCATTCTTGCCTTCAACTTTGACCAACTCACACCCTGGTCATAGGCCTAAGCCTCCCAGGAATCCTCAGAATTGACCAACTAACAGCTTCTTTTACAAAACAAATCTCCCCCGGGGGTCCCCGGGTATAGCAGTGAGGCCATGGGAAAGCCCCGCTGACAGCTCTCATTCACTACTGCTAATACACACGGATCACTCTCAAACAATGTTCTGCTTTTACCCCTATTGTAAGGTTTAAAAACAAAACAAACATGAAAACTTTCTCCATATTGGAAGGCATTGTTTTCATTTTAGTCTACCCTAACAATGTTACTCTATATATTTATTACCAATTTCTGTTGGATATTCACTTCCTGCTTCACACTTATAAAAATATATATTATTTTAAGATTAACATGGAATGCGCCAAATGTATTAAATACATCAGCCAATTCAGAAGGGAAGAGATAAACTTTCTGGGATCATCATGTATTATAACTCAGTCCACTGTAGATGGAGTGCTCTGTCCATAATAAGTCTGGCACCTGAGAGTGCATAGACTGGGAAACAGAGCCAGTTTCCGACTCAGTCCCTGGGAGTGGTTACATTTTGCCTACTCACAAATCGGTTTAGAACTTAATGATTTGGGATATCAAGGAAAACTCCATCAGGAGTACAATAACTTGTAGCCTTAAGTTTAGTTAACAAGTCTCTACATGTTCAACATTCGTACAGACTTTCGTTGAATTTCCACGACACTTGTTAACCTTTAACAATTCGACCCCTGTCTATACTGTAGCTATACTATGGGCCTACACTATCTGTAAACATGTAAGGGTTAAGGTTAACCTACTTCGGGTAATTCCTGACCTGGATGTTTTGCGTACATACCATGTCTGTGCCGTAGACGGGTGACGTCATCTTGATCTCCCAGAAGTGCTGTCCATCTGCCAGCTCCTTGGTGCCGCGGATGGCGGCTGTGCCACAGCTGTACTCAGAGTGGAAGCTCACCTTGCGGTTGTCACAGCTCAGGAACGCTGCATTGGGCTTAACACCCTCATCCCACACCCAGTCAAAACCTGCATAGAGACAATATGATGGTTATATTAAGATACATACACACTAATTCATGACCATCCATTGATAACACCTGCTACATTTTCCAGGTACAATGTTTAAGCTATACTGTGCATGCTCATATACATAATAGCTCCACATCCATTCAAAACGTGGACATACAAATACATGCACACACATACACACAATATTATCAGCCCATATCCAGTCGGAGTCAGAACACAGAAACTGACATCGCTTGACAGCACAAAGAGGAGACAATTATTCATTCACCTATACAGTAAACACAGACCAGACTAAGTGAAAGACATAAAAATATACACTGATCCATGGTTCCCCAGTCCCACTACACACCCTGGTCCTCCTCTCCACACAGGCAGTCGTTGAGGGTCTGGAAGCCCTGCAGCAGAGCCCCAGGGCTGGTTTCCTCCCAGGGGTCACAGTGGCAGTAGGACTCCCCTGTCACAGGCACCGTGTCAGGCACAACGTCTGTCACCTCCGGGATGATGGCCAGGTAATCCACTTCTGAGTCCGAGTCGCTGATCTGATTGACGCAAATGGGATAGACAGAGCTGGTCAAGGCTACTGAGTTGGACATTTGAGACTGTCCCTAGTTTTAACTGAGAGAACAGGTAGACTGAACCACACTTGAGAAGACTAATTTGTGAGAAGCTGAGGAATTCGCAATCGGAGCGCTTTCAGAAAGAAAAACTTAAATTAACACAAAAGCAAAAACTAGCTTGGTAGGTCCTGTTTGCAGTGCACAGTGATTCCAGACCGAGCTCGTTCAGGTTCTTTAAAGCTTCTATAGGTTGACCCTTTCCCTAAAAAGCGACCCTTGCATTCCCATTGGAGCGCAAGCAGGGCATGCCAGCATTTAAAAATAGACCTGTGCCAAAAATATGGACCGTCCATGCCTTAGGAGCCCCCATTCAGTAGACACAGCCATTTTGAGACAGTTGAATCCACCATGGAAAACTACTGGCTGCAATGAGGTCAGACTTTCGATCATGCCGCGGCCTCGTGTTCTCTCTCAGACTCAGCATTCTCCCATTGCTCCACATTGCTCTTTCAACTCTTATCACCCCCTCTCTACCCTAACTCCTCTCTTGGTCTGCCTCACTCACCCCACACACCCATTTCCACACTCTTTTACCTCTCATCACTCCACCCCTTCTATTCTTTAATTTTTTCGAATCACCTATAGTCCTCGCTCCACTCTTCCCTCCTTTACATCTCACCACTGCACTCTCCCCTCTCTCTCTCCCTCACTCCTTCATCTCTATCACTCCCCCACTCCTCCCTCTCTTACTCCCCCACTCCCTCTCTATCTTTCTCACTCCCCCACTCCCTCTCACTCCCCCACTCCTCTCTCTCCCCCACTTCCATCCATCCCCCCTCTCCCGGTTCTCACCTGTGTGTGTTCGTCGCCCCACTCCTCTCTGTCATTCACCAGTACCACGGCCATGGTGTCAATGTCTCGTTGGATGTTCGCTCCACACGTAGTTCTGAGCTTGGCTGTTCCTGCTTCTCCGTAGCATGGCCGCGCCAAAGGGACAGGAAGGAAAAATCACAAATAAGCTAAATATAACACATATATAATATAAAATGCAAAGGATTATCATAAAACATGAGTAATATGATTATTACAAAATCAGTCCTATGTTGAATTGAATGTAACCTAACCTATATCCCACTATTTCAGCATGGTGAACTTATGTTGGCAGACATATGTGCATCCCATTTCCCTACTTGAAACTAGGCTAAATATGTTTCCAAGATCACACCACACATGTTCAACTTGACAAAGCTATTTGAACTTGAATAATTTATATGCCCTGCTGGTGGGAATGATATGATCAGTTAAAATACTCAGTCACATGTAGTGGTGAAGTTGAAATATCAATTGCATTGATGTAGCATCTAATAAAATATATTATATTCGGAAACAACACTGATTTTATTGGTTTATTTTGGGTTACATGACCCAGATGGGGATGTCATTTGGCACAAGAAATGACACATGAGATTGTTTTTCAAATACTGAAAGGGAGACAGTACTGAGCACGTGTTCATTTCAACTAAGGTCGATTGTATCCTCTTTCACCCCTACCACCTTTCCCTCTATGGGCAATACAAGATGCCAACTAGTCCTTGAAAAAGCACTGAAACAAAGGTTTGGGGTCAATACCATTTCAATTCAGTTCATTCAGGAAGTAAACAAACTAGAAAGGGTAATCTTTCAAGAAAAACTGTGTGACTTGCTTTAGCTGTCCAAAAGTATTTTAATGTAAGTTTAAGAAATGTAGAAGTTTAAATACAGTTGTTAGAGGCTGGTGTAGTGGGATAATAACAGCAGAAGTGACTGCAGTACAGTGGTGAGAAAAGTACCCTATTGTCATACTTGAGTAAAAGTAAAGATAGAAAATGACTCAAGTGAAAGTCACCAAGTAAAATGCTACTTCAGTAAAAGTCTAAAAGTATTTGGTTTTAAATATACTTATGTATCAAAAGTAAATGTTATTGCTAAAATATACTTAAGTATCAATAGTAAAGTATAAATCATTTGAATTTCCTTATATTAAGCAAACCAGACGGCACCATTATAGTTGTAGAAGTAGTAGCAGTACACTGCAGCAGTAATAATTACTGTTGTAGATAGGTAGGCTAAATGGTAGGCTAATGGCCATTATAACCGGGTGGTTCAAGCCCTGAATGCTGATTGGCTGAAAGCTGTGGTATATCAAACCATATACCACATATGACCCCAAATATAATTATACAGTTCTAATTACGCTGGTAACCAGTTTATAATAGCAATAAGGCACCTCGGGGGTTTGTGGTATTTGGCCAATATACAACGACTAGAGGCTGTATCCAGGCACTCCACGTTGCGTCGTGCCTTAAGAACAGCACTTAGCCGTGGTATAATTGCCATATACCACACCTCCTCGTGCCTTATTGCTTAATTATAACTCTGTTTCGTGTCCTGCCTAAGAATAGCGCTTAGCCGTGGTATATTGGTCATATACCACACCCCCTTGGGCATTATTGCTTAAGTATAACCACGGCTAAGGGCTGTTCTTATGTGCGAAGCGGAGTATACCACAAACCCCCAAGGTGCCTTATTGCTATTATTAACTGGTTACCAACATAAATAGAATAGTAAAATAGTATTTTTGCGTCATACTTATATATATTGTCTGATATACACAGCCTGAAATACTGTTTAAGCCATTCAGCCTCCATGACCCAATCTACCCGGATTATAATCAGTTTTATGTGCTATAATAAAACAAATTCTGAACCTTCCGTGGCAGTTAAAGATGAGATCCGCGACAGGTGAAACAGCGCCACTGGTCGCCCCAGGCGCATTTGTTATTGTTATCGTTTTGTTCTTTAAAAGGAGGAGATAATGGCCTCCCGAGTGGCGCAGCGGTCTAAGGCACTGCATCGCAGTGTTGCGGCGTCACTACAGCTTGGGGTTTGATCCCAGGCTGTGTCATTACCGGCCGTGACCGTAGGGCGGCGCACAATTGGCCCAACATCGTCCGGGTTAGGGGAGGGTTTGGTCGGGGGGGGGCTTTACTTGGCTCATCGCGCTCAAGCGACTCCTTGTGGCGGGCAGGGCGCCTGCAGGCTGACTTCGGTCATCAGTTGAACGGTGTTTCCTACCACACATTGGTGCGGCTGGCTTCTGGGTTAAGCGAGCGGGTGTTAAGAAGCGGGGTTTGGCGGGTCATATTTCGGAGGACGCATGACTCGACCTTCGCCTCTCCCAAGCTCGTTGGGGAGTTGCTGCGATGAGACAAGATCGTAATCACGAAATTGGGGAGAAAAAGGAGGGTGAAAAATGTATTACAAAAAAGGAGGAGATGAGCATCTGAGGGAATAAAACAGTGTTTGTTGGTTGAAGTAACCTATTTGTTGTTGTAATATCGTATACGGACGTGGTAGTTTCACAGCAACGGATTCCAACTTTAATTCAACAGTGGGAAGTTCGCTTAATGAAAGTATTTGATGTGGTTACTAAAACAGCTGTATCTCTTGCTTGATAGAAGATATTTGTCTACCTTGTTGGGAAAGTGGTCAAAATTGCAGTTGTATCTAAAAGTTGTGAGAAAAAGTAGTTGATATGGTTACTTAAATAGCTCTATCTCTGGATTGGTAGTATGTATTTCTAATCTGATTCCAGATTTGAATAGCGGATAAATAGATAAAGATTTCATATGCTCTAAGTCTTTGTTGAACTTGTTGGGAAGGTGGTCAAAATAGCTGATTTGTGCAAAAGTCAGTGTTTACAGTGAAGTCAACGTTGATTTAACTATGGGAAGTTTAGAATGTCTAAAATTTGATGTTTTAAAAAAAATTTTTTAAAAATGTTTTAGTCATTTAGCAGACACTCTAATCCAGAGCGATTTACAGTTAGTGAGTGCATACATTTTCATATTAAACTAAACTGAATTAACTGAAATTGGAAGTAAACTGAATTGAAATTGAATTTCAGTTTGCTTCCTGAATTTACTGAATTTAAATAGAATTGACCCCTAGCCTGCTTGAAACATACAGGCTCCACAGAACAACACACAAACTGAACACTGGAATTGCTAACCTATATTCTCCCTTGTCTGAGGTTGAAGTGCTGTTGCTCCATATGGACTGTTTCCACATGTAAGTATGACCTTTAAATCCAACCTGCCTTCTAGTGTGCCATTTTGGCAGCGAGTCTGGAGTCTGTGAGCCGGTTCACGAGATCAACAGTGATAATGTATTTTGACCTACTGACTGCATCGAGTGATCATAAATTATTAAGCCCCTGGGTGGGGTTGGGTGAATGGGATGGGGGTTGGGGGTGGAGGCCCACCTATTCTTGTTTAACTTCCTTTACATACTAAATGTACTATATCTTAAAGTTCCAATGCAGACGTTTTTTAAATCTCAATATCAAATCATTTCTGGGTAACAATGAAGTACCTTACTGTGATTGTTTTCAATTAAAATGGTCAAAAAGAAACAATAATAGCTTCTTACCAAAGTGCAATTTCTCAAGCAAGAATTTTGCTAGGACTGTCTGGGAGTGGTCTGAGTGGGGAGGGAAAAACTGACAACTAGCTGTTATTGGCAGAGAGGTTTGGAACTCTTTCTTATTGGTCTATTAGCTAATTTACTGCCTGGTGATGTCACCAGGTAGGCCAAAACTCCATCCCACCAAAACAGGCTGAAATTTCAAGCGGTCTTTTCAAACAGCTCTTACACTAAAGGGGCATTATCATAATTTTCACAATTTCACAGTATTATTCCAAACTCACAGTGTATAAATATATATAAAACACAGGAAAATCACATTATTGACTGCACTGGGCCTTTAAACTCATGAGCAAAATTAGCTTTACTTTGTATTATGTCTTTTAAAAAGGTTTTTCTTTTTTCTCTTCTGAGTGGCAGCCCACAGGTACAACATAGATATACAGTATATGTGGAAAATAATGAATGAAAATGTAATATGAACTGAATATATGAAATTATATATGAATTTGAATACTGTACCTGTAACCCCCCAATGAAAAAATTACAAAGTAAATCAAAATTGGCACACAAAAAAAGAAAGCATTAAGTCCTATTCTCTCACCCCCACCCCAACCCCTTTGTCCTTTCCATAAAAATTCTGGGCATTATGATAAGGATTTGATTTGGTTCACAAGATCAACAGTGATCTTGTTGTTTGACCTACTGACTGCGTTGTGTGATGTGATCATAAATGATTAAGCCCTACATGTTCTCATCCCCCACCACCCTCCCAGTAAAAATGTATGTCCCTATGATAACGATTTGATTTGGGGTCAAATAATGTATGCTCAGTGCAGTTGAGTTGGAATGGAATCTGCACCTGATGGCATGCCTTGCTTAGGCCTAATGTTTCCACAGAAAACAAGTAGCAGCTGGGTAGACTGCTGTACAAACAGGTGCACCAGATCATTGGCAATGGTTTAGATAAGGGAGTCTGGTGAGCCTCACTTTAATGGTGCTTAGCCTACATACTCTATCACCGTCATCTGAGTAACCCAGGCTGCATCCATGGCTCCACGTCAATCCAAATCTAATGCATGTTATCTGGATACAAGCGCAACCCATGTATTTTTATGCATGAGCACCAAACACATTGTCAGTTCGTTTATTTTCTTAATTTCTTAATACATTTTTATTCAGAGCCAAGTTTGAATTGCTCTTAGCTTTCTCCCTTATGTCCAAGATGCAATGGGTTATTTAGTAAACATTTACATGTAAGTAGTTTCCCCCTGAATTTAAGTAAATATTGGTTTTCCAATACATAAATCCCTAATGATTTCCTATATAGTCATTACATAGTAATAGTTAGTTGAACCAAAAGTGTAATTTGTCGTCTGATTTACGTTTGACTAGTAGCAGTTTAAATTGTACACAGTTTTTTAACAGAGTTATTGAGGTGCTTTTATCCCAAGGGACAGATACATACACTGTTAAAGTTGACATTTTTGATTCACATAAAAGCCATAGGCTGGCTATACTTAACTGACATCTAAGGACTGTCAAATATATAATACAATAGCCATTTCAGTCATTTAGCAGACGCTCTTATCCAGAGCAATTTACAGGAGCAATTATTGTTAAGTGGCTTGCTCAACGCTCTTAACCGCTAGGCTACCTGCTGCCCTACTTTCATTAAACCAGGAAAAGGTTCTTACCTTATAGTAGTCTTCTTATGAACTATCTTGCAGTGACTCATCTTACATGTCATGTCTTCTATACCAGACTCCTGAGTGTGACAGGTGCAACTTGCTCCATGACCTAGTTCCCTGCACGCCAGACATCAACAAAACCCTTACCCGCCCACACCTAGCACTGATTGGATAAGTGTGCTAAAAGGGGGGAGTCTATGCTAATTTGCCTATCTAAATAGGGTAGATATAAAATTGTGGTAGAGATTGTATTGTGGCTTTATGTAGGTGTCATTTGTGGCAGTATTAACAGCCTTTATTTATTGATGCATGTTCTCATTGCCCTGGTAAGATAAAGCATGGGAATTCGGAACAGAGAGTAAATATTTATTTGATAATATTGTCAAAATGTGACACTTTTACAAAAATATTAAAAGTTTACCTTTATGAACATCAGGAAATATGCAAGGGAAATGAATTACCTTTATAGCCAAAATCAGAAAGGATGTGTAAAATGTGTAAGTGAGTGGGGGAAAGGGTTCTAGGGTAGGTACAGAAATCATAATTGTGAAATTCAATAGAGGCCAAGGCTGCATGACCGCACTTGTAGTATGTGGCCTCAAAGCTGCTTTAACAGCATCAAGTAGCTTCTATGCTATGTGCATACACCCTGTGCACCAGGCAAAAATCTGAAACATTTCCCGTGTTATGCTTACACACGTGTTCGGAGCACAAGCACTAACCCTATCAAGGTGTGTATCAATTAAAACGTTTGTTTTTTGAAAATTATTTATCGCTAATATGAAAGATCAGGTCCTTATGCTTCCAAAACCGCACCGCAAGCGAGGCGCGTTAATGTTCAGATTGAGCGTCGGAGCTCTTAACAAAACTGCCCCATACAGAAGATGCCTTCGTCCAATGACGCTTATGTATAATGTAATGGAACTAAGAGTCATGATCAAGGGCTAGCCTATTCATAGACGCTAGCTAAACTCTAGCATCTATTCACAAAAAGGTATCTTCGCTCATGGGGTTTCGTTAAGAGCCATGACGCTCGGTCTGAACTTTAAAACGTATCGCTTGCGGTACGGTTTTGGAAATATATGGACCTGTTCTATCCTATCAGCGACAAATAATTATGGGGGGGGGCTAGGGTTCCCACACAGCCATATTTCCATGTTAAAGCGCTTGTTTATGGAAGACAGACAAGACAATGTTGACCACCTGTGCCAATTAGCTATCTAGCGTGCTTCTGAACACCTGTATGTAAAGGAAGGAGGACGCCAGAAAAGTGTTGTAACTGAAAAATACTGTCGGCTGCAACTGTGTTAAAACCTGTTTAAACAGTGTACATTAAGTGTATATTTAGCATTTGTGAAATTATTTTGATGTAAAATAGAGGGCTTTATGTTTCCAAAAGCGTATCACAAGCAAGGATTATTTGCGTTTCTAAACATTCAAACAGAGCGTCAGGATTGTAGTTCACATGGTCCCAGCTGTGAGCAGTACTCAAGGCTGAGGAACCGGGAAGGGAGAATGCCCCCTTGGGTTCTTGAGAGCCACGTTTGCGAGCTTGCTCTATGAAGTTGTTTCCGACCGGAATATTAACATGCGACTCTATTTTAACTCCTCCAGATTTACTGGTTTGGTTGAACAGTGCAGAAGAGAATCTCCCCCAACAGTTTTTTCTCTCTCGTCATGACCAGAATGTGGGTTGCCACTAGTTTAAAAAAAGTTTATACATTTTACATTTTAGTCATTTAGCAGACGCCCTTATCCAGAGCGACTTACAGTTAGTGAGTGCATACATTATTTATATATATATATATTTTTTTTTTCATACTGGCCCCTCGTGGGAATCGAACCCACAACCCTGGTGTTGCAAACGCCACGGTCTACCAACTGAGCTACATCCCTGCCGGCCATTCCCTCCCCTACCCTGGACGACGCTGGGCCAATTGTGCGCTGCCCCATGGGTCTCCCGGTCGCAAAGTAAAGTAATAATTATGGCTAAACCCAGGCCATTTCTACAATTTCTGTTCTTAAATTCTAATTTTAAACCTAACCTTAACCACACTGCTAACATTATGCCTAACCTTAAATTAAGACCAAAAAGACTACCCTTATTTTGACCTCCCCACATTATAATTGGAAGAGGAAGTGTAAACTCCAACGTAGCCTATTAGCTAGAAGGGTCACTCGAAACATATTTTCACTAAGAGCAGCTGTTTAGCTTGTTAAACAAAGGTTAGCCATCCATGTGTTGGCAAAAATGTATGTCCAAGTCAATACATTTTACCAGCGGCATTTGCTGCACTGGTAGCCTATTCGTGGGTGCTTTTTCAAAGCCTATGTCAGATACTTCCGTGAGTGTAATTGGTTCCAATGAGTGTAATTTGCTCAATATTTGGAGTTGAGAAATAAAGTAAGACATCATTAGAAAGACATTCTCCTCGTTTCTACTTTAGGTATGTAATAAAAAAAGTTGGTTATTCTATTGTTGCTAGAGATATTCCTAAATATTTTGTACAAATACACTTTTTATTTTATTTGTAAAAAAAAAATTTCGCGGACCCGGTTGAATACCCCCTGGGTTAGGTTAATACGCATATGACAGAATAGACGCAAAGGCAATTGATTGGTTGTTTATTTTTGGAGGCGAGAGCAACACGCAATCCTATTTGTTCGATTGGATGTTTGGTACTCATGTGACGTGAGGTGCGGAAGTATACGGAACACTCCAACAACACGACAACTGTAAAAAGAAAAGTGATCTATAAAGCAAATATGGAACAAAACAATGGTATGAAAACAATATTACGCAGCCAGTTATTATGCATGAGGTCATGCATGTGTAAATAGCGTCCTTCTTTGAAAATAAGGCGTCTTTCTATTATGAACATGTCGGAACGAGAAACTGTCACGCTTTCACATTGCTAACGTTAGCTTCTATCTAGATAATTAGCTAACAACTAGCTCTAATCTGTTCGATAGCGAGCTAGATACCGTAATATTTACACATATTGCTTAATTATAATTATGTATTTTGACTTCATAGGAAGTGGGTTAATGTGCTTGAGAAGCTGTCATGTGCAAGGCTAGTGGCAGTGCTTAGCCAAAACTCGACCTGAAGTTCAGGAGCTAGCTAGCTAGTTACCTTCCTTCAAATCGAGTTTTTGCTAGACTAATGCAAGTCATCATCTGGCAATGCAATTCTTGCACTTAACTAGTTGAACAGTGTATGAACTGCAGGTTAGCATTTTTCATCATGAATCTTGTTCTGGAGGCAGCTCTGCAGAGTGGTCACTAGCTGGCACAGCCACAAAGTCAAAACATCTGATTTTAAATGTAACCCTAACCACACTGTTAACCCTAACCTTAAATGAAGACTAGAAAGCACATTTTTCATGTTTTTTTTAATATAGCCAATTTTGACTTTGCAGCTGGCCTTACCTTTAAACCTGATGTTGAATTGGATTGAATTCTACGTTGTTCAGAAATTAGCGTTTGAATCAGGAAAGTTTCCTCTCACGACCTCTACAAGCCAGAATGTTGAATAAAATGATATTTTAATGTACTTTACCGGTTATCTGTGGGGTTGGTCCTTTTAGCGGTAGGAATATGAGACAATATATACACAGGAAAGTATACTTAAATAAACTTTTCAAAGCGCTGGTAGTGCGTTCAGATTTCTATCACCTGAAGCATGCGCACAAGATAAAAATGCATGCATACTTGCCAAGCTCGTGCACATGTTTACATGGTTCTGTGCATGCTTCAGGTGATAGAAATCTGAACTCACTACCAGCGCTTTGACAAGTTGATGTAATTATACTTTCCTATGGATATATTGTCTCACATTCCCACCGCCAAAAGGACCCACCGCATGGACACCCGGTAAAGTGCGTTAAAATATCAATTTATTCAACATTCTGGCTTGTAGATGTCGTGAAAGGAAACTTTCCTGATTAAAATGCTAATTTCTGCCCGACATAGAATTCAATGCAATTCAGTGTCGGGTTTCCAGGCAACAGCTGGCCTATATAAGGGGAAATCGCTCAGTTCTGCCTCCAGGACAAGACTCAAAAAAATAAAAAAGTCAACCTGCATATAAACTTGAACAGTTGCCTCCGGCCAGGGTCAAGTGATAAAACATGACTTGGTCCTTAGGATCTTTCAGTGTCAGCGAACACACAGTAATGAGAGATTTAATGGATGTAATTAGTAAATGTTATAAATGTCCATATCTAAATGGAGTGATAAGCTGCTTTCACAGTAATAGGACTGTGTAAAAGAATCGCGGCGGAGGAGATGGCTGCTGTTTTACGGGCTCCTAACCAATTGTGCTATTGTGTGTTTTTTCGCGTTATTCGTAACTTATTTTGTACATAATGTTTCTGCCACCGTCTCTTATGACCTAAAAGAGCTTCTGGATATCAGGACATTGATTACTCACCTTGTACTGGCTGACATTTTTTCTTTAATGAGAGGGAACGATTTTCTTCAGACACCCGACAAGGCCCAAATCCCCGTCATTCGCATGAGAAAGAGACAGAGATATCGGGGACGTAGGTCGGGGTGCCTTGTAAGGATCCGACGGCGAGTGGGTAATCTGCCTCTACCATCAGTCCTATTAGCCAACATACAATCATTGGATAACAAAATAGACGAACTACGATCACGGATATCCTACCAACGGGACATTAAAAACTTGCAGACTACAAAGGGAAGCACAGCCGCGAGCTGCCCAGTGACACGAGCCTACCAGACGAGCTAAATTACTTCTATGCTCGCTTCGAGGCAAGCAACACTGAAGCATGCATGAGAGCATCAGCTGTTCCGGACGACTTTGTGATCACGCTCTCCGTAGCCGATATGAGAAAGACCTTTAAACAGGTCAACATTCACAAGGCCACAGGCCCAGACGGATTACCAGGACGTGTACTCCGAGCATGCGCTGACCAACTGACAAGTATCTTCACTGACATTTTCAACCTGTCCCTGACTGAGTCTGTAATACCAACATGTTTCAAGCAGACCACCATAGTCCCTGTGCCCAAGAATACTAAGGTAACCTGCCTAAATGACTACCGCCCCGTAGCACTCACGTCTGTAGCCATGAAGTGCTTTGAAAGGCTGGTCATGGCTCACATCAATATCATTTTCCCAGAAACCCTAGACCCACTCTAATTTGCATACCGTCCCAACAGATCCACAGATGATGCAATCTCTATTGCACTCCACACTGCCCTTTCCCACCTGGACAAAAGGAACACCTACGTAAGAATGCTATGAATTGACTACAGCTCAGCGTTCAACATCATAGTGCCCTCAAAGCTCATCACTAAGCTAAGGACCCTGGGACTAAACACCTCCCTCTGCAACTGGATCCTGGACTTCCTAACGGGCCACCCCCAGGTGGTAAGTGTAAGTAACAACACATCTGCCACGCTGATCCTCAACAAGGGGGCCCCTCAGGGGTGCGTGCTAAGTCCCCTCCTGTACTCCCTGTCCACCCCATGACTGCATGGCCAGGCACGACTCCAACACCATCATTACGTTTGCCGACGACACAACAGTGGTAGGCCTGATCACCGACAACGATGAGACAGCCTATAGGGAGGAGGTCAGAGACCTGGCCGTGTGGTGCCAGGATAACAACCTCTCCCTCAATGTGATCAAGACAAAGGAGATGACTGTGGACTACAGGAAAAAGAGGACCAAGCACGCCCCCATTCTCATCGACGGGGCTGTAGTGGAGCAGGTTGAGAGCTTAAAGTTCCTTGGTGTCCACATCACCAACAAACTATCATGGTCCAAACACATCAAGACAGTCATGAAGAGGGTACGGCAAAGCCTATTCCCCCTCAGGAGACTGAAAAGATTAGGCATGGATCCTCAAAAAGTTATACTGCTGCACCATCGAGAGCATCCTGACTGGTTGCATCACTGCCTGGTATGGCAACTGCTCGGCCAACGACCGCAAGGCACTACAGAGGGTATTGCGTACGGTCCAGTACATCACTGGGGCCAAGCTTCCTGCCATCCAGGACCTCTATACCAGGTGGTGTCAGAGGAAGGCCCTAAAAATGGCCAAAGACTCCAGCCACCCTAGTCATAGACTGTTCTCTCTGCTACCGCACGGGAAGCGGTACCGGAGCGCCAAGTCTAGGTCCAAAAGGCTTCTACCCCCAAGCCATAAGACTCCTGAACAGCTAATCAAATGGCTACCTGGACTATTTGCATTGTTCTGTGTCCCTGCACATTGACTCTGTTCCGGTACCCCCTGTATTCGGCGCGTGTGACAAATAAGATTTGATTTGATTAACATACCCTCTCTGTGTATTTGTTCATGCCTTCATGTCCGTATATTTCACTGACTTGTTTCTCCGCAGGTGAAACCGAAGGTGGGAACTTGGCCCAGGTCCAACATGTGGTGTTGATCCTGTCGGGAAAAGGAGGGGTGGGCAAGAGCACCCTCACCACAGAGCTAGCCCTGGCCCTAAGACACGCAGGCAAGAAGGTGGGAGGCATCGCATTCATATAATTGTGTGTGTGTGTGAATCATCACACATTTGATCAGGATCTTTGTATCAAATGGACATTTTTGATGGGTCAACACAGCTCCATTCTGTTATGCTAAAGCCCGGATCCGCAGTTGCTTTTCACAACAGAAGACGCCCACTGCTTGTGTTTTGAGAGAGAAAAAATTGTTTGAACGAAAACATGGGGATTTGGCCCAGCCATAGCCAGGGCTGGGCTGGGGAAAGGTGTGTCTTTGCGCTGTCCCACCCACTCGAACGACCTTCATTGGTGCCTCGCTCTGGAAGCCAGTGGAGTGAGAGGAAGCGGAAGGTCTCTAGCTGCCAGACTCAAACACAGCAGACACAGACACAGCCAACACGCACTGACAAGTGACAAAGTCACAAGTAAATGGCCAACGTTCTCCTGTTCAGGTCAGTGTTGACATAGTTGCCTTTATAATCAAGTTAGCCTGCTAGCTACTGGCTATCTAACGTTAACTGCCAACCACCTAGCTAGCTAGCATTATCATCAACAAACCTAGCCCAATAATGGACTAAAGGAGCCTAACGTTACTCCTTATAGTCCAAGGAGTTTACATGTTCCAAAACACTCCAAATACTCCATCTAAACGTGAATCGATTCTCAATTGCGGTACGGTTCTACAAATTCCCTCTACTTTCATATCACATCAAAATAATTTCACAAATGCAAAATACACACTTACTGTACACTGTTTTAACCGGTTTTAACACAGTTGCAGCCAACAGTATTTTTCAGTGACAACACGTTTGTGGCGTCCGTCTTCCGTTTACACACAGGTGTTTTGAAGACGCAGATAGCTAATTAGCACAGGTAGTCCACTCTGTCTTCCATCTGTTTTCTGTAAATAAACGCGGTAACATGGAAATATGGCTGTGTGGGAACCCTAACCCTTTAAAGGTGTGTATTAATTCAATTTTTGTATTATTATTTCTCGCTGATATGAAAGCGATGCATGTTAATGTTTAGCGCAAGATACTATCGTCAATAGACGCTAAAGCAATTCGTACCTATGAATGGGGTACAATAAACCATACATACTGTCATGTCAACAATCTGCACATTTAGCTTTAGCTAGCTAGCTAACATTAGTTGAAACAAAGCATTAGGGCAGGGGTGTCAAACTCATTTTAGCTCAGGGGCCACATGGAGGAAAATCTATTCCCAAGTGGGCCGGACCGGAAAAATCATGGTATATATAACTTAAAAACAACAACTTCAGATTGTTTTCTTTGTTTTAATACGATCAACATACAACATAAAGCTGGAGCCTGAGGACAGTGTGTCCAAAATAGTACAAGCACAACATCACTATTAATCATAAAACACGTCAAGTTTATTAGAAAATTCTAAAGAAAAAGAACACACAAACACACAATGCCTCAGTGATTAACAGAACTGTTTCACAGATCACAGAACTATATCAGGGTGTCATTTCTCAGGCAGAAATGTAGATAAAATAATGAAATCCTGTTCCCCAAACAAGTGCAAGAACCACAGAGTCAAGAATAGGTTAAATATACAAATAAAATAAAATCAATTAAAAACAATAGCACATCAACATAAAAACATATAAACATAAATCTGAAAGCGTTGCTCAAACTCCCGTAACAGTCCCGTTATTTTATCTTTGAACCGCTTCATGTCTGCCACATGTTGGGTCGCGCACACATTTTTCAGACAGGGGAAGTGAGCTGCATCACCACCGGCAAGTTGCGTCTCCCACAATGACAGCTTCAACTTGAAAGAACGTATGCTGTCATAATACTGCGTGACAACTTTGTTGCGCCCTTGCAGCTGTTTGTTCAAGTTATTCAGGTGCTCTGTAACATCCACCATAAATGCAAGGTCCTGCATCCATTCTGCGGAATGAAATTCTAACACTGGTTTGCCCTTTTCTTCCATGAACTGTTCAATTTCTTCTCGTAAATCAAAGAAACGCCTCAGCACAGCACCTCGGCTTAACCATCTTACCTCAGTGTGGTATGGCAGGCCATAGATGTGGTCTTTCTCTCTGAGAAGGCTGTCAAACTGACGGTGATTCAGGCTTCTGGATCGGATGAAATTAACAGTTTGGATGACCACCTTCATGACGTTATCCATCTTTAATGACTTGCAACACAAAGCCTCCTGGTGCAAAATATAGTGAAAAGTCAAAAAAATCACGTCCTCCATTTGCAGATTGCACTTTCTCTCTGAACTTTGTCACAACGCCTGCTTTTTTCCCGATCATTGAGGGCGCACCATCTGTAGCCAGGCTGACAGCGCGGGACCAGTCCACTCCGACCCTGTCCAGCACGCCGACGAGTGCGGTAAAAATATCAGCTGCTGTCGTTGTATCTGTCATCGGCACCAACTCCACGAACTCCTCGGTGACGGTCAATGTGTCATCAACTCCGCGGATGAAAATGGCCAGTTGTGCAACATCTGTAATGTCCGTGCTTTCATCAATTGCAACCGAAAACGCAATAAATGACTTTACTTTTTGCTTCAACTGGCTGTCCAAATCCACTGAAAGATCGGAAATCCTGTCTGCAACTGTGTTTCTTGTCAGGCTGATATTTGCAAAAGCCTGCCGCTTTTCAGGGCACACAATCTCCGCTGCCTTCATCATGCATGTTTTTACAAATTCACCCTCACTAAATGGTTTTGAAGCCACTGCGATTTCATTAGCAATGAGGTAGCTAGCTTTCACTGCAGCGTCACTGATGCCTCGGCTGTGAGTAAACACAGACTGCTGTTTCTTCAGACCCGCCAACAGTTCATTCACCTTCTCTCATCTCCGCTGTCCTTGAAAGTTGTCATATTTGTCGGCATGAAGACTCACATAGTGGTGACGAAGGTTATATTCTTTCAGCACTGCAACATGCTCTGAACACACCAAACATACAGCTTTCCCATTCAATTCCGTGAATAAATAGGATGACCATTTTTCTTGGAACACTCTGCACTCTGCGTCCACTTTTCTCTTTTTTGACAGAGACATATTGGGGCAATGAGGGTGCCAAAGCACATAATGTTAAAAGTAGAAGCCGTAATAAATATCGCGGGCAAAACAAAGTAGCTCATTGGCTGCACGTGCTTGACCTACTTGCTCTGCCCCGGTATAAACAGTTTGCTTGCTTAACACAATTGCTATTGCGCCATCCAGTGGACGCAATTGGAACAGCAGTTTATTTTATTGAAAAATTGCAGCGCATTTTTATACTTTACAAAAAAAAAATATATATATAAACAACATAGAACCCAAATGCAAAAAAAGAGAAAATTCCAACCTTTTATTTAAGTACATTACTTTGGTGTAAAAAAAAAAAATCACACATTTAGAAAAAAAAAACTTGAAATCATGTGTCCCACAATTATTGGCACCCCTGATGTTAATACTTTGTACAACCCCCTTTTGCCAACAAGACAGCACTTAATCTCCTCCTATAACATTTCACAAGATTGGAGAACACAGAGAGAGGGATCTTTGACCATTATTCTTTGCACAATCTTTCTAGATCATCCAGTGTCCTGGGTCCTGTCTTATGCACTCTCCTCTTTAGCTCGCCCCACAGGTTTTCGATTGGGTTGAGGTCTGGGGACTGAGATGGCCATGGGAGGACCTTGAGTTTGTGACTGCTGAACCATTTTTGTGTAGATTTTGCCACATGTTTTGGATCATTATCCTGCTGAAAGACCCAATGACGACCCATCTTCAGCTTTCTGGCAGAGGCCATCAGGTTTTTATTTAAAATGTCCTGGTAGTTCAAAGCGTTCATAATGCCATGCACCCTAACAAGGTTCCCAGGGCCTTTGGAAGAGAAACAGGCCCACAGCATCACAGATCCTCCACCATACTTCACGGTGGGCATGAGGTGCTTTTCGGCATACTCATCTTTTGTTTTACGCCAGACCCACTTAGAGTGTTTGTTGCCAAAAAGCTCAATCTTTGTCTCATCTGACCAAAGCACACGATCCCAGTTGAAGTCCCAGTGCCGCTTAGCAAACTCCAGACGTTTACGTTTGTGAGTGTTAGTGAGAAAAGGCTTTTTCCTTGCATGCCTCCCAAACAGCTTGTTGGCATGTAGAGAGCGTCTGATGGTTGTTTTGGAGACTTTGTGACCCCAAGATGCCACTCTTTGATGCAATTCTGTGACAGTGAGCTTAGGACTTTTTTTTACTTCTCTTACCATCCTCCTCACTGTGCGTTGTGGCAAGATAAACTTGGGACCTCTTCCAGCCTTGTTTGTCACTGTTCCAGTTGTTTTAAACTTCTTAATGATTCCTCTGACTGTAGATACGGGCAAGTTAAGGCGAGTGGCTATTTTCTTGTAGCCATTGCCTGACTTATGAAGGTCGACACAAATCTGCCTTACTTGAATGGTGTGTTCTCTTGTCTTTGCCATGTTGACAAATGGGTTAGAGAATTAGGCCTCTGTGTCACGTCATATTTATACCCCAGGGAAACAGGAAGTCATGAATTACTAATTAAAAGTTCCTAGATACCCTGACCAACTTTAGCAACTACAGAAAAATATATTTAAAAAAAATCAATTAAAATTTTCTGCGGAATTGTTAGGGGTGCCAATAATTGTGGAACACATGATTTCAAGTTTTTATTTTTCTAAAAGTGTGATTTTTTTTTACCACCAAAGTAATGTACTTAAATAAAAGGTTGGATTTTTCTCTTTTTTTGCATTTGGGTTCTATGTTGTTTAAAAAAAAAAGAGAATTTTTGGAAGTCCTCAACCATATATTTTTTTTTTTTCTTCTTTTTTTTTCCAAAATCATCTCGCGGGCCGGATTAAACCCGTTTGCGGGCCTGATCCGGCCCGCGGGCCGGACGTTTGACACCCCTGCATTAGGGCATCTCATGAGGTTTATGCCTTTTAGACAATGTAGCTAGCTAGAGTAAACTCCTTATTAGTAAGTACAAAACAGTCCGAATACAAGACGCAAGCTAGCTAGCAAACGTTTGCTTATAGCTACATTGTCGATCACAGAAATGTTAGCAGCTAACGTTAGATAACAAGTAGCTAGCAGGCAAACTTGATTGTAATGGCAACAATGTCAACACAGACCTAAACAGGAGAACATTTGCCATTTTATTTGTGACTTTGTGACTTTGTCACTTGTCAGTGCGTGTCGGCGGTGTCTGTCTGTGTCTTCTGTCTGTGTCTGCTGAGTCTGCCGGCAGTAGTAGCAGCTAGAGGGTTGTCACTAGTTACCACAGCCACAAAGTCAAAATTGCCTATATCGTAAAAATTAATAGAATAATAAAAAAAATGTGGTCTTAATTTAAAGCTAGAATCCTTAATTTAATCAATAATAAAGCATTCTCCCCACCCATTTTGCTAAAAAGCTAAGGGATGGGGATGGAGAAATGTAACCGCTCTCAAATTCATACATTTACATTTTAGTCATTTAGCAGACGCTCTTATCCAGAGCGACTTAAAGTTAGTGAGTGCATACATTTTCATACTGGTCCCCCATGGGAATCAAACCCACAACCCTGGCGTTGCAAGCGCCATGCTCTACCAACTGAGCTACACGGGACTATGGATGCAAGGACTGACCATCCATGATATCAACATTATAGATTTAACCATGTTTTGAGGCTATACAGTGTTTGTTTACATTTAAGTTGTTTACAAACATTGGAGTAAAACAAGCTTATTTTAGATAGTGTACAACAGTTGAACTGAGCTCATGAGGCAGTTACACTGAGTGTACAAAACATTAGGAACACCTTTGTAATATTGAGTTGCACCCCTTTTTGCCCTCAGAACAGCCTCAATTTGTCGGGGCATCGATTCTACAAGGTGTCGAAAGCGTTCCACAGGGATGCTAGCCCATGTTGACTCCAATGCTTCCCACAGTTGTATCAAGTTGTCTGGAATCTTTTGGGTGGTGGACCATTCTTGACACACACGGGAAACTGTTGAGCATGAAAAACCCAGCAACGTTGCAGTTCTTGACACACTCAAACTGGTGCACCTTGCATCTACTACCATACCCCGTTCAAAGGCACTTATATTTTTTTTATCTTGCCCATTCACCCTCTGAATGGCACACACACACAATCCATGTCTCAAGGCCTCCCCTTGATCTACAATAAGCACTGTTACATGCACACAATAATGCGATTATTGTGGATAGTCAGGTTAATATAATTGTTTGTTTAAAATGTTTACATGCTTTGCAAGAAGAACGATTTCAGTAATAATCCTGTTTACATGGACACATCTGAAATCAAGCTACTGATTGGACTTTGATAAAATGCAGAAAATTAGACTATTTGATTCTTAGTTCGGACATACAGTGAGGGAAAAAAGTATTTGATCCCCTGCTGATTTTGTACTTTTGCCCACTGACAAAGACATGATCAGTCGATCATTTTAATGGTAGGTTTATTTGAACAGTGAGAGACAGAATAACAAGAAAAAAATCCAGAAAAACGCATGTCAAAAATGTTATGAATTGATTTGCATTTTAATGAGGGAAATAAGTATTTGACCCCTCTGCAAAACATGACTTAGTACTTGGTGGCAAAACCCTTGTTGGCAATCACAGAGGTCAGACGTTTCTTGTAGTTGGCCACCAGGTTTGCATTCCTCCTCCTCCAAACACGGCGAGTTGAGTTGATGCCAAAGAGCTCGATTTTGGTCTCATCTGACCACAACACGTTCCCCCAGTTCTCCTCTGAATCATTCAGATGTTCATTGTCAAACTTCAGACGGGCCTATATATGTGCTTTCTTGAGCAGGGGGACCTTGCGGGCACTGCAGGATTTCAGTCCTTCACGGCGTAGTGTGTTACCAATTGTTTTCTTGGTGACTATGGTCCCAGCTGCCTTGAGATCATTGACAAGATCCTCCCGTGTAGTTCTGGGCTGATTCCTCACCGTTCTCATGATCATTGCAACTCCACGAAGTGAGATCTTGCATGGAGCCCCAGGCCGAGGGAGATTGACAGTTATTTTGTGTATCTTCCATTTGCGAATATTCAAACAATTAGCCTTTTAAAATTATAAACTTGGATTAGCAAACACAACGTGCCATTGGAACACAAGACTGATGGTTGCTGATAATGGGCCTCTGTACGCCTATGTTGATATTCCATTAAAAATCAGCCGTTTCCAGCTACAATAGCCATTTACAACATTAACAATGTCTACACTGTATTTCTGATCAATTTGATGTTATTTTAATGGACAAAAAAAAGTATTTTCTTTCGAAAACAAGGACATTTCTAAGTGACCCACTCCTCTTTGCAGATCTTCTCCAAGTCATTAAGGTTTCGAGGCTGATGTTTGGCAACTCGAACCTTCAGCTCCCTCCACAGATTTTCTATGGGATTAAGGTCTGGAGACTGGCTAGACCACTCCAGGACCTTAATGTGCTTCTTCTTGAGCCACTCCTTTGTTGCCTTGGCCGTGTGTTTTGGGTCATTGTCATGCTGAAATACCCATCCACGACCCATTTTCAATGCACTGGCTGAGGGAAGGAGGTTCTCACCCAAGATTTGACGGTACATGGCCCTGTCCATCGTCCCTTTGATGCGGTGAAGTTGTCCTGTCCCCTTAGCAGAAAAACACCCCCAAAGTATAATGTTTCCACCTCCATGTTTGACGGTGGGGATGGTGTTCTTAAGGTCATAGGCAGCATTCCTCCTCCTCCAAACACGGCGAGTTGATGCCAAAGAGCTCGATTTTGGTCTCATCTGACCACTTTCACCCAGTTCTCCTCTGAATCATTCAGATGTTCATTGGCAAACTTCAGACAGCCCTGTATATGTGCTTTCTTGAGCAAGGGGACCTTGCGGGCGCTGCAGGATTTCAGTCCTTCACGGCGTAGTGTGTTACCAATTGTTTTCTTTGTGACTATGGTCCCAGCTGCCTTGAGATCATTGACAAGATCGTCCCGTGCAGTTCTGGGCTGATTCCTCACCGTTCTCATGATCATTGCAACTCCACGAGGTGAGATCTTGCATGGAGCCCCAGGCCGAGGGAGATTGACAGTTATTTTGTGTTTCTTCCATTTGCGAATAATCGCACCAACTGTTGTCACCTTCTCACCAAGCTGCTTGGCGATGGTCTTGTAGCCCATTCCAGCCTTGTGTAGGTCTGCAATCTTGTCCCTGACATCCTTGGAGAGCTCTTTGGTCTTGGCCATGGTGGAGAGTTTGGAATCTGATTGATTGATTGCCTCTGTGGACAGGTGTCTTTTATACAGGTAACAAACTGAGATTAGGAGCACTCCCTTTAAGTGTGTGCTCCTAATCTTAGCTCGTTACCTGTATAAAAGACACCTGGGAGCCAGAAATCTTTCTGATTGAGAGGGGGTCAAATACTTATTTCCCTCATTAAAATGCAAATCAATTTACAACATTTTTGACATGCGTTTTTCTGGATTGTGTTGTTGTTATTCTGTCTCTCACTGTTCAAATAAACCTACCATTAAAATTATAGACTGATAATTTCTTTGTCAGTGGGCAAACGTACAAAATCAGCAGGGGATCAAATACTTTTTTCCCTCACTGTATAACGTTTTTATGTGAAAACTAAGAAGACGTTTTTCGGAACTCCCTTCACTCGCGCATAATAGTGGGAGGCTTGCGCTACCCGGTTCTGGTGTATGCGCAGGTCAAATACACCGCTGGAACACCGATTTAAGCTGTTTACATGTCCTAATAATTTGAAATATTGCTCAGAAAACCCCCATGTTTTCGTTCCCCAAAAAAATCACTCTCAATTCAAGCAGTGGGCGGCTTCTGTTGTGAAAAGCAACCGCGGATCCAGGCTTTAAGGGTGGGTCAGACATTCAAATGACAATTTCCTCATTTACTGGCCTCAATCTGTGGCTGGGTGTATAGTAGGCCTATAATTGCATATTCAAAGAATGAGGGTTGGAAAAGCTTTGCCTGGAAATTGACAGTGAAGCTGACTTTTTAGCAGTGATGCCATTGGGGGGACAGATACTGTAGCCTAGTGGTTAAGAGCGTTGGGCCAGTAACCGAAAGTTAACCCTCTTAACCCTAATTGCTCCTGTAAGTCACTCTGGATAAGAACATCTGCTAAATTACTAATGTTTAAAAATATCAAAAATGTATCAAGAAGATGCAGCCATCACTTATCCAAGGATGCTGGGGAGTTCGGTGGGCAGAGTTAGAGAGGGAACTGATCCGTCTGAGGAAGCAGATGCTGGCTAAAAGTAATGAGATTGGAAGGGTTCGTAGCTTCAACCCCGCAGCGCACACATACACACACCAACTGATTAATGGACTGCTGAATGTTTATTTTTATCTTGCTTTGTTTTTCTCCATATTATGTCTATCTCTGAGAAGCTACCCAGGAAAGGGCTGAAATTGCCCATATTAATATACACTACATGACCAAAAGTATGTGGACACCTGCTTGTCGAACATCTCATTCATAAATCATGGGCATTAATATGGAATTGGTCCGCCCCTTGCTGCTATAACAGCCTCCACTCTTCTGGGAAGGCTTTCCACTAGATGTTGGAACATTGCTGCGGGGACTTACTTCCATTCAGCCACAAGAGCATTAGTGAGGTCGGGCACTGATGTAGGGCGATTAGGCCTGGCTCACAGTCAGCTTTCCAATTCATCCCAAAAGTGTTTGATTGGGTTGAAGTCAGGGCTCTGTGCAGGTCACACCATTTTTCCACACCGATCTAGACAAACCATTTCTGTATGGACCTCGGTTTGTGCATGGGGGCATTGTCATGCTGAAACAGGAAAGGGCCTTCCCCAAACTGTTACCACAACATTGGAAGCACAGAATTGTATAGAATGTCATTGTATGCTGTAGCATTAAGATTTCCCTTCACTGGAACTAAGGGGCCTAGTCCGAACCATGAAAAACAGTCCCAGACCATTATTCCACCTCCACCAAACTTTACAGTTGGCACTATGCATTGGGGCAGGTAGCGTTCTCCTGGCATCCGCCAAACCCAGATTTGTCCGTCGGACTGCCAGATGGTGAAGCGTGATTCATCACTCCAGAGAACGTGTTTCCACTGCTCTAGAGTCCAATGGTAGCGAGCTTTACACCACTCCAGCCGACGCTTGGCATTGCACATGGTGTGCGGCTGCTCGGCCATGGAAACCAATTTCATGAAGCTCCCACCAAACAGTTCTTGTGCTGACGTTGCTTCCAGAGGCAGTTTGGAACTCGGTAGTGAGTGTTGCAACCGAGGACAGATTATTTTTACATTCTTCAGCACTAGTTGGTCCCGTTCTGTGAGCTTGTGTGGCCTACCACTTCGCGGCTGAGCCGTTGTTGCTCCTAGACGTTTCCACTTCACAATAACAGCACTTACAGTTGACTGGGGCAGCTCTAGCAGGGCAGAAATTTAATGAATTGACTTGTTGGAAAGGTGGCATCCTATGACGGTGCCACGTTGAAAGTCACTGATCTCTTCAGTAAGGCCATTCTATTGCCAATGTTTGTCTATGGAGATTGCATGGCGGTGTGCTTGATTTTATACACCTGTCAGCAACGAGTGTGGCTGAAATAGCCGAATCCACTAATTTGAAGGTGTGTCCACATACTTTTGTATATATAGTGTATGTAGCCTTAGAAATAAGGTTCATGAAATCAATAACTTGCTAACATCAGATAACATACATATATTAGCCATTTCTGAGACTCACTTTGATAATTCCTTTGATGATACAGCAGTAGCAATAAAATGATATAACAGCTATAGAAGATACAGAAATGCTTATGGGAGGTGTTATATATACACTACCGGTCAAATGTTTGGACACACCTACTCATTCAAGGGTTTTTCTTTATTTTTACTATTTTCTACATTGTAGAATAATAGTGAAGACATAAAAACTTTGAAATAACACATATGGACTCATGTAGTAACCCAAAAAGTGTTAAACAAATCTAAATATATTTTGTATTTGAGATTCTTCAAATAGCCACCCTTTGCCTTGATGACAGCTTTGCACACTCTTGGCATTCTCTCAACCAGCTTCACCTGGAATGCTTTTCCAACAGTCTTGAAGGAGTTCCCACATAACCTTTTTTGGTTACTACATGATTCCATATGTGTTATTTCATAGTTTTGATGTTTTCACTATTATTCTACAATGTAGAAAATAGTAAAAATAAAGAAAACCCCTTGAATGAGTAGGTGTTCTAAATCTTTTGACCGATAGAGTGTGTGTGTGTGTGTGTGTGTGTATGTATGTACGTATATGTGTGTGTATGTATGTATATGAGCCATATCCCTGTAATGCTTAGAGAAGATCTCATGTCAAGTGTTATTGAAGTGCGTGGTTCACGGTTCACCTGCCTCATCTAAAGCCTATTATTTTGAGGTGTTGCTATAGGCCACCAAGTGCTAACAGTCAGTATCTAAATAATGTGTGTGAAATGCTTGATAGTGTATGGGGATGTAAACAGAGAGGTCTACTTTCTTTCATCAAGCTGTCCGCCCAAGAGGAAGCTTCTCACTAATCAGTGCCTGTAATCTGGTTCAGGTTATTAATCAACCTACCGGGGTGTTTACAAACACTACAGGAACAAGGTCATCCAGGACCACTGCGCTGATGTGATTAAGGAGCATCCAGACGCTGCACTTTATGAATTTATGAAACATGCACCTGTTAAGAAACTGTCTCTTAGAACTGTTAAGGCTCCATGGATTGATGAGGAATTGAAAAACTGTATGGTTGAAAGAGATGGGGCAAAAGGAGTGGCTAATAAGTCTGGCTGCACATCTGACTTACTGCAAATTGAGAAATTATTTGACTAAACTAAAGAAAAAGAAGAGGAAACTGTATTATGACGCCAAGAACAATGATATAAAGAATGATGGGAAAAAAACGTAAGTACTTTAAATGAAATTATGGGCAGAAAGACGAATTCAACTCCATCTTTTATTGAATCAGATGGCTTATTCATCACAAAACCATTTGATGTTGCCAATTATTTTAATGATTACTTCATTGGCAAAGTGGGCAAACTTAGGCAGGAAATGCAACAATGAACAGCCAGTGAGCCATCATATTCAAGCATTTAAAAAACTGACAATGAAAGAAATACATTGTAAGTTAGAATTTTGTGTGGGAGAGGTGGAAAAATAATTGTTATCGATCAATAATGACAAACCTCCTGGCATTGACAACTTAGATGGAAAGCTACTGAGGATGGTAGCTGACTCTATAGCCAGTCCTATCTGTCATATCTTTAATCTGTGTCTAGAGGAAGGTGTTTGTCCTCAGGCCTGGAGGGATCCCAAAGTCATTCTGCTACCCAAGAGTGGTAAAGCCGCTTTTATTGGTTCTAACAGCAGACCTATCAGCTTGCTGCCAGCTCTTAGCAAACTGATAGAATTTTATTTTGACCATATACAATGCTATTTCTCTGTAAACAAATTAGTAATAAACAAAGCCTGTCTGTCCATGCATGCTGATGACTCAACCATATACGTGTCAGCAACCACAGTTAATGAAGTCACTGAGACCCTTATCAAGGAGTTGCAGTCAGTTTTGGAATGGGTGGCCAGTAATAAACTGGTCCTGAACATCTCTAAAACTAAGAGCATTGTATTTGGTACAAATCCTTCCCTAAGCTCTAGACCTCAGCTGAATCTGGTAATGTTGAACAAGTTGAGGAGACTAAATTACTTGGTGTTACCTTAGATTGTAAAATGTCCTGGTCAAAACGTATAGATTCAATGGTTGTAAAGATGGGGAGAGGTATGTCCATAATAAAGAGATTTGTTTGACACCACACTCCAAAAAGCATGTCCTGCAGGCTCTAGTTTTGTCTTATCTTGATTATTGTCCAGCCCATGTGTTCAAGTGCTGCAAAGAAAGACCTAGTTAAGCTGCAGCTGGCCCAGAACAGAGCGGCACATCTTGCTCTTCATTGTAATCAAAGGGCTAATATAAATATTATGCATGCCAGTCTCTCTTGGCTAAGAGTTGAGGACAGACTGACTGCATCGCTTCTTCTTTTTGTAAGAAACGTGTTGAAAATTCCAAATTGTTTGCATAGTCTACTTACACACTGCTCTAAAACACACACTTAACCCACTAGACATGCCACCGGGGGTCTTTTCACAGTCCCTAAACCCAGAACAAATTCAAGAACGCGTACAGTATTATATAGACCCATTATTGTATGGAACTCCCTTCCATCTCATATTGCTCAAATGAACAGCAGACCTGGTTTAAAAAAAACATAAAGCAACATCTCACGGCACAACACCTCTCCCCTATTTGACCTAGATATTTTGTGTGTATGTTTATTTATTTTTATTTCACCTTTATTTAACCAGGTAAGCCAGTTGAGAACAAGTTCTCATTTACAACTGCGACCTGGCCAAGATAAGCAAAGCAGTGCGATTAAAAACAACAACAACACAGAGTTACACATGGCAAATGTAGTAAGTTTAGGAGGTAAGGCAATAAATAGGCCATAGTGCAAAATAATTACAATTTAGTATTAACACTGGAGTGATAGATGTGCAGAAGAAGATGTGCATTGCAAATAGAGATACTGGGGTGCAAATGAGCAAAATAAATAACAATATGGGGATGAGGTAGTTGGGTGGGCTAATTACAGATGGGCTGTGTACAGGTGCAGTGATCGGTAAGCTGCTCTGACAATTGATGCTTAAAGTTAGTGAGGGAGATAAGTGTCTCCAGCTTCAGAGATTTTTGCAGTTCGTTCCAGTCATTAGCAGCAGAGAACTGGAAGGAATGGCGGCCAAAGGAGGTGTTGGCTTTGGGGATGACCAGTGAGATATACCTGCTGGAACGCATACTACGGGTGGGTGTTGCTATGGTGACCAATGAGCTAAGATAAGGCGGGGATTTGCCTAGCAGTGATTTATAGATGACCTGGAGCCAGTGGGTTTGGCGACGAATATGTAGTGAGGGCCAGCCAACGAGAGCGTACAGGTCAAAATGGTGGGTAGTATATGGGGCTTTGGTGACAAAACGGATGGCACTGTGATAGACTACATCCAATTTGCTGAGTAGAGTGTTGGAGGCTATTTTGTAAATGACATCGCCGAAGTCGAGGATCGGTAGGATAGTCAGCTTTACAAGGGCATGTTTGGCAGCATGAGTGAAGGAGGCTTTGTTGCGAAATAGGAAGCAGATTCTAGATTTTACTTTGGATTGGAGATGCTTAATGTGAGTCTGGAAGGAGAGTTTACGGTCTAACCAGACACCTAGGTATTTGTAGTTGTCCACATATTCTAAGTCAGACCCGCCGAGAGTAGTGATTCTAGTCGGGCAGGCGGGTGCAAGCAGCGTTCGATTGAAGAGCATGCATTTAGTTTTATTAGCGTTTAAGAGCAGTTGGAGGCTACGGAAGGAGTGTTGTATGGCATTGAAGCTCGTTTGGAGGTTTGTTAACACAGTGTCCAATGAAGGGCCAGATGTATACAAAATGGTGTCGTCTGCGTAGAGGTGGATCTGAGAGTCACCAGCAGCAAGAGCGACACCATTGATATACACAGAGAATAGAGTCTGCCCGAGAATTGAACCCTGTGGCACCCCCATAGAGACTGCCAGAGGTCCAGACAACATGCCCTCCGATTTGACACATTGAACTCTGAGAAGTAGTTGGTGAACCAGGCGAGGCAGTCATTTGAGAAACCAAGGCTATTTAGTCTGCCAATAAGAATGCGGTGATTGACAGAGTCAAAAGCCTTGGCCAGGTCGATAAAGACGGCTGCACAGTACTGTCTTTTATCAATCGCGGTTATAATATCGTTTAGGACCTTTAGCGTGGCCAGCTCGGAAACCAGATTGCATAGCGGAGAAGGTACGGTGGGATTTGAAATGGACGGTGATCTGTTTGTTAACTTGGCTTTCAAATACTTTCGAAAGGCAGGGCAGGATGGAAATAGGTCTGTAACAGTTTGGATCTAGAGTGTCACAGCTTTCCAATCTCTGGGGATCTCAGATGATACGAAAGAGAGGTTGAACAGGCTAGTAATAGGGGTTGCTACAATTTCAGCTGCTAATTTTTTAGAAAGAAAGGGTCCAGATTGTGTAGCCCAGCTGATTTGTAGGGGTCCAGATTTTGCAGCTCTTTCAGAACATCAGCTATCTAAATTTGGGTGAAGGAGAAGCGGTGGGGGGGGCATGGGCAAGTTGCAGCAGGGGGGGCAGAGCTGGTGGCCGGGGTAGGGGTAGCCAGGTGGAAAGCATGGCCAGCCGTAGCAAAATGCTTATTGAAATTCTCGATTATCGTACATTTATCGGTTGGGACAGTGTTTCCTAGCCTCAGTGCAGTGGGCAGCTGGGAGGAGGTGCTCTTATGTATTGATATGTAGGCTATGTGCCGTTTTTACATTTATGTTCTGTCCTTGAGCTGTTCTTGTTTATTAATGTTCTGTATTATCCCGCTAGAGTCGATGTCCACGCCCCAGCGGAAATCAGATTAGCATAATAAAAACATCCCCATAAAAATCTGGTTCATTCATTGGCTGCGTCTCAATCCACCTCATCCGTTCTACATCTGCAGTGGAAGGTGGCAGAGCTAGAGCGGTGTTTGTCAGACCATGAGACATCCCGAAAATCGGTCTTTTCACAAAATCGTCTGTAGCGTCTGAACGGTTTAGTCTACAAACTATTATGAGACTCTCACGAACACGATGGTGTTCTCCGTTTTTCTCTACGACCCCCACAAGCGTCTTGGGACCCGTCTGAAGTCGGTACAGCCGGTCTTCCAACTTCTGTCTGTAGCGTCCGAACAGTTTGGGCTACACACTAAATAAGGGGTTCAATACATGATCTTTCTTATATCTCTCAGATATAGGACAGATACTTAAGAACAAACTTCCTTTTGATAATTTTTTTGGTACTATCTGTTGTTCCATGTAGTGAATCTGTTATTCAGTGTGTATATATGGGCTAATAGCAGTAAGGCCAAATAACAATGTTCATCAAATAATTGTTATTGATACTTCAAGGGGTCTTAAAATCAGATAGCAGAATGACCCTTGGTATGACATTCTTAAAACAATTCCATATAGCTTAGTAGAACCCCCCCAGGAAGACCACAGGAAGAGTAGCTGCTACTTTCGCAACAGCTAATGGGGATCCTAATAAAATACTAATACCAGATTATGCTACTCATTTCGAGTAATCAAGTGGATTTCGTTACTAATTACTTTTATTGTCATGTAATGTGTAATCAGGAACTGATTACATTTTCCAAGTAATCTGCCCAACCATGTATGTTTGTGAGACCTGACTGTACAGGATCTATTTCTCAGGTTGGTATTTTGGACCTGTGTGGAATATTGAGCCCACAAAACTATGTTCACACATACCTACATGTTTGACCTGTCCATTGTCTGTCTCTCTGTCTGTCTGGGTATCAGGTTGGGATCCTGGACGTGGACCTGTGTGGTCCCAGTATCCCCCGCATGCTGAGTGTGGGCAAGCCAGAGGTGCACCAGTGTGACTCAGGCTGGGTGCCCGTCTACACAGATGCCCAGAAGAGCCTGGCGCTCATGTCCATAGCTTTCCTGCTGGAGGACCCAGACGAAGCAGTTATCTGGAGGGGCCCAAAGAAAACAGGTATGCTAAGTCTACATCAGGCTATTAGAGGCCAAGGTGGAGCTTCTGCAGTTACTTTTTTAAAATTTTGATCACAGGATCAGCACTCCTCCTTTGTGACGCTTGAAGCATACGGCCCATGATCAACATGAAGAGCGTAGGGGCTTACTGGGTGGGACTGTGGTCTCGCATCAATATCCTCTCACGTTTTCTGTCTCTCTCTCCCCTATTTCTCCCCCACCACCTGCCGTATGGTCACGTCCCAGCTCTGATTGGACAGTTTGTGTCTGACGTGGCGTGGGGGGAGCTGGACGTGCTCCTGGTGGACACGCCCCCGGGGACGTCAGACGAGCACCTGGCCGTCCTGGAAAACCTGAAGAAGCAGCACAAAGTGGACGGAGCCATTCTGATCACTACACCACAGGTACAGCACAAGGAAGATTGGTGTTGTCAACCAATATTTGCTCCCTATATTTTATCAGTGATCAGCCTCCTCTCTAGAAGAGAAACAAAAAAAATCACTGGGGTGGGTCTTAAATGTTGGCAACAGGACCCTTTTGTTCGGACAAATATCGACCCTTTTCCTGAAGTGCGCACTTGTGTACTCCCCCCTCATGCATCCAAAAGCATTGAACTAGTGCAAGCATGGACTACAGAGTCTTCAGAGATTAAATGTTAACATGCACAGTGCACACTGTCTCTCAGTCATATATCTGTGCTACAGGGAATTACAGCCCCAAAGGTCACTTCATTATAAAAGATAACTTCTACACACACGGTGCACACAGGTAAAGGGAGTTTCCACCATATTACTAATACCAGGAAGAGCATGTTCATTAGGGCACAATGTAGCAAAACCTTTTGCAATAGAATAAAAAACGTATGTTTCTTATTGGACAAGTTCAGATGGTACTTCCTGTTTGAGTGTTTTCATCCGTTTTGTGACTTCTTCTGAACTTGACCCAGTCCTAGGGAAAGAAGGGCAGAGGGACAGAGAATTGGGAAGCAGAACCAGACGGTCAACAATGAGTCTGGTTGATCCATTGTATACACTGCTCAAAAAAATAAAGGGAACACTAAAATAACACATCCTAGATCTGAATGAATGAATGAAATAATCTTATTAAATACTTTTTTCTTTACATAGTTGAATGTGCTGACAACAAAATCACACAAAAATGATCAATGGAAATCAAATTTATCAACCCATGGAGGTCTGGATTTGGAGTCACCCTCAAAATTAAGTGGAAAACCACACTACAGGCTGATCCAACTTTGATGTAATGTCCTTAAAACAAGTCAAAATGAGGCTCAGTAGTGTGTGTGGCCTCCACGTGCCTGTATGACCTCCCAACAACGCCTGGGCATGCTCCTGATGAGGTGGTGGATGGTCTCCTGAGGGACCATCCACCACCTCATCAGACCTGGACTAAAGCATCCGCCAACTCCTGGACAGTCTGTGGTGCAACGTGGCGTTGGTGGATGGAGCGAGACATGATGTCCCAGATGTGCTCAATTGGATTCAGGTCTGGGGAACGGGCGGGCCAGTCCATAGCATCAATGCCTTCCTCTTGCAGGAACTGCTGACACACTCCAGCCACATGAGGTCTAGCATTGTCTTGCATTAGGAGGAACCCAGGGCCAACCGCACCAGCATATGGTATCACAAGGGGTCTGAGGATCTCATCTCGGTACCTAATGGCAGTCAGGCTACCTCTGGCGAGCACATTGAGGGCTGTGCGGCCCCCCAAAGAAATGCCACCCCACACCATGATTGACCCACCACCAAACCGGTCATGCTGGAGGATGTTGCAGGCAGCAGAACGTTCTCCATGGCGTCCCCAGACTCTGTCACGTGCTCAGTGTGAACCTGCTTTCATCTGTGAAGAGCATAGGGCACCAGTGGCGAATTTGCCAATCTTGGTGTTCTCTGGCAAATGCCAAACGTCCTGCACGGTGTTGGGCTGTAAGCACACCCCCCACCTGTGGACGTCAGGCCCTCATACCACCCTCATGGAGTCTGTTTATGACCGTTTGAGCAGACACATGCACATTTGTGGCCTGCTGGAGGTCATTTTGCAGGGCTCTGGCAGTGCTCCTCCTGCTCCTCCTTGCACAAAGGCGGAGGTAGCAGTCTTGCTGCTGGGTTGTTGCCCTCCTACGGCCTCCTCCACGTCTCCTGATGTACTGGCCTGTCTCCTGGTAGCACCTCCATGCTCTGGACACTACACTGACAGACACAGCAAACCTTCTTGCCACAGCTCGCATTGATGTGCCATCCTGGATGAGCTGCACTACCTGAGCCACTTGTGTGGGTTGTAGACTCCGTCTCATGCTACCACTAGAGTGAAAGCACCGCCAGCATTCAAAAGTGACCAAAACATCAGCCAGGAAGCATAGGAACTGAGAAGTGGTCTGTGGTCACCACCTGCAAAACCAGTCCTTTATTGGGGTTGTCTTGCTAATTGCCTATAATTTCCACCTGTTGTCTATTCCATTTGCACAACAGCATGTGAAATGTATTGTCAATCAGTGTTGCTTCCTAAGTGGACAGTTTGATTTAACAGAAGTGTGATCGACTTGGAGTTACATTGTGTTGTTTAAGTGTTCCCTTTATTTTTTTGAGCAGTGTATTATATTGTACTTAGATATGCTGTTCTTCTGTGCAGGCAGTATCGACGGGGGACGTCAGGAGAGAGATCACATTCTGTAAGAAGACAGGCCTGCGCATCCTGGGGATTGTGGAGAACATGAGTGGATTTGTGTGTCCACACTGCTCTGTGAGTACTTTTATATGAATGGACACACACACACCATCTGTGCTGGAATACAGTGCTTGTTGCAAACAGGTCTCTAGTTAGTTTTAGATTAGCTTCATGTGCATTATTTCACTGTACACAATCATCAGTCTGAAGCCATTTAATTTAAAAACGTATATATTTTGTCATATTAGAATCTTAGCATATGCCAGTTCTGACCATTCTAATATAGTGTGTTTGCTTACAGGAATGCAGTAATATCTTCTCCAAGGGAGGAGGAGAGGAGCTGGCCAAGTTGACAGGATCAGTATATTTGGGTAAATGCCGATGTTATAGTCATTCTGGCGTCTGCATTGGCCATACAGCATTTACTGCGATGCGGCCTCTGCAGAAGTCAGGGCATTCATACTTCTTGCGCTTCGCAGAGCAGAGCTTTTGTGAACGTACAGCCCCCACCTACCGTCAACAAATCATGTCAATGCAGAGCTATACGGAGCCCTCCACATTGTTAAAGAATTTGGGGCGGCAGGTAGCCTAGCGGTTAAGAGCGTTGGGTCAGTAACCGAAAGGTCGCAGTTTCGATGACGTTGTTTAAGGCAGCCCCCCGCACCTCTCTGATTCAGAGGGGTTGGGTTAAATGCAGAAGACACATTTTGGTTGAAGGCATTCACGGCGCTTGATTTGGCCTCCGTAAGCCTCCGGAGGCTTCGCAATTGCGTCAAACCCTCCATACGGAGCCTTCGAATCGGCTTTTAGAGATATGACATGTATTTAATTGAACAGCCACTAGATGTCAATCTAACCCAACCAACTCCAGCCCTCTGAAACTGCTTGTCGCCATTTAGCAGGCATTTTACAGCAGAGCTGCACTGATAAAATGGTTGGTCTTCATTGCAGTGGAGTGCTTGTAAGATTTGGTGGAAGAGATTATACATTTCAGTCAAAGCGATAGAGGAGGGTAGCTCTCCAGGAAGAGGGTTGGAGAGCCCTGGGGTAGACGTATGTAGTAGACCAGGGCTGCCCAACCCTCTTCCTGGAGATCAGAATTGGCCTGCCTCTGTAAACACAGCCTTTTAATGTAATGTTAATAGGACTTGATCTTTTCAAGTTCTGACCTCAAAAGACAGCGTAGTGTGTTGTTTTCTAAAGTAGGCCAGTGTGTTAGCTGCTTGTTGTGTGTATGTTGCTTTCTATGGTTGTGAAGGCCTCAGATTGTGGTTTCCCATTTCAGGCTCTGTGCCCCTGGACCCTCTGCTCACAACCTGTATAGAGGAGGGCAAAGACTTCATCCAGACATTCCCAGAAAGCGCCACCTTCAGTGCCATCAACAGCATTGCAAAGACTCTCCTAACAAGCATACAAAATCCCTGAGCTTGCAAAGGACATTGCATATTCAATAGCAATACAGTATCATAGTATTTAGCCTTTGTAAAATCATGTTGAGATATATATATATATATGTACAACCTCACGACATGTTTACATTGTATCTATCTAGTCATATACTACTGGTATGTAAGCTTCAGAAATCTACCCACATGTAATACTTCACAATTTTGATAAAGTGTGCTGATATTTAATTGAGAGCAGAACTGAGTGCAATCCGCTTCACCACTACCTGACTGCCAGCAGACATTTAGGTTATGGTAAACTAATGGATAGCTGAACATTCTCTATCTAGACAGCCGCAAATCCGATTATTAAATTATGTTCCACTATAGACAAACTTCAATTAACCTGATTAGATTTTTCAGTTCTAAGCAGCCGAGTCACCAATTAATTACCCAAATACAGTGTTTGAGCATGCGATTGCATTTATGTCTTCATGATGGCAATATGAGGAAATGCACCAGAAAGACGAACGGCTGGAAACTGCAGGTGACAGTGGTCTGTTAGGGATTACCTTCTGGGTTTTGAAGAACGGCAGCGATTCAACATGTAGGAATGTCGGTAAACTGAAATTGACAGCCGATCTTCGGGTCAGAGGCAAAAGGACCACCTGCTGCTTTTATGTACACGGTCAGTTGCTCTGGTGTGTTTCCTCTCTAAATAAAAAGGCATATTTTACCATTTTGTTGCTTTATAGCAACAAGCATGATTTCAAACATGTATAATTTAGTCACAGAAATAGCCAAAACAATCCATTAAAAAGGATTTCTAATTACACTGGACAAAAAGATACACGCAACAAGTGTTTGTCCCATGTTTCATGATCTGGAAAAAATTATCCCAGAAATGCTCCATAAACACAAAAAGCTTATTTCTCTCAAATTTTGAGCACAAATTTGTTTACATCCCCATTAGTGAGCATTTATCCTTTACCAAGATGATCCACCCACCTGTCAGGTGTGGCATATCAAGAAGCTGATTAAACAGCATGATTACACAGGTGCACCTTGTGCTGGGAACAAAAGGCCACTTTAAAATGTGTAATTTTGTCACACAACACAATGCCACAGATGTCTCAAGTTTTGAGGGAGCGTGCAATTGGCATGCTGACTGCAGGAGTGTCCACCAGAGCTGTTGCCAGAAAATGTAATGTTCATTTCTTTACCATATGCTGCCTCCAACGTCGTTTTAGAGAATTTGGCAGTTGGTACAACCGGCCTCACAACTGCAGACCACACCAGCCCAGGACCTCCACATCCAGCTTCTTCACCTGCGGGATCACCTGAGACCAGCCACCCGGAGAGCTGATGAAACTGTGGGTTTGCACAACCAAAGAATTTCTGCACAAACTGTCAGAAACCGTCTCAGGGAAGCTCATCTCCGTGCTCGTCGTCCTGACCTGACTGCAGTTCGGCATCTTAACCGACTTCAGTGGGCAAATGCTCACCTTCGATGGCCACTGGAGCAGTGTGCTCTTCACAGATTAATCCCAGTTTCAACTGTACTGGGCAGATGGCAGACAGCAGCATGTATGGCGTCATGTGGGCGAGTGGTTTGCTGATGTCAACGTTGTGAACAGAGTGCCCAATGGTGGGGTTATGGAATGGGCAGGCATAAGCTACGGACAACGAACACAATTGCATTTTATCGATGGCAATTTGAATGCACAGAGATACCGTTACGAGAACCTGAGGCCCATTGTCGTGCCATTCATCCGCCACCATTACCTTGTTTCAGCATGATAATGCACGGCCACGTCGCAAGGATCGGTACACAATTCCTGAAAGCTGAAAATGTCCCACTTCTTCCATGGCCTGCATACTCAGACATGTCACCTATTGAGCATGTTTGGGATGCTCTGGATCGACGTGTACCCACAGCGTGTTCCAGTTTCTGCTAAAAATATCCAGCAACTTCGCACAGCCATTGAAGTGGGACAATATTCCACAGGCCATAATCAACTCTGTGAAGGATAGTTTTTATAGGTACGTGACCAACAGAGGCATATCTGTATCCCCAGTCATGTGAAATCCATATATTAGGGACTATTGAATTTATTTCAATTGACTGATTTCCTTATATGAACTAACTCAGTGAAAGCTTTCAAATTGTTGCGTTTATATTTTTGTTCAGTGTAGCTCATTTGAGTTACAAGTCACCATCTCCTTTAACATAACCAAAATCAAGGAAATCACCTGTGATAATGTGAGTGACATTTCTACACTAAAACAACCTGGCTACCTATTTGAATTACACTATGGTACAGCGAGTATGGCGAACTACAAGGAATTTGACCAAAAACCATAACTCCCTGCTCGTTTAATGGGAGGTGTGGTGAGAATGCATACATCTACGGACGAAGACGCTGGAGATGACGTCGTTTTGGAAATTACACTTGTGAGACCCAACACTGGGCACACATACCTTTAATGCAATCAAACAGCAGTACTACAGGAAAACATTGAAGTGTTTCAAGAATGTTTGTAATGATTAAACTACACAATTACACAACTCCCACTCCACCAGCCACACACTAAAGGCAATCTTAATTTTAAACCAAGTACGTTGATACATCCAGAGGAAATCCAACCACATCACAATTAACCCACAGTGCATTAAATCTATATAGATATTTATATGTATGTATATATCTCCTAGGGAATTTAAAATGTTTGCTCCATTTAAAACAGATTCATTGAACAATTCTTTAAATAAAACCAGTGGAGAAAAAATACAAAAAACAAAGTTAAGTCCATACATTTCTCTTCTTTACAAATAGATCCCCATAGACATTAATGCAGAAATCGTGTGAACTCCCAAATCAATGCAGGAGGATAGAAAGCAGTGGGGCCCTTTGGTGAGCTCTCTAAGACAAGAGGCAGAAACCAGCGAGAAACCTGGTGAGCCTGAACGTCGTTAAACCAGTGGGGGGAAAGAATCTTCGTACATTTTTAAACACACACAGAACAGACAAATCACTACATTGCGCATTTACAAGAAGTTTGACTATCAAATCGGGACGACTGTACACATTGTAGAGATAAGACCATATTTACGGAGCCATTTTTAATTATGTAATTATTTTCCACGTTCGTCACTTTAAGACTTGTGTCATAAATTTTTTCCTTTGTTTTTTAAATCTGGTTTTACAATTTTTTTCTCCAGCAGCAACATAGGACAGATTTTGGTGGAGAAGTTAGTGGTTTATTTCGTGGACAGGATGAGGGCCACGATGAGACCGTAGAGGCCGAGGACCTCTGCGAAGATCAAGATGAGGATCATGCCCACGAAGAGCCGGGGCTGCTGGGCCGTGCCCCTAACGCCCGCGTCACCTACGATACCGATGGCAAAGCCAGCTGCCAGCCCGCTCAAGCCCACACTCAGGCCAGCACCCAGGTGGAGGAAACTCCTACAACAGAGACAGAGGATTACAATAGGATCAATACCAATGGACAGGGTTACTATGTGATACAGAATGAACAACGACAAAAGCAAGCAGAGATGTTTTCAATTAGACATTTACTCAAATTTGGCAATAAAACTACATTTCCACAGTATATAGATTTGATCTTACATCAATGTCAGGCGTTATGGATTGATGGACCAGTTACCTCTGAGCCTGTTCTAAGTTCCTCACATTGTAGTATTAGGAAAGAGGAAATGCAAATAGAGCCCATTTCTAGACATAAGAGATGTCATGAGAGGGGTTAGGCTTACTTGTAGAGGGTGACCTTCTCGGAGATGTTGTTGGCAATGAGCACCGCTACTACCAGGCCGTAGATGGCTATGATACCCGCCATGACCACGGGGATGATAGACTTCATGATGAGCTCCGGCCTCATCACCGACATGGCAGCGATCCCTGTGCCACTCTTAGCCGTCCCATAGGCTGCTCCTAAGGCTGGTGAAGGAGGGAGAGAGTATTAGATCCATAGGAGATACAATATAATAAATAGTGTTCTACTTCATTCTGTGATTTGATCAATGTACAAACACAGTAAAACACACGGTTGAGCAACATGAGGAACTGAAATTGAGGCTTGATTAGGTAACAAAACCAGTTTCTGTTCCCTTTACCAACAAGGTCAACATGGCTACAGCAGGGAAATTCTGCTTGTGTACGAGGAAATTACCAGCATCACGTCCCCCCACCCCCGCCTTGCCCCCGATGTGCTCGACCACGGTTCTCAAACCAGCCATTCCCCTTTACAGCTACGGTTCAGGCCAATTCTCCTCGCCTCAACCCATAGATACCCACAGGGAATGGAGCTCAGTTTAACCCCTTTCATTCCATTTCATGGCTCTGTGCCAGAGCTGCAGTGTTCTAAATCACTCCGCCTCCCTGCCTGAAAAACACTCATTAGGCTCTCCACACAGGAAGACAGCAGGATGCCACATCCCTCCAGAGGCAACCAGCAGCACAGAAGGGACACAAACCAGCACCAGCCGAAACATCTGATGTCACATCAGCAGCAATCATAGAAATAGAATGAATAGACTCCATTTCTATGCCCTCTAATGTAGAGGCCCCGCAGAACGCAGTCACCACGTCGACAGGCAGCGCGTGACGACTGAGACCATGAGGCAGAGAGCCATATGGACATTACACTATTACTACAATGGTGCATCTAAAAATAGACAACCCGTTAAAGGTTGGGAAAGTAGATCAATTACCTACATCTCAGAGTCAGACGAACTCATGGATACAATGCGTGTGTCTGCATGCAGTTGAGATGATTGAAGTTAGCTTAGCGTAATTACTGGAAATGCATTTACTGCATATTGGTTTCGAGTTTCCCATAATGGGTCTTGGTGATTGGTTTACGAAATAGCCTAGCACTCACTTTTCTCAATCTCACTTGGGAGGGAAGTTACAGCAGCACCTCAGATACCAAGACAAGACCACTTCCAACCGCATTTCTATAAACCACAGACCAGATTTATCCATCACCTAGGCTACATTTCTGGATCAGTAATGTGAATGGCTGAACGGTTCTATACAGTAGATTATTTCATGCCACAACCCCTAAAGCACTATCTTGCAGCTCCCACTCTGACCTGAGGAGGTATATTGTTAATGTAATGACTTCCATGTTGAAGCACAATGAAGGACCCTCTCCAAACAGCTGGCCCTCATGCCCGCCTTTTGATAAACGAAGACCAACGCACCAACCGTAGATCTAGAGACCAAACCCACCAGTGTTGTGTTCAGTAGAGAAATCATTGAGTGAAATGAATTAATAAACTAAAATCAGTGATCTAATTGGACATTGCAAAACGTTTTGCTATTGTGTGCCCTACTGAACATGACCCAGATCTACCTCAGTGGAGTGACAGACATGCGGAGCATGTTTAGGTTTGTGGAGACAAGGTTCCATGGCTTTATTCTCTGAAAATTAAATGTTGTGTTTGAGGACTGCTGCAATGGGTGGCATGAGGCAGAACCCCTGTGCTTTAATCCTAATCCTCTGCGGAGGTAAAGAGCTTTTAGTATTTCTCTCCCCCCCCCCCAGATCACTCATTAACGTTACTACACTTGGACGCCTCAAACGCTCTGCAATGTAAAGATACTGTGGTGATGGAAGTAATCAAACAGGTGATCAGTGAAAAAGATGCTCAAACCCAAATAGCATTTTTATCAGTACTTGAATTTGTAGCATAATATAGCCAACTCTTGGTCTTAAAACCGCAAACTACCTTGATGAAACTGTAGTGGACAATATCACGGTGAAGCCAGGGATATTGCCCTGTATAGCTCAGTTGGTAGAGCATGGCGCTTGCAACGCCAGGGTTGTCGGTTCGTTTCCCACGGGGGGCCAGTATGAAAATGTATGCACTCACCAAGTAAGTCGCTCTGGATAAGAGCGTCTGCTAAATGACAAAAAAAAAAAAAAACTTTGCAAAATAGCACCCATTTATTTAGCCTAAAAAGAAAACATACTGGTCCATCTAATTCAATATTTTGAGTGACCAATGTCTATAGACACTGAACAAGATGTGGTGGGGCTACTTCCAGGTTTAGCAGTGATGTGAGGGATCAAAGTAGTAAATAAGACCATTAGAATAATGGTGTTATGGAAAAATATAAAGCTACTCCTAAATCTATTGAACCAACTGACAGAAAATATGCCATGCCATTTGAGCAGTATTAGAACAAAACAAAAGTAGGCAATAAAAAAATGCAAGTGACATAATCAAAATAGGTTGACTCATTACACAAAAAGAGATGAGCTTTGAGAGGAGTGTGGACACAATCCATCGCAGTTAAAATGAGGACTTTTGTACAACACCAGGCTTTTAGGAGAGGTCTTAAATACACCAGTAGATGAAGTATTAAAATGTTGCCTAGCCTTGTAGTTGTCTGCAGTTGTCAAACATTTTAAAATGATGCATATGCCCCTACTTTGGGCTATATAACACACTATAAATTCTAAAGTCAAGCAGCTCCTCCAGTGGCATGTATTGGCTAGTAGTTGTGTTAGGAGGGATAGGGTGGGTACTACTGATAAAATGTATAGTAGAGCTCACATCACTATGGTAGACTGGGTCAGCCAGTACCATTAAAGGATTTCGCTACCATGCTCGTCACAGCCAGTCAGCGCCTGTACCGACTACCAACCGAGAGCAAAGGCCTCAAGCAGTGAAGGCTGCAGACATAACAGCCCAAACGCTACTGCCCTGTCGATATGACGCAAGCTCAACTGAGGACGAGCAACTTGGAACAGCCACCGTTCCTAGGGCTGGCACAATGTAACTGACCATCATGAAAATAAAATAACCAACATAACCGTTTATTTTTTGGGAACGAACAGCTGACTGCTATAAAATGGACTCTTAACAACGTGATGAAACGTTGTTGTTCCTTGTCGAAACGAACAAGGTGTTGTAGCAAACGATTAATAGAATGGGCTTGGAACCTCTAACCCTGGCAATTTGACTGGTAAACGCATTGCTCTTGTTCCTGCTTTTCTCCTACGGGTACACTCGCAATGGCCACCAGTCCACCCATTATGCCATCATTGACTTGAGTGGGGACACGCAGTCAGGAAAGGAGAAAATCTGCATTTAAACGCGTGTATGCTATTCGAACGGTTATTACAGAGACCGGTCATTTGGCTGGCCAATTACAGTCATCCAAAATTCCATGATCGTCAGAGCCCTATGCAGCGATCTCAGTTTATCACCAGAAAGTAGCATGTGGTTTAATGAAATCTAGCCACAACAACCTGTTATCTAACCAATATTTTAGATTCCATCATGGTGCCTCCACCGTGCCAAAGCAGAGCCTTCCCACTTTGAGTTAAGACATTAAGACATTAAAGAATATAACTGGGAACGGCAACAGTAATGTGAAATAAATTGTGCTATATCATGTTCTCAAAGAGATCAACTGTAGTCTACAATTTGTGCCTTTTAAATGATCATGAAACACAATATAGGCAATGGTTTACAAACACACAAACCAGTAGATCAAAAACTCACTTCATAAAATAAAATAAAAAGCTGGCTATTTACATATGGTTTCTCAATCTCAAGTATGGTAGTGGTGGTGCAGTGACACCACAAGATGGCAAGCTCACGTTTCCTGTAAGAAAGAAACCCTGTAAGATGCTTAATGCTGCTGGGCCATCATCACCGGTGTCCCCGGTCAGCCCCCTCCACTGGGTGCCTGCCACCACCCACCAGCAGCCCTCCCAGCTGGCTACTTCCCCATCTGTCACTCCTTCCCACCCTGCCTGTCACAGATCACACCCACTGCCAGCTACAGGGGCTACCCGCGCTGCCCTGTGCCATCACTATCCATAGGATCTCAGTCAGCACTAAACATGTATAGGACTCCAGCTAGGTTAGCCTCTAGCTAGTGTGTTTCCTACATACCCACACATATTGGATATGATGAAAGTCTATTTTAGTGCAATCAGTTTCCATGTGTATGGGGTGTTGACAGGAACATTAGGTGAGAGGGTCATACACCTGTCTGAACATTGGTAAGTGCTGTGTAAAGGAGTACAAGTAGGCTTACTTAGACCGGAGTATAACTGAGGCCACCCTTCCTCCACAAGTTATTACGGAACCATGTTTTCTTTAGGTCATGGCTCCATTTTTCAATTGTAAGGCTAGAATGAACAATTCCCTTTGGTCATGAAAAAAAAAAAAAGGACAACATTTCCCCAAATATGAGCTAAGAGTCATACACCTGTGCAGTTAACCAGCATATTAACCATTTAGGCCTATTACTCAATACAACTGCCCAGGTCGACAGACAGGTGGCATGATGCCACCCACACCACACAGTAAAGGAGCCAATAGTGCCACATACCCTCCAGCTACTAGCAGTTAGGGCTGTGACAGAAATTGAATTTTGGATGACTAATTGGCCAGCCAAATGACCGCAGTCTCCAGAATAACCATTGGAATAGCAAAACAATTAAAAATACACATTTTATTTTTTCCCCCCGCACATTTTCTCCTCTCTTGACTGCATGTGCTGCCATTGAAATATAATAAATATAATGGGCGTCCCCATTCAAGTCAATGGTAGCATAATGGGTGGAATGGCAGCCATTGCGAGTGTACCCATAGCCGCAAAGCAGGAAGTGTACCCATCAATAAGTGCTGTGACTTGTCATTGTCTTACGTCAGATGGTGTCACTGCTACCTGACGTGCAAGGACATCGGTCGCCATTGCCAGTGCAGTGACTTCAGCTGCTTAGCTTACTGTTGTAGCTAGCTTACTGACATGGCTAACGTTAGTTAGCTTTACATTTACGGACATAAAAAGCTTACTGCTTAGGCTGTTTAAATTACCCTGAAGTTGTAGACATGCAGACCCCAAATTGGGAGGGACTTATCAGAAATCAGTCCGTAGATTCAACGTTTCTCCGATAGCTAACGTTAGTTACTTTGTATCGTTGGGTCAACGGAGCACAACAGCTGACTCGCGAGGCTACAGCAATGACTCGCAGCAGAACAGCTGCTTCATTAACACTCAATGTTAGCAGCACTACTTCAGTAGCTTGCTAACTAGCTTTTTGTTGGAAGCATTCAACATTGTGTGCAGCACTAAGTAAGTGGTTGGTTGGTTAGCAGCATCGTTTCAGTGACTGGCTCATCTCAATAGCTTGTCCAGGTATCCTCATGACATGGCACAAGTGGGGGGGGGGGGGGGCTTTCCTCTTTGGTTCTCTATTGTACCCGCAAACAAGGGAAAGGCCAATAACAGAAGGCACCATCCGACCAACTCCTTGAATGGCCTACTCCTTGAGGTTTTCAGTTTTTTTTCCTCAAAACATGTTTTTACCCTTAAAGGGTTTCTCCTGTACTTTTGTATACTTTTTCGCCAGTAGTTCTGAAAGCAGAGCTCACGAGCCAAAAGTAGTCCCCGAAAATGGAGTACTACATCACATACACTACATGACCAAAAGTATGTGGACACCTGCTCGTTGAACATCTCATTCCAAAATCATGGGCATTAATATGGAGTTGGTTCCCCCTTTGCTGCTATAACAGCATCCACTCGTCTGAGAAGGCTTTCCACTAGATGTTGGAACATTGCTATGGGGACTTGCTTCCATTCAGCCACAAGAGTATTAGTGAGGTCGGGCACTGATCTTGGGCGATTAGGCCTGGCTCGCAGTCGGCGTTCCAATTCATCCAAAGGTGTTCGATGGGGTTGAGGTCAGGGCTCTGTGCATGAGGTCAGGGCTCTGTGCAGACCAGTCTTGACAAACCATTTCTGTATGGACCTCGCTTTGTGCATAGGTGCATTGTCATGCTGAAACAGGAAAGGGCCTTCCCCAAACTGTTGCCAAAAAGTGTGAAGCATAGAATCGTCTAGAATGTCATTGTATGCTGTAGCATTAAGACATTTTACAAACTGACTTGTTGGAAAGGTGGCATCCTATGACGATGCCACGTTGAAAGTCACTGAGCTCTTCAGTAAGGCCATTGGCACTGTTTGTCTATGGAGATTGCATGGCGGTGTGTTCGATTTTATACACCCGTCAGCAACTGGTGTAGCTGAGATAGCCTAATCTACTAATTTGAAGGGGTGTCCACATACTTTTGTATATATAGTGTATGTGCAGATATGTGTACCACATCCTCTATCTCTCTTGCTCTGCTGTGGGTGCAACGTGCATCTTGCTAGCTGTCACTCATATGGCGAGAGGTTGAAGCTCATTGGTTGAACTCGAATTGCTAGGGGGCTGGGCCCACATGGGGGAAAATGGCACAACACAGCTTCCAGAAAAACAGTTGCTTTCAAACTTGAGATTTTGTGGCTAATTGAGGTAAGACAGTAATTCCGCTCATAGATTATGCATGTATGAACTACACATTAACACACAGACCAAAGCGGGAGTCGCCAAAGTTCCGGAACATGTCTAAGTGTGTGTACATTAATGTATTTTTAGGTGGCATATTGTTTTTCAACAGGAAAGGTTTTTTAAAAATTGCTGGAGTGCATCTTTAAACATTGATTCCTAATTGTGGCCTAGTGATAGTCCAAACCATGCATCTTGCAATCAATGGCACAGTTGGTTGGTAATTGTATGCTGTGAGGATGCATATTGTGCAAAATTCTTGAGTGAATGCATCAGACCTAACAGGATAATAAAAAATCCAAAGACAATACTGATACATCACTGTCCTCCCTGTTCTTATTTGTCATGAGAAAGATCACTAGACAGTCGTTTCAACACCCTCACTTGGACCTGAGGCCATCAATAACATCAAGATGATCAAATGATTGCACTTAGTTGCCAATTTATCTTCTTAGACATGCAAATGTACATAAATCTGATTAAATGTTATATATTGATTGTGTTTTAGTGGTAAGTTGTTTATGGGTCTCCACGAGTGCACTTCCTAAATCATAGGCTACTTGGAAATTCCAAATCACAAGTCCAATCATGTGATTGTCATGTGATCTTGATGTAAATGCCATTTTCATTAGATTCAAGGTGCCTCGAGCAATTTATTTCCATTCCAATTAGCTGAGGCCTATACACATTAAATTGGTCCACAAGCGCCCAATTTCTATGCAGCAGCCTTTAAATCACCCGAATTCACATGGAATTGTTCGTATGACGTGGATCAAACGATGACATTCCATTCATTTTATCATCGAATGAGCGTGCTCCCCTGCTGGTTATGCCTAACGTTACATTGCACAAATCTATAACCAAGTTCAGCTGCTATTCTTCCTAGTATCAATTGTATAAACTCAAAATATGAAACTGATGGTCAATATTCACTATCAATAGGTATCCTGCCTTCATAATGACCAGCTCGCCTAAGATACCACTAACGTTACGCTCAAATCTGGTGGTGTCGTAGTGTGTCGCATGTCGCAAAGCGTAAAACTAAAAGCGCCTAAAATTGAGAAAGAATTAACTATCGACGCACACATAACTAACTCACTTCAAATCCGTTGATCTGAAGCAATGACACAGCTTAGCAAAATACTGGACAACTATATTAGTTAGCTAACGACGTTAGTTATAATTAATGTCAAATACGCCAATGACAGTTTCTGGACTCCTTTAACGTTAGCTGGTTTCAAACACTAAAGAAAACTGTGCTGTTAAAATTAACCAATTACACACATACAATGTATAATTTAAATGCAGCTAGCTAGTAAAGATAGTATTTGAATTGTGTTATAATTACCGCTGAAAACCATAGCCGCAGAGGCACCCATCACTGCGAAGAACGGAGAATATTCGGGGCTTTCGGACGACATTCTTTCTCACACAGTAAACAAACTAAGTAATACAAAACGGCTATTGCTATGTTTCCCAATGGCTTAGCTACTAAACCTATCGAAGGCAACTGTCTTTAGATGTAAACTGGGAAAGGTACAAGAACACCTAGCTAGCTAACTAGCAATGTAGATGGCCTAGTCACGAATCTTCAGATAAATACCCGGCGTAGCAGCAGCACAAAATGGCGAAGCGGAAAATATCACCTGACTGGCCATATGGATAAAACCCATCATCAACTGTGTGTAGGGGAGGCGCTCACAAGTAACTATAATAATGATTTACTGCAGCAAATCAAACATAATTCAAATTACAAAAAACAAATCAAACATAATTCAAATTACAAAAAACAATTGGATACATTTCTGACTAAACCCATGCAAAGTAAATGGTTTATCTCCGGATTCTGTATTTAGTTTTTTGAAGGTCATCCCCTATTTTAGTCTCTTTTGGTGTGCTCCGCTGCAGGCTTTGGTGGAGTTCGGTCGTCACTAGTTACCACAGCCACAAATGGCTAAACCCCGCATATTTCTACAATTTATCTTCTGAAAATCTGATTTAAACATAACCTTACCTTAACCCTAACCACACTTTAAATTTATGCCTAACCCTAACCTGAAATTAAGACCAAAAAAGTGATAGAAATGTTGACTTTGTGGCTGTGGTAACTAGTGACAACTGTCGTGTTCCCATGCTCAGAAGTTGCATGCATCGATGACACCATTGCGTTGGACGTCATCAACGGTGTCATCGACTGACAGACTGCTATAGCATATAATGTGGTTAACTGATGCGTAAAATACCTACCCAGACGTTGTAAGATCTGGCATACGTCAACAACGCCTGGGCAGAGGAACGTGCCCTTTCCCTCCTTCCGAATGAGGAATGAAATGAGTGGGAGAAGGGTGTGGATGCTCAGGGGTTATGCCTTTCTCCTTGAAAATTAAGGCAAATACATTTCATTATTGCTCGACAACAATATGCTTCTTACTTGCATTGTTGGAAGTGAGGCTCAATATATTTTGGTTTAATTAAGAATAGCCTAGATATTGAGTGACTAAATTCCAAAACAGACATAATGCATTTGAAATCATGCATTTCTTAAAGTGATTTGCACATGATACAATAACACAAATTCAAGATGTACAATTCCATTATGAATTAATTAATTAATTTTGCACCTGGATACAATGCAGGAGAGGGTCATTTACAGTAAGCTGTGATATGCAGCAGTCATGTGGCGAGTGAGTTTGTGAGATTGTGTGGTGGGGGAGGGAGCCGAGAATCCCACTATATCGCTCCCAGCAACTGCAGACTCAGAGAGCCAGGGACAGCATGGGAATGACGCTGAGTGTGTGAGTCAGAGAGATATTGTGCAGATTCCCACCTCCTTCCTCCATCCCTCCATCCCTCCATCCACCCCTCTACATTTCCAATCTCCTCATAGGCAGGCAGGCCGTCAGAGCAACCCCTCCCCCCACCACGCCACTGCAAAGCCCCTTCACCCGTGATGTAATTTCTTCACCAGCATCACAGGCCTCTCTAGTTTACATTTTCCTCGACTAGCATCATACTTTAGGCCCACCTGCTACCTGACATATTTGAGGTTTACACGTATCATTATCTTGCAGAGAAATACATTATTTTGTGCTACAGATGCACACAAAGAGGATGCATCAAAAACATAAAGGTCATAGTTAGTGGGGGCGGCAGGTTAAGAGCGTTGTGCCAGTAACCGAAAGGTCGCTGGATCTAATCCCCGAGCCAACTAGGTGAAAAATCTGTCGATGTGCCCTTGAGCAAGGCACTTAACCCTAATTGCTCCTGTAAGTCGCTCTGGATAAGAGCGTATGCTAAATGACCCAAAAAAATAATAATATATATAGTTGAATGGAGATAATTTGTGCCCTGGTTTTCTTTCTCTCTGGTGACTGAACAGCTATTGATCCAGGAATCTCATTACTGTGATGTTTGAGGAGGCAGCTAAAGGTAGCCTCTGCTATAGCCTATCTGAGCTGCATACTCAGCAACTCCCTGCCTGAACATTTTGTCATAGGAACGCGCGCGCGCATGTGTGTATGTTGGTGAATGTCAGGATAGGTGGATCCACGTTCACCGATCAAGACATGGTCTCTGACAGTAGAGATTAATCAGAGAAAAGACAATGACTTCCACTGTGTATCTGCTTCATGGATAGGGGGAACTCACAAAATAGGGAACCATGTGAAACACTCTCACAAGGGCATGATTCAAAGTGACTGTCCCCCCAGGCATATGTGTAGATCTGAGAGGATTGGATAGGTTCAAGCAATATGGCAAGCCTATCAGAGGGCATGGAGGAGCTATGACCATATTGTTTATCCTTCCAATCCCTTCAGATCTATAAAATTATGTTAGGTTTATGGGCTAGGGATTGTTTCTGAGCAGGACCGATCTGTCATGATACACTCATAGGGTTTGTTGCAAAAACTATAATGGCACCGAAGGAGGTAACCGCCATTTTACGGGCCCCTGACCAATTGTGCTATTTTGTGTGTTTTTTTGCGCTGATCCTAACTTTTTTGGTCCATAATGTTTCGTCCATTATTTCATATGACCGAAAAGAGCTTCTCGACATCAAAACAGCGATTACTAACCTCGATTTGGATGAGGACTTCTATTTTAACAAATCGAAGGTGAAGGACATAATGCTCATCCCAGACCAGGCCCAAATCCCTGTCACTTGGAGGATGCGGAAGCAGCGCAACAGAGGTCGGCGTGCGGGATATCTAACGAGACTGCGACGGCAAGTGGATAAGTCGCCATTACCTTCCGTTTTATTGGTGAACGTGCAATCATTGAAGAATAAACTGGATGAGCTCTGTTCGAGACTATCCTATCAACGTGATCTGAAGAACTGTAATATCCTATGTTTCACAGAGTCGTGGCTGAACAAGGACATGAAAAATGTAAATCTAGCTGGTTTTTCTATACAATCAGCAGGACAGAATAGATGCGCCCGGTAAGCTGAGGGGAGGGGGGGTGTGTCTCTTTATCAACAACAGTTGGTGTGCAATCTCTAATATTCAGGAAGTCTCGAGGTTCTGCTCGCCTGATTTAGAATCCCTCATGATAAGCTGTAGACCATACTATTTGTATATTTTTCGTAGCTGTCTGTTTACCACCACAAACCGATGCTGGCACTAAGACCACACTCAACGAGCCATAAGCAAACAAGAAAATGCTCAGCCAGATGCGGTGCTCCTAGTGGATGGGGATTTTAATGCAGGGAAACTGAAAACCATTTTGTCTAATTTCTACCAGCATGTCTCCTGTGCAACTAAAGGCGAAAAAAACTCTAGACCACCTCTACTCTACACACAGAGATGCATACAAAGCTCTCCCTCGCCCTCCATTTGGCAAATCTGACCATAACTCCATCCTCTTAATTTCCGCTTACAAGCAAAAACTCAAACTGGAAGTACCAGTGACTAGCTCAATACGGAAGTGGTTTGATGAAGCGGACGCTAAGCTACAGCACTGTTTCATTAGCACAGATTGGAATATGTTCCGGGATTCATCTGATGGCATTGAGGAGTTTACCACATCAGTCACCGGCTTCATTAATAAGTGCATCGACGACATCGTCCCCACAGTGACCGTACGTACATATCCCAATCAGAAGCCATGGATTATAAGTAACCTCCGCACTGAGCTGCCGCTTTCAAGGAGCGGGACACAAATCCGGACGCTTATAAAAAATCACGCTATGCCCTCCGACAAACCATCAAACAATATTCGAAACAACACTGAACCATACATGATAGTGTAACAGTGTTGATTCCGTCCCTCTCCTCGCCCCTACCTGGGCTTGAACCAGGGACCCTCTGCACACATCGACAACAGTCACCCTCGAAGCACCGTTACCCATCGCTCTACAAAAGCCGCGGCTCTTGCAGAGCAAGGGAAACAACTACTTCAAGGTCTCAGAGCGACTGACATCACCGATTGAAACGCTACTAGTACGCCACGCTAACTAGCTAGCCATTTCACACCGGTTACAAGAGCACCAGCTGTTCCGGACGACTGTGTGATCACGCTCTCCATAGCCGATGTGAGTAAGACCTTTAAACAGGTTAATATCCAGAAGGCCGCAGTTCCAGACGGATTACCAGGACGCATACTCAGAGCATGCGCTGACCAGCTGGCAAGTGTCTTCACTGACATTTTCAACCTCTCTCTGATCCAGTCTGTAATACCTATATGTTTCAAGCAGACCACCATAGTTCCCGTGCCAAGGAACACCAAGGTAACCTGTCTACATGACTATCGCCCCGTAGCACTCACATCTGTAGCCATGAAATGCTTTGAAAGGCTGGTCATTGCTCACATCAACACCATCATCCCAGACACCCTGGACCCAGTCCAATTCCCATACTGCCCCAACAGATCCACAGATGATGCAATCTCTATTGCACTCCACACTGCCCTTTCCCACCTGGACAAAGGAAACACCTACGTGAGAATGCTGTTCATTGACTACAGCTCAGCGTTCAACACCATAGTGCCCTCCAAGCTCATCACTGAGCTAAGGACCCTGGGATTAAACACCTCCCTCTGCAATTGGATCCTGGACTTTCTGAAGGGCCGACCCCAGGTGGTGAGGTTAGGCAACAACACATCCGCCACACTGACCCTCAACACGGGGCCCCCTCAGGGGTGTGTGCTTAGCCCCCTCCTGTACTCCCTGTTCACCCATGACTGTGTGGCCGCACACGACTCCAACACCATCATTAAGTTTGCTGATGACACGACGGTGGTCACAGACGATGATGAGACAGCCTACAGGGAGGAGGTAAGAGACCTGGCAGTGTGGTGCCAGGACAACAACCTCTCCCTCCAAATCAGCAAGACAAAGGAGCTGATCGTGGACTACAGGAAATGGAGGGCTGAGCACGCCCCCATTCACATCAACGGGGTTGTAGTGGAGACGGTCGACAGCTTCAAGTTCCTCGGTGTCCACATCACTAAGGATCTATCATGATCCACACACACCAACACAGTCGTGAAGAGGGCACGACAATGCCTCTTCCCCCTCAGGAGGCTGAAAAGATTTGGCATGGGCCCTCATATCCTAAAAAAGTTATACAGCTGCACCATTGAGAGCATCTTGACTGGCTGCATCACTGCTTAGTATGGCAACTGCTTGGCATCCGACCGCAAGGCG